AAGTGTTATTAGTGAATTGAAAGATGTGCAAGAGAGATTTGATTATGTTGAGAACGAACTGGATAAACAGGAACAACACAGCAGAAAGAACAACGTGATACTGTATGGCATGTCAGAGATGCCCCATGAATCTACATCACAGTGCAAGGAAATGGTGTGCGAAGTATTAAATAATAATTCTAAATCAGGTGATCCACAAATCAATCATGATTCCATTGCAGCAGCGCACAGATTAGGATCTGTGAGTTCCGGATCAGCAAGCAAGTCTCCTCGGCCAATGATTGCTAAGTTCATTTATGTAGAGGACAAGGTTTGGGCCTTAGGTCTCAGAGAAAATCTTAGAAAGAATCTCATCGGTATTTCTAATGACCTTACCATGAAACAGCGTAATGTGCTAAAGAAGCTCAGAGAGAACAATAAAGTGGGCTACTATAAATATGGAAGGCTGGTTGTTAAAGAAGGTGATAGTCATTCTACCTCGAAAGATGGATCTGCAAATGAGTCTACTAATGTTCATGGAGGTGGTGATACTAGTCGCACCAACGCCAACAGTGGTGACGAAAGTCGTAGACGTCTTAGGTCTCACGCTCATCACCCCCATGAGGAAGGATCCAGGAAATAGGGGTGTGGCCGAGCCCATGGTGACGTTTGTGACAAGTGTGCACATAGACTAAACTTTCTTTTTTGGAATGTCAGCGGATTGTTGACAAAGATAGTGGACAATAACTTCATTTCTTTTGTCGATACATTCGACATTATTGGACTCACAGAGACTTGGGAGAAGACATTGAATTTGTGGATGTATTCACAGATTACATTGCTTATAATGTAAATGCTATCAAAACTGCCCAGTATGGACGTTTATCAGGCGGAATTTCACTATTAATTAGAAAATCATTAAAATCTTTTATAAAGTATGTGCATATTAGTGAAAATGCGGTATTCATTGCATTTAATAAGTCCTTATTTGTTCATGAAAAAGATATCTTGTTGTGTTCAGTTTATATTAACCCAGATGGGTCGTCATGGTATGACAGTAAGAACTGTAGATGTGGTATCACTTTATTTCAAGAAGATTTATTTGATGTCCTGCAGAAAGTCGGCGATGTTGATATAATTCTTGGAGGCGATTTTAACGCTCGGACAGATACAGATGTGGATTTTGTAAATGATGATATAGCCGAACACTTAAATATAAATTTCTTTGATTTTATGTGTGATAGTCTCAATATTACTAGGCATTCATGTGACAAAAAAATCAACAAGTATGGCCGAAAATTGTTGGATCTCTGTGCAACTTTGAATCTGAATATATTAAATGGAAGAGTGGGTCGTGATGCAGGTACAGGTGATTTTACCTATATCAGTTCCACAGGAACAAGTGTGATTGACTATATTATTGCTTCCAGCAGCCTGTTTTCTTTGTGTGATAGCTTTAATATTGTTTCGAGAGGGGAATCCCCCCACTTACCGGTCTCATGTTCATTTCAATCACGTGTTCAGTCGGCAGCACATGCAGAGAGGCAAGAAGCACGTGCTGGTGCAAGTGCCAGTTATAAATATATGTGGGACACTGACAAGCTGTCTGATTTTAGGGACAACCTTATGTCACCAGGTATTTTAAATATGTTAATATCATGCTCTGACGTAGCTATGACTGATATTGATGCAGCTATAGACAAACTTACCACAGCTATATGCTCCGCAGCTGACTGTATGAAAAGGGATCTGTCCATAAAACCGAAGTCACAACCTTGGTATGATAAGGAGTGTTTACTCCAGGATGGAAAGAGATAGACTTTTGAAAGTATTCAGACAACTCAGGGACAATATATCTCTTCAGAACTTTATTACAGCCCGTAATCTGTACACAACTATTCTTAGGAACAAAAAGAGACTGTATGCTGAGAAGATTAGAGTTAAATTATTGTCACACATTAATAATGCTAAAGATTTTTGGAGAATATTGAGAGATTGTTTATCATCTAGTAATGATATATCACCTATATCTACAGTCATGTGGTATGAGCATTTTAATGATTTGTTTAATAGTTCTGTTTATTCGACAGACCCACATGAAGATGCTGGTGAAGTTGACAATGAGTGTTTTGATGACGTTGTTAAACCATGTGGAAATACCTTAACTGATGATGTCTCTAAGAATATTTTAGATTCACCTATCACCCGAGAGGAAATATTAAAAGCAATTTCACAGCTTAAATGTTCAAAGTCTGCAGGGTTGGATCATATAATACCAGAGTTCTTTGTGGCTGCTCAGGATATTTTAGTCCCATATATTGAACTTGTCTTTAATATTATTTTTGACACAGGTAGCTTTCCACATTCTTGGTGTACTGGCATAATAATTCCATTACATAAGAAAGGTGATACCTCCTTACCCAATAATTATAGAGGAATAACTTTATTGAGTGTATTTAGTAAACTTTATACTTCAATTTTAAATAACAGGCTATCCTTTTGGCCCAGTGCATATGATAAAATTGTGGAATCCCAACCTGGTTTTCGGAAAGAATATAGTACAATAGACAACATTTATATTTTACAAGCAGTCATTCAGCGTTATTTAGCAAAAAAGCATGGCAAAATTTATGCATTATTTGTAGATTTTTAAAAAAGGCTTTTGACCTTGTTGATCGGTCTAAATTGTGGTCTATATTAATGCAGCAGGGTGTATCCACCAAGTTTTTACTTTCTTTAAAGTCTATATATAAGTGTGTTAAGGCTAGTGTAAGGTCAAATTATATTTTCTCTGAAGAATTTCATTGTCCTCTTGGCTTAAGCCAGGGATGCGTCTTAAGTCCATTATTATTTTCTATGCTTATAAATGAGTTGGCAATGGATATAGAATTATCTTGTTCAACAGGCATACAGCTTCATCCTGAACTTATTCAACTTTTTTTGTTATTATTTGCAGATGATGTTGTTTTGCTTTCTGACACTGTTTATGTATGTTAAAATATTTTTGTGATACCTACCATTTGTGTGTTAATCTGGAAAAAACTAAAGTCATTGTTTTTAAAAAAGGTGGTGTTTTATCAAAGTATGAGAAATGGAACTTTGATGGTTCCAGTCTTGAGTGTGTAACCTCGTACAAATATTTAGGTTTATCTTTTACAAGAACTTTATCATGGGGTAAACATGTTAAGGTTGCAGCACTACAAGCTAAGAAAGTACTATGTGGCATACTGAAATCTTTGTCCAACTTTAAGCCCATACCCTTTGATTTATTTTTTAAAATATTTGATACCAAAATTAGCCCAATTTTGCTATTTGGAGCAGAAATATGGGGTCTGAGTCCTGAAATTTGTAATGATATTGAAAGTATCCACATGATGGCTTGTAAGCGCTTTTTAGGTGTTAAGGTCTCCACCTCAAATCACGTTATAAGAGGTGAATGTGGCCGATATCCTCTATACATTTATGCTTATAAAAGAGTTGTTAAATATTGGTGCAAAATTTTGAAAATGCCAGAATCTAGATATGTAAAGAAATGCTATAATATGCAACTGCAAGCTGTAAGTAATGGTAAAGTAAACTGGGTTTCCAAAATTAGACACATAATTGTGTCAGCAGGATTTGGTTTTATATGGGATCAACAGTGTGTTGCAAATATACCATTGTTCATAAAGATTTTTTTTGTGAGGCTAAAATTATCGTACCAACAAGACTGGCATTCAGCTATACATGAAAGTTCGAAATCATATTATTATTCTTTGTATAAGCAAACATTTGGTGTTGAAATGTATATTACAAGGCTATCATGTGATAAATTTAGAAGTATTATGGCACGTTTCAGATGTAGTTCTCATCATCTAAGAATTGAATCAGGTAGACATAACAAGGAACCTAGAGAAGAAAGAGTTTGTACTGTCTGTAAACATGGTTATATCGAAGATGAGTATCACTTTATTTTAATTTGTGATTGTTATCAAGCTTTGAGGTCAGAATATATATCCTTGCATTATTATGAGTTCCCGACAAGACATAAGTACAATATTTTAATGTCATCTACCAACCCATTTACTGTTAAGAAACTAGCCATGTATATTCTGAAAGCTATGAATCTAAGGCAAAGTCTGTTGGGATCTCCAACTCCCATTACCACACTGTAACCTTTGTATCATGGGCCTATGGCCTACAATACATCTGAATAAAGTGAATAATAATAATCAGCATACATGGGCATGTCATTTTCAACTTTCAAAATTCAGGTGTTCTCGAAATGTGAGCGTATCCTGCCTTAAGGCCGTGGTAAGGCAAGTCACTTTGTTTTACACGGAAAAACACGGGAACTGCATTGGACATCATTTTTGTCACTGATACATTAAATTTGGAAATATCCTCCACATGTCTACCATAAATCGTTCTCAAAGCTTTGCTGAGGCCTTGAATGTTGGAACCTTTATAAAAAAAACAACTTTTGAGCAAGAGTCATAGGAGGCTGGAATACCCATTGATGTTGAGGGAAAGTTGACTACTGGAAAGTTGAAGTCATTCCTCTTGTCATGTACTTATGCAGAGATATAAATATGAAACAGACAAGGTGGTTTCACTTCTCACTTATATTTCTGGTTCAGGTAGGTAATTCAGTGGAAGGGACTTGGCTATTTGATGGTTATTGAGCGGTTAAACTTCTTGGCCAGATTCCCTTGTTTTGATTTGTCAATTCGAGCAGAAAATCCGTAAGAATGAAGAAACCGATCAGCAAGAAGGGGAACACAGTTGATGCCCATGGGGATGCCTACTTCTTTCCTAAATGTCTTATCCCCATTTTTTACATAGATGTTATCAATGAGGAAGTGTAGCATTTCACATATTGTTTTCTCAGTGAACTTTCATTTTTGACAAACTGTCCTGAACCTCTGAAAATAGATATTTGTAGGCGTCCGTTGTAGACACGGTAGTGACGATAGTGCCGTTGTCTATGTCCTCAAGAATTGGAATTGCCACAGGTTTAGGCTCAAACTTTAGATGGTTACCGTTAACGTCGTTCAGGCGTATTTCTACCCGTGTCTGTCCGGAACGTCGTCCGTTAACGTCAGCTTCGTTGTCGTACGCCATCACCAACAACGAGTACGACGACCTTTTTTCCCGACTTAGTTGAGTTGCAACGGTTATAACGCCCTGAGACACAAGAACATTGTTACAATTATTTGATTCGGTATCACACTTTCTTAAAATGTACAAATTCTAGTACTTTTGGGGGTTGAGTTTCTTCCGGCATTCGAACACACACTCCAAAGGTGAGGCATCTTATCACCAGCACACAAGGTCAGCGATCTAACCCACTCAAGCATCGAGGCTTCCATAAAGTGAAACTGAAAGTTTCCGACAACTGATAGTATAGATCACTTAATTTGTGTGCTAACGATCAGGTACCTAACTCTGAGAGTATGTGTACGAATCCCGGACGGGACTCAACCAACAAAACGTACTAGAATATGTACTTGTTAAGAAAGCGTGATCCCAAATATAGCATTTGTTGCATTTCACTACTATAAAGCATTGTGCATTCATGAAAATAATGTTGGTAAACCTCAGCATGAACCTTGAGTATTAAGAGCAGTACGATATCTACATATGAACAATGTGTGAAGCCCAGTCTTCATGTGATACTTTAACACAGACTATTGACAATCGTAGTGCTACGATCGCTTTGTGGACCTAAAATATCATAAGAAAGTCGGTAAATAATAGCATATTTTGGAAAGAATAAAACTTATCCGAAAAATGTGTATGTATTTTAACAGTTACAGAATAAACCTACCGTGTGCCTACAGTAATATCATTCTACAAAGGAGATACCATCATAATGTTCTACGTACACCCGCTTTGGAAACGTTGAAATCGGCGTTCGCATCTTCCATCAGATAGAAGACTTTGCCAAAGTCACCACTGTCGGAGTCGGTTGCAGCCACATTCCCAACTATCTCCCCCAGAGAGGCGCCCTCAGAGATGTTGAAGTTGTAGTTGTCGTTGAACACCGGGGAGTTGTCGTTCGTGTCGATGATGTGCACGAGGACGTCCACGGTGCTCGACCGCTTCTCCTGGGTCCGGCTTTCTCTCGCCACAATCTGTATTGACATCACCTTGCTTTACAGCATATGTCGTGATTGTGTTACGGTAGACTTGAATCATTACCAGCAGACGTAATTCAATAATAACCTACCGTTATTGGTTCAACAAGATAAGTAAACAAGATACATAAATGCGCTGTCATGTCACTGGATCGGAGTTTCTGTCCAAGACTCGTTTGGTTACAGGTCGCCATCGTATGATAGTGATACTGCTTTTTATGCTTTCTTGCTTTTAATGCAAATTGTGTGAGTGGCGCTGCTACTGGTGCAGGAGGATATGCTTACCCTTTCAGCGAACAACTGGTGTCATCACTGATTCATATATTTTTTCACAACTATTTTGCCTTTTACCCCGAGGAGAATCTGTTTCGGCGGTTTTATAGGTCATTGAAGGTTTATTGTTTATAAAAAGACACGGATCAGACAGATGATTCTTATTTTAAGATAATAATTATATTTATATTATTTGTTTTTATTTTTGAAAAAAATATAATTAGTTTAATTCAGAGAGTTATAACTACGATTTAGAGTCATCCATTTAAATAATTTAAGTTGACATTGACATTAACTTATATTTCCATCAACCGAGACTCGATAAATATACAATTGTTCCTTCTAATATTATCACTTGCAATATAACATAGCATAAAATCTGCAATCAATTTACGGAATTTCGGGGTAACTTTTGACACGAAATATGGAACTTGATCGCAGCTTATTTTCAACCAAAAATAGGATGATGCTATCTTACCTCAGCCTTGATGCTGTTCTATGTTACCTGGAGTCTGACGTGGTATATTACATGTAAGATCATGCTGTGCAATGTTACCTGGAGTCTGACGTGGTATATTACATGTAAGATCATGCTGTGCTATGTTACCTGGAGTCTGACGTGGTATATTACATGTAAGATCATGCTGTGCAATGTTACCTGGAGTCTGACGTGGTATATTACATGTAAGATCATGCTGTGCAATGTTACCTGGAGTCTGACGTGGTATATTACATGTAAGATCATGCTGTGCAATGTTACCTGGAGTCTGACGTGGTATATTACAGGTAACATCATGCTGTGCTATGTTACCTGGAGTCTGACGTGGTATATTACATGTAACATCATGCTGTTCTATGTTACCTGGAGTCTGACGTGGTATATTACATGTAACATCATGCTGTGCTGTGTTACCTGAAGCCTGATGCTGTTGTATATTATATGTAACACCATGTTGTGTGGTATGTTACCTGCATCCTGATGCTGTGGTATATTATATAATGATGTTGTATGTTACTTTGAACCGGAAGCTGTGGTATGTTATCTGTAACATCATGCTGTGCTCTATTACCTTGAAGCTGGTGCTGCGGTATATTACATGTAACATCACGCTGTGGTATGTTACATGGTACCTGGTGCTATGATATATTATCTGTAACATGATCCTGTGGTATATTATCTGTAACATCATGCTGTGATATAATATATTATAAGTAACATCGTGCTGTGGTATGTTACCTGCAACCTGATGCTGTTGTATAATAAATGTAACATCATGCTGTGGTATGTTACATGGTACCTCGTGCTATGATATATTATCTGTCACATCATGTTGTGGTATATTATCTGTAACATCATGCTGTGGTATATTTTCTGTAACATCATGCTGTGGTATATTATCTATAACATCATGCTGTGATATAATATATTATAAGTAACATCGTGCTGTTGTATGTTACCTGCATCCTGATGCTGTGGTATGTTACATGGTACCTGGTGCTATGATATATTATCTGTCACATCATGTTGTGGTATATTATCTGTAACATCATGTTGTGGTATATTTTCTGTAACATCATGCTGTGGTATATTATATGTAACATCATGCTGTGGTATATTATATGTAACATCATGCTGTGGTATGTTATCTGTAACATCATGCTGTGGCATATTATATGTTACATCATGCTGTTGTATATTATCTGTAACATCATGCTGTGGTATATTATATGTAACATCATGTTGTGGTATATTATCTGTAACATCATGCTGTGGTATATTATCTGTAACATCATGCTGTGGTATATTATATGTAACATCATCCTGTTGTATATCATCTGTAACATCATGCTTTGATATATTATCTGTAACATCATGCTGTGGTATATTATCTGTAAAATCTTGCTGTGGTATATTATATGTAACATCATGCTGTGGTACATTATCTGTAACATCATGCTGTGGTATATTATATGTAACATCATGCTGTGGTATATTATCTGTAACACCATGCTGTGATATAATATATTATAAGTAACACCGTGCTGTTGTATGTTACCTGCAACCTGATGCTGTTGTATAATACATGTTACATCATGCTGTGGTATGTTTCATGGTACCTGGTGCTATGATATATTATCTGTCACATCATGTTGTGGTATATTATCTGTAACATCATGCTGTGGTATATTTTCTGTAACATCATGCTGTGGTATATTATATGTAACATCATGCTGTGGTATATTATCTGTAACATCATGCTGTGGTATATTATCTGTAACATCATGCTGTGGTATATTATCTGTAACAGTATGCTGTGGTATATTATCTGTAACATCATGCTGTTGTACATTATCTGTAACATCATGTTGTGGTATATTATCTGTAACATGATGCTGCAGTATATTATATGTAACATCATGCTGTGGTATATTATATGTAACATCATGCTGTGGTATATTATCTGTAACATCATGCTGTGGTATATTATCTGTAACATAATGCTGTGGTATATTATCTGTAACATCATGCTGTGGTATATTATCTGTAACACCATGCTTTGGTATATTATCTGTTACATCATGCTGTGGTATGCTACCTGGAAGCTGATACTGTCATGTTGTTCATAGTCCAGGACCTGTGTGTTGTTCACACGTAGCATGACGTTTGTTCTGGATACCTGTTCACCACTCCCCGGGATTGTGTCGAAGTCCATATATGGTGATCCATTCTGCTCTACAGACAGCTCGAACATATTGTTGTCCACGGTCTGGAAATAGTTCATGTAATCAGATCTAACAATAAATCATTGAATCATTGAACAGTATCCAATCACACCAAGCCATCATTGCATGCTTTGGCGGGAATTCGTAACATGTCTGTTCGTCTCTAACAAGACGCAAATTCCACTACTCTGAATCTCCTTAGCGCGTCTTTGGCGTCGCCAGCATAGCCCCCTCCCGCGTCCTCCCTCACCCACTCATTCACTTCGAGCTTGCGGTCCACTCACCATGTCAATGTCCTTCACCTCTATGACGCCTTCTATGCTGAGGGGGACTCCAACAGGGGTGTTTTCTAGAACAGTAGCGTTAATGATGCTGGAGGAGAACTCTGGGGAGTTGTCGTTGACGTCAAGGATGGTGACAGTGACGTGAGTGACGGTACTGGTGTCTCCTCCTTGGGTCTGGTTGTCAGTGACGATCTCTGACGCCTGCAGCACAACACTCACTCTAAACATGTGATTACACGTACTTCTGTTTCAAAAGTCTCTCAATGAAAGAAGATGTGATACAAGGATGCCCAATCGTTATCATAAAGAAAATCTCTGAACCCACACAAACTGTATTGGTATTTATACTGAATAATCATCTTTTTCTTAAAAGAGATACGTGTAAAGGTGTAATTAATTTCCTTAAGTTTTTTCGGACATATTTATTCAGTTTACCAAAGGTACAAGATTTAGATTCTAAATATATATTATACATCTATGTCAAGCTATAACGCCAACCATCTGTGTATCATGTATGTACATATGCAGGTACGTGATGTATATAGCAGTATCAGTGGGAACTTATCAACCTAGGAATAGTGAATAAGCATCAATGCAGTAACGTCGAAGATCAGGTCACACGTGTTTCAAAGTAGCATATTGTGTTTCACTGGAGAGCTAGATCGCCTGGTTATTTAACAGCGCTGAATTGAATTGAATGTTCTGATGTTACCTGGGACCTAACCCCGCTGAACTGAATTTGGAACTGAGCGTTCAGCCAAAAGCGCCAAATTACAAGCTGTCTCTGTGTGGTTCCTGAAGCTACACTCTCTTAGTCGATATCTGTGTTGTCCAAAATATATAGCCACACATACGCTGAATATTGTTGTAACCACAGATCTGCATCTTGTAACCTATAATCATACATACCATTATTCAACTCAAACCTCCCGTCAATGATTAAAAAAGAAGTGCCCTTTGCGCTTCCGCGATTGTGGCGGCCGTCAGCTGTGGAGGTCATTGTGATTTGAAAATTCTGGTTGACCAATCAGAACCGTGTATTTTCAAAATTCATGGTAGAATATCTGTTAAGGTACTAGTTCCTTGTTATATCATTTGTCATATAACATTGTGTGGAAACTTACATTAACTTGGAATGATAAGACTCCACCCTTCTGTTTCATATCGTCAGAGTCAGTGTCAAGTGGTAGTGCCGTTTTGATGAGGCCGCTGTCATTGTTCATGGTGAAGTTATCGGTGTAGGCGGCGTTGTCTGAAATAATATACAACACAAATGTGCACTTGTGGGAAATTTGCACAAACGCCATATACCTACACAGTCTGATACAGTTAGTCTACAGTCTGATACAGTTAGTCTACAGTCTGATACAGTTTGTCTACACAGTCTGATACAGTTAGTCTACAGTCTGATACAGTTTGTCTACACAGTCTGATACAGTTTGTCTACACAGTCTGATACAGTTAGTCTACAAAGTCTGATACAGTTAGTCTACAAAGTCTGATACAGTTAGTCTACAAAGTCTGATACAGTTAGACTACACAGTCTGATGCAGTTAGTCTACACAGTCTGATACAGTTAGTCTACACAGTCTGATACAGTTTGTCTACACAGTCTGATACAGTTAGTCTACAGTCTGATACAGTTTGTCTACACAGTCTGATACAGTTAGTCTACACAGTCTGATACAGTTTGTCTACACAGTCTGATACAGTTAGTCTACAGTCTGATACAGTTTGTCTACACAGTCTGATACAGTTAGTCTATAAAGTCTTATACAGTTAGTCTACAAAGTCTGATACAGTTAGACTACACAGTCTGATGCAGTTAGTCTACACAGTCTGATACAGTTAGTCTACACAGTCTGATACAGTTAGTCTACAGTCTGATAGAGTTAGTCTACACTGCCTGATACAGTTAGTCTATAAAGTCTGATACAGTTAATCTACACAGTCTGATACAGTTAGTCTACAGTCTGATAAAGTTAGTCTACACGTCTGTTACAGTTAGTCTACACAGGCTGTTACAGTTAGTCTTCACAGTCTGATACAGTTAGTCTACACAGTCTGATACAGTTAGTCTACACAGTCTGATACAGTTAGTCTACACGTTTGTTACAGTTAGTCTACACAGTCTGATACAATTAGTCTACACTGTCTGATACAGTTAGTCTACAGTCTGATACAGTTAGTCTACACAGTCTGATACAGTTAGTCTACACGTTTGTTACAGTTAGTCTACACAGTCTGATACAGTTAGTCTACACGTTTGTTACAGTGAGTCTACACAGTCTGATACAATTAGTCTACACTGTCTGATACAGTTAGTCTACACGTTTGTTACAGTTAGTCTACACAGTCTGATACAGTTAGTCTACACGTTTGTTACAGTTAGTCTACACAGTCTGATACAGTTAGTCTACACGTTTGTTACAGTTAGTCTACAGTCTGATACAGTTAGTCTACACAGTCTGATACAGTTAGTCTACACAGTCTGATACAGTTTGTCTACACAGTCTGATACAGTTAGTCTACACGTTTGTTACAGTTAGTCTACACAGTCTGATACAATTAGTCTACACTGTCTGATACAGTTAGTCTACAGTCTGATACAGTTAGTATACACAGTCTGATACAGTTAGTCTACACAGTCTGATACAGTTAGTCTACACGACTGTTACAGTTAGTCTACACAGGCTGTTACAGTTAGTCTTCACAGTCTGATAGAATTTGTCTACACGTTCTGATAAAGTTAGTCTACAGTCTGATACAGTCTACACAGCCTGACGCAACTAATGGAATATGAATACCTCTAAGCGTACATGTCAGACTTCAATTACCAGGGCATAAAGAGGAGAACAAGTTACTTACCATGTACAATCCAGTAATTGAGATCATTCGGGACGCCTATGTCCCCGTCAAAGGCTTGTACAAGCAGAACAGAAGTGCCCTGTAATACAAGTTAAGAACGTACTGTCACTACATAATTCTACTCTCTGGCCAAAGTAAACAAATTCATTATTTTCGTTCTCGGCAACACACTGATTAATGTATTGTAGATATTGAATACATTGATACCTGCATATACGTATAGGCATTCGCTATAATACTATCAACTATAAACATATCGTGTACCTGTATCTTGATACTGTATGTTCTGTCCCCTTCGCATGAAACAGATATTCCCCATTAAACATACATTTACTATATTTGATGTTGTACGACCGAGCAAGGTGTTGTCATCAAGTTTCCATTTCATATGAATATCGTCATCTGAGGAAAACAATACTTACAAGTGTGGCGTTCTCATAAACTTGTCGTATGTACGGCAGGTTCGTAAAGACGGGAGGAGTGTCCTGGACATCTTGCACGGTGACGAAAAAGTCCACTTGATCAGCATGGTTCACGCCATGAGACTCATCTGGGTCGGCGTCCTGATGACACGTAGTACATGTGAGAGTTATTTGTTTGTTTGTTGTTTAACGCTGAACTCGGCAATATTCCTGCTATATGACGGCGGTCTGTAAATAATCGAGTCTGGACCAGACAATCCAGTGATTGATATCATGGGCATCGATCTACGCAATTGGGATATCTATGAAGTTTATCAACCAAGTCAGGGAGCCTGACCACCCATAGGTTTGTCGCCTCTTACGACAAGCATAGTCGCCTTTTATTGCAAGCGTGGGTTGCTGAAGACATATTCTACCCCGGATCTTCACGGATCGGATTCATTGTGGATTCGTTAGAAGAAGTATTTCGTCACAAGTACTTTTTCTGAGTAGAAACTGTACATCAAAAACAAGGGAGAAAAGTACATCTGCTTCGTGAATAATTGCGAAAGGACTCAACCATAACACTAATTTTCCGTTTACTTTCATTTTGGTTAACCAAAGTTTAAACCTGAAAGCAAAATAAATAACGATGCCCTGTCACAGGGCGCGCGACACAACAGGCGAGAAAAATGATAATTAAACGTAATCGACTCTCCAAGGTAGGAACATTTTTTATGTCATGAATGTTCTTCGATATAAAGAAAAAGCAAATCACTATTTACCCATGCCTGGACGTCGTATTGATAGAAAGTCCTTTTCTTGTAGTCCAGACTTTCATTCTGGATAATATGGCCATGCCTTGGATCCACATAGAACGTGTATTTATAGTCATCGGCGTTCTGAAATCAGCATCATCTTTATTGTACGCTTATGTGTTGTTTTCTATAAAGGCAAAGAGATCACTAAACGACAAAGTTATTAGCTGACTTTAAGAAACGTAATTACATTTCCGAATATTAAGCTAGTATTTCATAAGAAAAACCGTTAATGTTATATCTCATAATCGTTTAGTAAATATCATAAACACGAACACAATCTAGGGCTCATATAACAGGCGTTCTGTGCTTTATGTAACACCCGCTGGAGATATCTGTAAACTCCTGTCAACAATATCTGTCAGAATCAATATTATTCGTAGGACATTGAGACATATTGCATCGAATTGAGTGGTATGGAAAAGTTATTGGTCTAATATGCCGCGGGAAGCATGCATCATATATTTCCTTAATACTCTTCGTTTTACCAGAAACATAAAATGTGGATTCTCCGTACTTTATGAAATTGGAATAACAACGAACAAAATAATCCTTTTCGGAATTTTTTTTCTCATACGTAGAAATGAAAACACATCATAGACGTTATCAGCCGCGGCTCGCATTATGAAACATAATCTGTGCATAGAAGTTGGAAGGAGGAGAAAAGGAAAAGGCTTTTGGAGTTAGTAAGCAATAGGATGACACCCGATAAACTGATTAATTAATCACGACAGTTTATTTTAAACATTATAAGCAATAGTAGTAGTACCAGGAGGAGGAGGAGGAGGAGGAGTAGATCTGTAGATTACAATGTTCTCTTCAAAGTATGGACGTATTATTAATTATCACGAAGAAATCCACTTGTCCAAATGCCAGCATGGTTGCAAAGATCAATTCATGTTACTCTCCATCCACGTCAATGTGTACATAATAGCAGGTACATTGTGTAACATCTGAATACAGGATACTTGTCACTGATAGCGTTATGTAGAAGATTTTTTTTTAATAAAACAGACCCTGTCCACTCACCTGGCCCTTGGCCTAGAAAAAGAGAAATCATTTCATTCAGAGTAAAGCATATAGTTAGAATTTCACACCTTATGAACATAATGTCATCATATAGTCGTGGATGTTGATATGGTGAAACATTCTCTGACTGGACAATTGATATGTGCGATAGTCCAATCATATTTAGCAAAGGAAAGTGGGCTTGGTGTGGCAAGGGTGGAAACAAGACTTTGATAAAAATGCTAGTGGACGCTCTTGCCTCGGGAAGATGAACCAAATGCTGAGGAGGTGGCAATGCAAAGGTGTAGAGAACAAAGTGTAACTCTTGTTATTTACATAGATAACGTTCTGCGTCCGCGAGCTCCAATCAGGCTGTAGATATCACAGCAGGACAATGCACGCTCTCTCACAACAAGAGCATCAATGGCATTTCTCGCTCAAAATAACGTTCACACCTTACCCTGGTCATATTTCTCAACCGACAGGGGACACTATATTTAGTAAAAGCAACATCTAAAATAACAGGATAATGGTGCAATAATAGTTTTTGATACAATTTGCATATGAGAAAACTCAAATAAGCAGTTTAATTAAACTCTAAATTTAGATGGGTGCACTGGTGGCCCAGTCGTATAAGGCGCCGCAATGCTCTGTGTAGAGTCCATTGGGCACGCCAGAAACCTATGATTGTGGGTTCGAATCCCGGTTCGCCCCGATTATGTTTCTAGGTTTGTCAGCACCATGCTCGTGGGTTTCACCGAAGTGATAAACGTCTGAGACCTGCATCACTTCGGGCTTTCCTCCCGCATTAAGCTGACACGCCGTGTTATAACTGGAATACTGTTAAAAGCGGTGTTAAACCCGACTCACTCACTCATTCACTCAACCGATAGAATGAGTTAGGGCGTTGTATTGATGACGGAAGACATCCGCAGATAGCTGCTGAACCGGAGACAAAAATGTTTTGTTGTGAATAGTTTAGGACGGTTTCTGTGCTTATGATACATCAACGTCACATAAATAAATTGTTACAGAATGTTAACTCGCCCAGAGTCAGGTGTCAGTTCGTTATTACATCACTATCCAATACACCAACTTTTCGTTTGTGAAACTTGCTTGAGCCTCGGATACCTCACAACGAAGATGTAGGTATATTGACCGATATATCTGCTTGGTACACCTCGAACAGTATCGGTACACTTTTGTTACAAACATATCTACTATCGGCCAGCACCTACCTTCAAACCATAGTACACCTGACCTCCAATTCCCGAATCAGGGTCCAGTGCTGTAACTGTTGTAGTTGTTGTACCTATTGCTGCAGACTTGAAACAAACACAGAACAGAGGTCACATAAACCGGTTGAAGTGATGTATAAATCCTTTGAGATACCAAGTTACTTTCACAACTTCACGTGAGTGAGTAGAGCCGCATCGGCAATAATTCATCTTACAGCGACGTGTTATAGATATGAACCTTCCTAGAATTAGGGTCAAATAACAGTCTTTCACCATCACTCCATCAAAATCCTGACGCCAATGAACACACACAAAGAGTAAATTACTATGTAAAAGTACGTAACGGTGGTGACACCAGGTGTTGGAGGAGATGGTGTTTAACCAACCTGCATAAATATGGTACATCTATAACGGATATGACACAAGGTATATATGAAAAGGATGTTTAACCTGCACTTCCAATCATGCCAGTATTACGAGGACAAGCTGATGACACCAGGTGTTCGTAAAGGAGCTGTTAACTTTCACTTCCAACGGTGTCAATATTACAACGATAAGGTGATGACACCAGGTGTTCGTAAAGGAGCTGTTAACTTTCACTTCCAATGGTGTCAATATTACAACGATAAGGTGATGACACCAGGTGTTCGTGAAGGAGCTGTTAACTTTCACTTCCAATGGTGTCAATATCACCACGATAAGGTGATGACACCAGGTGTTCGTGAAGGAGCTGTTAACTTTCACTTCCAATGGTGTCAATATTACCGCGATAAGGTGATGACACCAGGTGTTCGTGAAGGAGCTGTTAACTTTCACTTCCAACGGTGTCAATATTACAACGATAAGGTGATGACACCAGGTGTTCGTAAAGGAGCTGTTAACTTTCACTTCCAATGGTGTCAATATCACCACGATAAGGTGATGACACCAGGTGTTCGTGAAGGAGCTGTTAACTTTCACTTCCAATGGTGTCAATATTACAACGATAAGGTGATGACACCAGGTGTTCGTAAAGGAGCTGTTAACTTTCACTTCCAACGGTGTCAATATTACAACGATAAGGTGATGACACCAGGTGTTCGTGAAGGAGCTGATAACTTTCACTTCCAATGGTGTCAATATTACCACGATATGGTGATGACACCAGGTGTTCGTGAAGGAGCTGTTAACTTTCACTTCCAACGGTGTCAATATTACAACGATAAGGTGATGACACCAGGTGTTCGTAAAGGAGCTGTTAACTTTCACTTCCAACGGTGTCAATATTACAACGATAAGGTGATGACATCAGGTGTTCGTGAAGGAGCTGTTAACTTTCACTTCCAATGGTGTCAATATTACCACGATAAAGGTGATGACACCAGGTGTTCGTGAAGGAGCTGTTAACTTTCACTTCCAATGGTGTCAATATTACCACGATAAAGGTGATGACAGCAGGTGTTCGTGAAGGAGCTGTTTACTTTCACTTCCAATGGTGTCAATATTACCACGATAAGGTGATGACACCAGGTGTCGTAAAGGAGCTGTTAACTTTCACTTCCAATGGTGTCAATATTACCACGATAAAGGTGATGACACCAGGTGTTCGTGTAACCATGTTTAACCTGAACTTTCATCAAGTGTACCAATATTCTATTCAGTTGGGTCCCAGTCTCCTACCTCCTTCACGGTGACCCTGTAGCCGGGCTGGGTGAACACCGGTTTCTCGTCGTTCACGTCCAGGATGATGAGGGTGACCCTCGCGGACACCTGCACAGACACATCGTAATAGAGAGTCAGTATAGAGAGTCCATATCTACAGTGGAGGTAACAGAGTAACAAACATCATTATCAATTTATCTGAAACAAGTATATGAATACCCCCGGAAATCTTTCTGCATGCTGTGTAGTTTTTGTCAATTTTTCAGATATAGAAAGAGCTATTTAAACGTTTGGTTAACACAGTTTTGAACAGTATTTTAGTCATATCAAGCCACTTTGTTGAAACCCACTATGACGGAGATAAATTGTTAAAGAAGCGGTAAAATTGATAAAAGTATGTGTGTAGTATGTGTGAGTTCGTTGTCAAATGTCTGCATTAATATTTCTGTCGATTAGTCCGAGGTTAGAACAATTATATTACCTCATATATGCCGTCCGAGGCAAAGAATACCACAGCCTTTGTGGAACCATCCTGCAAAAGATGTTCATGATATAATTCACCAAACAAGAGAGACGTGGACGTGAGTATGGTTTTACGTCGCTTTTAGCAATATTCCAGCAATATTACGGCGGGGGACACCAGAAATGGGCCTCACACAGAGATACTTGGAAGGGAGCAGTGTCACTACAACATGAGGTAGGTCTGTGAGATTTCGAATTTTATGATTTTATCACAGAAAAAGCACTACCCCGTGTATAATTAATAATATAAGATATTACGACAAGATTAAGATGGTCCATCATAAATACTCGTGAATCGAGCGAGAGCTCCTGTATGATTCACAATTTCGGCCATGTAACGGCGTACCAGCTTAGCTAAGGAAGAAAGAACTTACACAGTTCGAATGAAAGAAACATAATAAAACACAAAGAATTATATTTCGACCTTCATATCTACAGAAGCAGAAAAACCAGTGGGGCAGGATACGCTCATACGCGAGCACCTGGTTTCATCACAGATTTAATGGAGGGTTTAAACAGATCAGTCATGAACGTGTAGCCCCCGGTCGGGTGGCAGACACTTCGTAACCAACTCGTGTTATTCCGGGGCAAGCCGAATTGCAGGTTACAGTAAGGGGCGAGTGGTGACGAATGGGTAGCAGAAGTCCAACTTTAATGACTGGAGGCTGAGGCCGGACATACTCATGCTGCGTTTTGGTAAATGCTTCCAAAGGGTTTTCTTCAGGAACTGTTATGGTCTGGTGAACTGACCAGACCTTGGTTATGAATTGATAAAACTGTGGATATGTTTCTTTGTGGTCTTTAGATTAGACGTGGAAGTGGTTTGTAGCCAACTTTTACTGTTACCTGCGTTTTGTGGTATACTGGTATTGTTATCAATAAATTGTTTCAAAAATGTTGTTAGCTTCGCAATACACTAGTCTGACTAATTGAACCTCCGATGTTTTATTTGTGACACACATCATCGCATTGCTGAACTGTGCGTTTTGATTTGCAGGCGACGTCAGATTTGTTGAGACAGAGTACTAGAGTTCGGCTCGTGTGGTACGTGAACATAATGAGTTGGTTATTGTTTTACGCCGTTTTGGCAATCTTGTATCTATTCACTGCGATAAACACTGTGAAAAATGGATCAAAACGCATCTCGTGCCGAGCTGTTCTGTGTGTTGCTGATCTGTCCGGGTGAGAATGATGAGGGAAAAGATGAGTCTACAATTGCACTATGTCGACTCTTTGGAAGGATATCGACTATTAAAGGCTTACCGTTTCTCTGTCGAGTCGATTGTTTAGTACCACCGAGGCGTGTCTAGTGTTGCCGTCGACTGTAATGTCCTCCAGTCTGACGATACGACTGACTTCAGCCGATCTAATGTCCAGCACAGGCAGCGTGTCATAGTCCGTGGCGCTGATGTTGAAGAGGAAGGAACCTGTGTGCACCAAACGCCATGACAATATGACAATCAGTATATTGTGGTGGGGGATCTATATAAGACAAACGTTTTGAAAGTATCACCAATCCATTAACGAATTTGAGAATATTCCATGTGACTGTCACATGCGACAGAACTAACTTTGATACTTAATACCAAAATATAGCTGAACTAACCAAATAGGAATCATTACACATGTGATGTAAATGTCATAATCACCTGCACTAAACAGAAAAAATCAGTTATTATTGGTTCCTTTAAGACAAACAAATTGTACAAATTAACGATCTTCAAAAGATCCACGGACGAAGCACATCTTGCGCCAACATTGACACCATTGAATCTTTGAACAACATACAAGGAAGTTTAATATAACTCTTTACATGTACACTGTGATCAAGAGGGATATTTGCAATATGAAATTTAATGAGTATCAGTTATTCAAGGTTACATCCCATATATTATTTTTGAGATATTGCTAGTTGTAGTATCCAACTCCTGTTGTAAATCTTAGCGCTGAATTTGAGCACTTCAAATACTCACCAGGGGGCGTGTCTTCCGACACCTGTACGGTGCTCTGTACAGAGATGATGGGTGGAATATTTGCTTCCCCTGACAAGACAGATGAAGTCACCAAAGTATAAGTGATAGGTATTCGGTAATAGTTGCCTTGCCAATAGCTTCTACAGTCGTGGACATCAGAGATTATAATTTATACAGTGTAAGTCATCAGTGTCTGGAGTATATACAATGAAGGTCATCAGTGTCTACAGTACATACAGTGGATGTCATCAGTGTCTACAGTATATACAGTAGAGGTCATCAAAGTAAGTTAGAGGTAATCAGTAATAGTAGCCTTGACAATAGTTTATGCAGTGGAGTCCATCGGTGTTAACTGTATATGCAGTGGAGGTCTTTAGTGTCTACACTATATACAGTGGAGGTCATCAGTGTCTACAGTATATTCAGTGAAGGTCATCAGTGTCTACAGTATATACAGCGGAGGTCATCAGTGTCTACAGTATATACAGTGAAGGTCATCAGTGTCAACAGTATATACAGTGAAGGTCATCAGTGTTTACAGTATATACAGTGGAGGTCATCAGACAGACAGACAGACAGAAGTATATTCAATATTTTAGGCCATATGACCTATAGTACAGAAGTGTTTTTTTTGTATCAACATTGTACAGTCACCTGTAGGTAATAATAAGTTTACATATAATATTAACGTCTAATTTCAAAAATCTTCTTCAGGAATATTGACAGAGATGATATTGTATTAGCATTGCGGGAGTTCAACAAATTTTTCATCAGTTGTTCATCTTTGTACATAGTTGAAATCATAGGGAGGTATCTATTTCTAAGAAACTGATAATATTTACAAATGAGAAGTACATGAAACTCATCCTCAACATAGCCTTCATTACAATAACGGCATAAACTACTTTCTTTATCTTATACAATTTTCTTTCTGAGATTATTAACATTAAATATTAAATGTCTACAGTATATACAGTGGAGGTCATCGAGGTCTACAGTATTTACAGTGGATGTCATCAGTGTCTACAGTATATACAGTGGAGGTCATCAGTGTCTACCGTATTTACAGTGGATGTCATCAGTGTCTACAGTATATACAATGGAGGTCATCAGTGTCTACAGTATATACAATGGATGTCATCAGTGTCTACACTATATACAGTGGAGGTCATCAGTGTCTACAGTATATACAGTGGAGGTCATCAGTGTCTACAGTATATACAATGGAGGTCATCAGTGTCTACAATATATACAATGGAGGTCATCAGTGTTTACAGTATGACAGTGGAGGCCATCAGTGTCTACAGTATATACAGAGGAGGTCATCAGTTTCTACAGTATATACAGTGGAGGTCATCAGTTTCTACAGTATATACAGTGGAGGTCATCAGTGTTTACATTATAGACAGTGGAGGCCATCCGTTTCTACAGTATATACAGTGGAGGTCATCAGTGTCTACAGTATATACAGTGGAGGTCATCAGTGTCTACAGTATATACAGTGGAGGTCATCAGTGTCTGCAGTGCATACAGTGGAGGTCATCAGTGTTTACAGTATAGACAGTGGAGGTCATCAGTGTCTGCAGTATTTTCAGTGGAGGTCGTCAGTGTCTATAGTCATACAGTGTTAGTTAACTAAGAATTATTTGACACATCAGTATGTGGTTTAGTTTGTTAGTGGTATTAGTTGACTGGAGGTGACGATTAACCTACCTCCGTTTATACAGTATAGCACTGCGACCAGCAAGATGTAGTTCATGGGTATATCTGCAAAACAAGGGCGACAGAACATAGGACATAGAAATGAAGTCTCGTTGGGGGAATTCCTTGGACCACTGAAAGTGCCTGGAGTTATCCGTAGTTCGGGACAAGCAGAGTAATGTAGCCGGGACAAAACGATTAATTTAAGTTCGGATTAACGAGGTTGGATTTTATAGTATGCATACGCCATTTAGATAAATCATGAAATCATGAAAGAATCTGTCTTTTATTTCTAAGTATGAGGGGCAATGAAAAGTTGTCACAATCACTTCCATATGCAGACAGGATGGTCTGTACACACACAGTGGTGGTTCCATGCATCAAATGTAGCTCCAAAAATACCATGATCCTTGTAACCCCTTTTGTATCCGATCCTAGGAAACAGCCTAGCTGTACTTATCGGTGGCCTTCCAAGACAAGGGCAGAATACCAGTTAATGGTTGCATGTGAGTAAGTGTCACTTCCTGTAAAGTGTTACGAATACGGGATACAAACAATTGAAGGCACATGACACAACTGTTGGGGAATTCGTGACAACATCTTATAAGTATAATTTATGTGTGATTTAACATATAGGCAGAGTGATGTGTCTTTCGATAATGGTTTTGATAATATTCTTGACAATCTAACTCAAAACTCTCATATTGCAGAATGATATTAATATGAGTGAGTGTTGTATTACGCCGCAGTTTTCAATCCCGAGTTCAATGCGTAGGACATATTCTTGGCGTCCCCATTATGGCTGTAAAGACCAATTTGTTAAGTCTATTAGGTGTACAAGATAAATTCGGGTTATTCTTGGTGTCCCCTGTCCTGATATGGCTGGAATATTGCTTAATGCGATGTTGATTCATGGGCAGGGATATTTTCAAAAGAAATGAATTTTGTCCCAGAAAATGCTTGAAAAACATATTTATGCTTCAGACTGTTGACAAAAATAGATTGCCTGCCACAACAAAAACATTGCTACATGATAATGGTGACATGCGTGGTGGCTGTAACTGAAAACATATGTTGTCTCCATACAAAATCCCAGCACCTGCCTCATCCCCACCCCTCCCCCCGAATATCAAATAGTTGGTCCCTAAGGGAAAAAACACATATCAAAACCGAACACAGTACTTGAGAGCCCACATACCTTTAACTCGTGAGGCAGTAATACCAACCATACCGGGCTGTTCCTGCAGTGCTGTGGTCGACCTGCGTCAACTTCCTTATCTACACGAGCAGTTTGACCCACCTTCTGATGCAGTGAAATTCTAAAACATTTTAAAACATTTTATCTTACTTGTTCAGTCATATAGATAAAGTCGTTAGATTATTTACTTAAGTTCCGCCCTCATTATATTGTCTTGCAATGAATGGAGCTTCGAATATCAGTATTGGTCCGGTTCCTCACCACAATATACGAAACATTTACGTGTGTATATGTTTATGTGTTATATGTTTTATTAATCTATATAAACCACATATCTTCGGTAACAGTATGTACACAAACGCATTTTGCTTGATAGAACAGTGTTGTTGTTGGGGTTTTGGAATATGTTGTTTAATAGGACAGATAAACACATATTTTATTGTCGATTAATATCTAAGTCATAATAAGTTTGAACGTCCTTGGTGCATATCTGAAGATGGAGAAACGTTTCATCTGTCTGTCAGTAATACATGTAACTCACAACGATTACCGTGTGTGTGACGACAACTGGCGTGAAGTGCGTCGTATGATAGATAGTGTGAGTGAGTTCTTTTATACGCCGCTTTTAGCAATATTCCAGCAATATCACGGCGGGGGACACCAGAAATTGGCTTCACACATTGTACCCATGTTGGGAATCGAACCCGGGTCTTCGGCATGACGAGCTAACGCTTTAACCACTAGGCCACCCGACCGCCCCTTGTATGATAGATAGATAGATAGATAGATAGATAGATAGATAGATAGATAGATAGATAGATAGATAGATAGATAGATAGATAGATAGATAGATCATCGGAATGTATACTGTAGGTGCTAAGACATAATGAATATGCTAAATCATAGAAGTGTTCCGGTCTTTCAGTTGTTAGTAACCATAGTTTGTGTACCTTAGGTGATCGTATAAGAGAGTATCGTTTTAGGTTTTCTCTTGAATGAAGCTCTGCATAAATCACGTTACGGTCACATACACTTATTTGTTCTTTAACTCGACTCGCCGATGCATGTTTGTTGGGGAACTGAGAAGAGGTGGTAAAGGTGATTATATCATTATTGAGTTCATACTTACTTACTTGTGATAGCATGTGGTATACGGGTGACATTTGACATTTGTCATCTTTTTCTTTAATTCTATCGAGTTGGTACTTAACAAGTCTGTGCTGTAATAGTATTTTAAATGCAAAGTTAATGTCACTATTACATAGTCTTCCACGGAATAAGAGAGCTCGTTGATGAATGTATGCCTGTGAAATTGAACCAAGAAAATCTCTTGTGAAGACGGAAGTAGTGCGTATAGACAATCCTTGAATCTTTTTACAAAAATAACGTTGAAAAATATAAAACATTTCGTATATCTTTGGTGACAGTTTACCCCATACACTACAAACAAATAATTAATCCACATGGTTATATTACCTTTTCCCATATACGAACAGCTGGGATAGGATTTAAACCCATGATTCATAGCGCATGATTATAATTTATATTGACTAACATTCTGAGTTTTTCACATTTTAAATGGGTACGTTCTAAAGTTTTCTTTGATGTACTTAAAAGTAATTCAGCATAAGTTACATTTTCCTTTTTAGGGAGTACTTTTAAACCAATGTAGACACGTTGACAGACAGATTTGCGAATATTCCCAAACAGTAGAAATGCACTTTTACTGGCATTATATTTCCGTTATTAAAGTTTCAATTATTCTGCAAAAGTCTGTTCAAGTATTTTGTTTAAAATAATCCGAGGAACTTTTCTTCTGAGCGAAGGAATATGCCATAACGGAGTTAAGAGGTTGTTTATTTTGATTCACAGTAACTTCACACGGATATAGAAAACATGTATCACTACGCACGATCTAGACGTAACATTTCGACAATTAAGTTGCCAAAGGCTCGGCAAATTCCGATTAACTAAGACTCGGTTGATATTTCCATATTAAAAGACACTCGTGATGAATCATCTATGTATAATTCAGTAGACATTGCAGTCCGCCGGGGGAGCTGCTCAACAACGTAGTATCGTCTGCTAATAGGATGGCGGGTGCAATACCCCATGGAAGACACAAGCCACACCCTGAATCATCAAGTGAATACAAAAAGTCATTGATATACAGAGTAAAAAGCCATGCCGATAAAACGCGACCTTGACCAATACCTTGCTTAACGTGAAACACATTTGAGGTAAAACCTCCAATCCTTACACGTGACTGCGTTGAGTTATATATTGTGCGTAAAAGTCGCCATAATTTTCCATTAATACCAAAGTTATACAATTTGAAAAAGAGACCATTAAGCCAGACTCTGTCAAAAGCTTTCTCGTTGTCGAGAAAAGCGCAATAAAATCTTTTTGTTATAATAAGCTATGCTTTTCATTAATGTAAACAGGGCAGTTTCTGCCCCAGCCCCTCTCCTAAATCCAAATTGAAAGTGGTTGGGGAAGGCTTAAGATATGTTTGCCCATTCTTCAATGGCGTGAAGAGCGGCATGTGCGTGGCGTGTAGAGCGTCATCTACATGGCGAGTAGAGCGTCACGTGCGTGGCGTGTAGAGCGGCATGTGCGTGGCGTGTAGAACACACACACGAGAACATCCCAGACATGTGATATGTTTACTGATAATGAAATTTGTGAAAAGCTGGACTTCCTCAAAGATAACAGTGGTTAAAGCGTTCGCTCGCTCGAAGGTCCGGGTTCGAATCCCCACATGGGTACACGGTGTCCCCCGCCGTGGTATTGCTGGAATATTGATAAAATCCCATTGGCTGGTTCTGCTCCCCTCCTTGCCGATCTTTTTCTTTATGCATACGAGTCTAACTTCTCCTCAGAATGAAAAAAACAAGTGAATTTTCCCAAAACGTTTTACTTAAGCCCCATGTGTATCGATGTTCTGATATCGTTCAATTATGGTCAAATGGCTGAATCCCTTCCGCTGATTTACCCCGCCGAGCAAACAAAATCTAAGAAACCCATGAGATCGCCTCATCTGATACATATATATAAATCTGCATAAAGATTCAGAGTGACCAAAAACTCTCAACAAGACTGCAGTATAAGAGGGATTACTGCAACTTTACATAATTTCTTTTTCCCTTCATGTCGAGCACTATCAACCAGCTCCAGCTTTCACATTTTTTTCGAGAAGAGTTCAAACAGCGTCATACAACTCTTGCTCAAAAGTTGTTTGATCATAATTACAACAATCACGACGTTAGTCAAGATTTCAAAACGTTTTATGGTAGACATGTGGAGGAGAATGTCAAATTTGACGCATCAGTGACAAAAATAATGTCCGATGCAATTTCCTATTTCCTATTAGTGATTCGTAAACACATGATCATGATATGGTCGGAAAGGGATTTTGTATTACATTTATTCATATGTACAGGTTCAAATATTTATATGTTGATAGTTGTCAGATTCGATTGATGAATGAAGATCATATGTGCTGAAACTGAGCATAACATCATAAAGTGTAAAAGTGCTTGCTCCTAATATCATTCAATCCTTTGCGGACGAGTACAAGAAACCACACACACACACACACACACACACACACACACACACACACACACACCGCTACATAAACCCCATTTCACCTCACCACACCTCAAAATATGTAGGGCGCACAGGTGGCCTAGTCGTCATAGGCGCCGCGATTCGCTGTACAGAGTTGCGTCCCTTGGGCACGCCAGAAAGCTATGATTGTGGATTCGAATCCCGGTTCGCCCCAATTATGTTTCTAGGTTTGTCAGTACCATACCCGTGGGTTTCACCGAAGTGGTAAACGTCTGAGCCCTGCATCACTTCGGGCTTTCCTCCCACATTAAGCTGACACGCCGTGATATAACTGGAATAATGTTAATAGCGGCGTTAAACCCAACTCGTTCACTCACTCAAAATATGTAGCAATTGAGCTTTATTTAGTTATGTGGCTATGGCCTTTCAAACTGCATGACAATAGATATATTACTCCTTCACACAATGCAATTCCATCCATCTTGTGTGACGGCGAAGTTGTTCAGCATTGTTCGCTTTCTCATGTGATGCCATTTCCTTGTCTAATATGACTAATCATAGTCACCATAGAAATATTAACTATTTGACAGAGATTCACTTTACGGAGTATCACTACATTTTTAGATTTTGTGATCTTTAAATAATGAGAGATGTCACGATGTTTTGTGTACTGTGTATTAAATAGTAAGGGTTCAACCATGTGTCATGTGCCACATCCCATTATCCCAAATCGCTTGCATCACAGAATACAAACATCAGAAAATGCACAGGTTCGTTCTGAACAGAATTGAAATAAAAAGTAAATGTGTATCGAGTTTCGCAATTTAAGATTTTTTTTATAAGATCTTATTCATCGATGAACCATTGTGAGGTCATACATGTCGTCCACAGGAGAAGAGACATGAAGAGATCAGATTCGCCACTTTTGTGGTCATTACCATGCCAGTGTTCGTTAGTATCACCAGTGCTCGTTAGTTTCACCTGTGCTCGTTAGCATCACCGGTGCTCGTTAGTTTCACAAGTGCTCGTTAGTTTCACCAGTTCTCGTTAGTTTCACCAGTGCTCGTTAGTTTCACCAGTGCTCGTTAGTTTCACCTGTACTCGTTAGTTTCACAAGTGCTCGTTAGTTTCTTCAGTTCTCGTTAGTTTCACAAGTTCTCGTTAGTTTCACCAGTGCTCGTTAGTTTCACCAGTGCTCGTTAGTTTCACCAGTTCTCGTTACTTTCACCAGTGTTCGTTAGTTCCACCCGTACTAGTTAGTTTCACCAGTGCTCGTTAGTTTCACCCGTACTCGTTAGTTTCACCAGTTCTCGTTAGTTTCACCAGTTCTCGTTAGTTTCACCACTGCTCGTTAGTTTCACCACTGCTCGTTAGTTTCACCAGTGATCGTTAGTTTCACCAGTGCTCGTTAGTTTCACCACTGCTCGTTAGTTTCACCACTGCTCGTTAGTTTTACCCGTACTCGTTAGTTTCACCAGTGCTCGTTAGTTTCACCAGTGGTCGTTAGTTTCATCAGTGGTCGTTAGTTTCACCAGTGGTCGTTAGCTTCAGCAGTTCTCGTTAGTTTCACCAGTTCTCGTTAGTTTCACCAGTGTTCGTTAGTTCCACCCGTACTAGTTAGTTTCACCAGTGCTCGTTAGTTTCACCCGTACTCGTTAGTTTCACCAGTTCTCGTTAGTTTCACATGTTCTCGTTAGTTTCACCAGTGCTCGTTAGTTTCACCAGTGTTCGTTAGTTCCACCCGTACTAGTTAGTTTCACCAGTGCTCGTTAGTTTCACCAGTGTTCGTTAGTTTCACCACTGCTCGTTAGTTTTACCCGTACTCGTTAGTTTTACCCGTACTCGTTAGTTTCACCAGTGCTCGTTAGTTTCACCAGTGCTTGTTAGTTTCACCAGTGGTCGTTAGTTTCACCGGTGGTCGTTAGTTTCACCAGTTCTCGTTAGTTTCACCAGTGCTCGTTAGTTTCACCAGTGCTCGTTAGTTTCACCCGTACTCGTTAGTTTCACCCGTACTCGTTAGTTTCAGCACTGCTCGTTAGTTTCACCAGTGCTCGTTACTTTCACCAGTTCTCGTTAGTTTCACCAGTGTTCGTTAGTTCCACCCGTACTCGTTAGTTTCACCAGTGCTCGTTAGTTTCACCACTGCTCGTTACTTTCACCCGTACTCGTTAGTTTCACCAGTGCTCGTTAGTTTCACCAAAGCTCGTTAGTTTCACCACTGCTCGTTAGTTTCACCACTGCTCGTTAGTTTCACCAGTTCTCGTTAGTTTCACCAGTGATCGTTAGTTTCACTAGTGCTCGTTAGTTTTACTAGTGCTCGTTAGTTTCACCAGTGCTTGTTAGTTTTACCAGTGCTCGTTAGTTTCACTAGTGGTCGTTAGTTTCACTAGTGCTCGTTAGTTTTACTAGTGCTCGTTAGTTTCACCCGTGGTCGTTAGTTTCACCAGTGCTCGTTAGTTTCACCAGTGCTCGTTACTTTCACCAGTGCTCGTTAGTTTCACCAGTGTTCATGGGTTTCACCAAAGCATTAATGCGTCACTTCAATCAGTGTGTATAGAATCACAACGATTACAAAGACGATGGTCATTTGTTTTGAAGAAATCCTGACTTTCCGTGATATCCATCTCTTGTTGGTAAGGAGCAGAATGTGATTTCGTTTTAAAACGCGCGCCGCTTTATACACTCCCATTATGTACCTGCATCACCCAATAACTGCAAAAGGGGTAGTCGGGTGGCCTAATGGTTAAACCCGGGTTCGAGTCCGACCATGGGGACAATGTGTGAAGCCCATTTCTTGTGTCCCCCGCCGTGATATTGCTGGAATATTGCTAAAAGCGGCGTAAAACCATACTCACTCACTCACTCACTCACTCACTCACTCAATAAATGCATAACTGGGCCTATGTGAGTGAGCTGGGTTTACCATTTGAGTTAAATATCACAGGTGGTCAACTTAATGTTGCTGCGGTACCTTCCACCACTGGGCCACCCGTGTCATTCACTACCAGGTTATAACAATAACGACACAAGACATTATATATATTGTTTATTGCAGTTATAGCAAAGCTTTAAAACAACTAATACTATAAATTGTCAATGCAAGCAAATAACCATCCTACATTTTCTGCCGAACAGATCACACTTGGCGTAAAGGGCATAAACTACTGAAATTATATGAATGGACCACTGAAAATCAGTGATGACACCAGGTGATGATGACACAAAGGCATCCTTTCTGATTTGAACGCTCCAAAGACGGCATGGTCTTGTTGAATACACCTGACAGGGACTCAATCTCTCTACATACGGTTAAGCAGATCGGCTCGTCCACACTTGTCTGACAGTTTAAATCAATGAAATAGACGGCTTATTTTACGAGTTTACAGTGATGGACCTCGAAAGTGATTTCTGCGCATGTTTGGCTTATTAATCGTATTGACTACTAATCATGGTAAATATTTTTGAATGATGTGTCATAAATTGTTTAATTCGATGTAACTTGTCCGAATACCCTTCAAAAGTCTATTATCAGTAAGTAAACCCTACAAAGTGTCGCTTCCGCCAAAACAACATGGATCATGGCTAACTGTACAGATACCGTGATCATTGACTTCCTTAACTCTCAATGTGACATAACGATTGGTGAGTTTCGAAGTTGCATCCCACTGTGTATTCAAATGCTCTGTATATGTCTGGTTTAATTATTACGATTATTACATTTTCGTACAGTTAGTTAATTAAGCTGACTAAGCAGGTAAATAGGTGTAGTGATGCGGGAAAGATTTGTAAAAATGCATCATTATATTTGTGAGAATTCTCTAAAAAGCAGGTAAATGTTTATACTTAGTTTAAGCAGTGAATAGGGGAACAGTTGCAAAGGCTGTTCGAACTATTACAGTTCCGTATCGACACCTGTTGTGTGGGATCGGTTGCGGCGCTTCCCCCGGATCACCATGACAACAGCAGCCATCACCATGGCAACTGCAGCAATGACCATGACAATTGCTGGGACAGTTCCCGCAGAGCTGGAGTCCTTCTCATCAGTTCGTTCTGCAACCTGGAAATCTGAAAATGGAGACGAATTTCAAATATTTGGTGTTGTTTTATTTCGTACGCGAATCTACACTGGTTTCTGTTGGTTATTGGGATAAATAAATTAGAACAAAGACGTTAGCCTTGTTCATATCAACCAAACATATAGAATTTGAAATATAGAACATAGGGAAAGACAAATTTCATTTCAAATTTCAAATTTATAAATGCAGCAAAGAGGGTTTGCGTGGCACAGTCAGGCTAGTTAGGCTCATCATCAACTTAGGGTCACAGTGTTGTTGTTGTTGTTTTAATAATTTTAATAATAATAATACAAATGTTTTGGTTTTTTTATTAATATTTATAATAATAATAATAATACATTTGTAATAAAAAAAAAAGATTATTATTACTACTACTACTACTACTACTACTACTACTACTACTACTACTGCTACTACTAGTACTACTACTATTAGTACTACTACTACTACTACTACTACAACAAGGCAGTTTCTTTTCAATCCAATACAAAATGACAAAGAAAACGGTTCTCCAACATGAGATATAACCTTTATATAACTACCTGCATTCCGTTTCTCTCTAAAGGTAAGTGGTCCCTGGAAGATGTGGAGGTCATGATCTTTTCTGTCATCTGACACATCCCGACCTTGGCGATGTGGGGAGTTGCAGTCCCGACGACATCTCTGATCGTAGTCTGTGCCGTTGCATACTCGGACGTAGCAGAAGATGTATACATCCCGATTGTTGCGGACAAATTCAAATGTCCGGAACCGGAAGTGAACATGTTTCTGGGCGGAAGTGTACTCGAAAGCAACGGTCTGGTCAGCAGGACATCTACATAGAAATAATAAGGTGTACAATGTTTAACCATAGACCAAAATCTATGTTGAAAGGTCTGCTTTCATCGATCACATTAACGGGCAGTATATTCACAGTAAGTGTTTCTTTGCCGAGTTAAAAGTACAGATATCTAAAACGGATACAGTAAGGAAAACGGATCCTTTCCTACAGAAGTAATATAAGTCTACCAATACATATTTATTTAATGTTAAATGTCTCAATTGTGGCATTGACTGATAGGCTGCATTTATCATTTTAGATACACGTGTAGCGGAGTTCGATATACTAGATCACCATAGTGACAAAGCATAATCTTAAGATTCAATCATGTTTCCTGACCATAGATCTGGTGTCACGTACCCATTTCTGATAAGGTAGTACTGGTTATAATAATCGTAAGGATTTACAGATGGTTTAGCCACGCAGTTCTGAAGCGATATCTTGAGGTCAGAGTCATCGGACTCCAGCCCGACGTCCACGTATACATCCTGATTCAGGCCAATGTACATGGGATAGGACGTGATTCTGTAACTCAAGCTTGGATCCCTGTAGAAGTCCATATGCATGGAAAAGTTTCCTGAGCCTCGTGCAACCAGCTCATGGTCATGTTGAGGCCTGAAGTGTCCGACTATGGACACATCCCTGTTAAGGTGACATTCTAACGCTATATCCTTCGAGTTGAACCTCGTGATGATTGATCCCATCGTGGAGCTACCGTAGTATCCTCTACTCTGTGTCACGATCTTGTTCTTGTACACTATCTCAAATCCAGTTTCCTTGAAAACAAAGTAAATAATTGAAGTATGTTATTGTCACAACCCACATGTGTGGCTTTACGCGACAGGGCTGAAAATAAACCATGGTAATTAGTATAACTGCATGCTATTTATTTATGTAACGACTGAACCCTTCCCTCCTAGACCATTTCCAATGTGCCCCAGATACAACTGTCTGGCCTGTGTGTAGTCTATGCTGCTCAGAGAAGGAGGTGAGATGAAATGGGGTTTAACGTTGCGTCCAAGATTATTGCCCTTAATTAGTAACTTGAATGCACGTGTGTGTGTGTGTGTGTGTGTGTGTGTGTGTGTGTGTGTGTGTGTGTGTGTGTGTGTGTGTGTGTGTGTGTGTGTGTGTGTGTGTGTGTGTGCTAGTCCGGAGTGATGCCGATTTATAGTGCCAGCACACTGAGATACCATGCCGCACTTTAACATGAATACCCCATTCAGACACAGTATACTGACTCCGAGCCGAGCAGTCCATGTTTTAGCCCCTTAATACCGAGCGCCAGACAGGGTAACAACAAGTACCATCTTTTAACGTCTTTTGGTATCCGGACAGACGCTCTACCACTAGACCACGGAGGCGGCCCTCAGAGAAGGAACAGGTACCCATTCTGCTACAAAACTTTTAAGTTGAAGGTTATTCCTTCAGCCAATTCGCTGATGATTCGTGAATGGCGTTGGGTATTTGTGACCATTCATATCATTCCTGGACATGTTGGGACCAAAGAGACGTAGATTACTTTCAATGGCACCACTGCAACCTAACAATGACACCAGGTGTTCGCGAAATGGACGTGTTGCCCTTCCGGGATCATCCCTTATGAGTGAGGGTCGAGGTCATTGAGTTAGCCAAAGGACATCTGTGTAGTATTTCGTCGACGTTAGGGAAAAACGATATTTTAACTAATAAATGTTTAGGTTGTGAAGGTCGTGGGCAGTGGTGATAGAATGACGCCCTGCAGTTATCTGTGACGTAATGTCCTCGTGAATGCATGATCAATTGATAATCACAACAAACTACTGATTTGTATTAGCCTTGGTTTAGATCAGATCACTATGATGTTAATTACACTTATAGAATCTATATCTACATATATCGTCAGAAAAGAGTTATTGAATTCCGTTGGTATCTATTGTTCATAACACTTTTAACATCTATATCCTCATCAATATTTATATTTAAATCCTGTTTCAGACATTTTGTGAAATCAGATACAAAATATGATGCCATTGTGCATTGAGTTAGGTTTGTAACATTACCGAACGCAGCAAGAAACGGATTAGTTACCTCCCTTGTCATGCCACATCCGAGGATGTTTGAACGAAACATCACGACGTCATAGTAGACTTGACCCCTGCAGCTAGGGTCATCCAGGGTCAGGTCATATTCAGATGACCCCGGAAACACTTGTTGAATCATGTCGCGGGGTACAGTCACTTTGAAATCCCTGGAGTCGCAGGTGACCATTACTTTCCCAAAGGGGGCTGATGAGAAAAGAGGAGTGAGGATCAGACCTTTCATGCAATATATAGCAAAGGACAAAAAAGTATATACTCATCGATATTTCCAAATTTGATGTTGCGACGAAAGTTTCGAACTAGTAAACTACCGTGAGCTGCACGGTGGCAAACTCGATTACGTCCCCTGTTAGCAGCCATATCACATGATGACATGAAAATCTTGCTTGTTTGTTGTTTAACGCCGCAAGCAGCAATATTCCAGCTATATGACGGCGGTCTGTAAATAATGGAGTCTGGACCAGACAATCCAATGATTGACATCATGAGCATCGATCCACGCAATAGGGATACGATGACATACGATACAACCAAATCAGCGAGCCTGACCAACAGATTCCGTTGGTCGCCTCTTACGACAAGCATAGTCTCCTTTTACGGCAAGCATGGGTTACTGAAGACCTGTTCTACCCCGGATCTTCACGGGTCGACATGAAAGCTGTTATATCTAACGAGTAAATGTCATCATATTGATATATATGAACCAGGCTTCCGATCGGTACGAACATTACGTCAGTTAACACATTATCGTGCTAAGTACTACTGGAATATATTTTAGGCAGGATTAGGGCTTAATCGGACAGCAGCGTAGTTTGGGCCCAAATGATAGATCGAGCGAGGCCCGTTTACAGGCGATTCACCCTAACTAAAATTAGAAGAAATCTAAATTCTGAAAACGTGAAGCGTGTGCTAGAGGAAATCTTCATATGAAAAAAGAACATATGCGAAAAGGACAGGAACGGTGTGAAGGGAATAGAGAAAATGACTTTCCAAACTGTATCTTTAGGGATGAGTTGAAATTCAAGTTCAAGGTTACAAGAGGAAGGTGATGTATATGTGGAATATGCCCAAATTCTCTCCGATCGTGTGTGAGGGTTTGCAGCAGTGTAGGAATGTTATGACTGATATATGACGCCCTTGATGGAAATTAATGGGAGAGTTGTATTCTGTAAAGTACTGTGGAATTCAAGGAGGACTCGTGAACTCAGGTACAGGAGGCAGTTGAGTTCCTTGCGTTGTGCAATAGATTAACGCCCGCACGCAATCGTTAGCTTTCACTGGGCTTCATATTACAGTCAAGTATTTTCCGACCGCTTCAACCAACTTGTACTGAAGCCTTTTAAGGCCATTTGGTTTTTTGGTGTTTTTCTTGAAATTTCAAGATACAAAGTTGTTGGGGTTTTTTTTACTTGACATATCAAGATACTAACTAGCAAATTCTAGATGTTAAGTTGAAATTTCAAAATGCCAGTTGAAATTTCAAGATACATAAGCTAAAATTTCAAGATAATGATCTTGAAGTTTCGAGATAATAAGTTGAAATTTCAAGATACTAAGTTGGAATTTTATGATATTAACTTGAAATTTCAACTTATTATCTTGAAATTTCAAGATCATTATCTTGAAATGTTTACTTAGAATCTTGAAATTTCAACCTGTGTATCTTAAAATTTCAAGGTATCTTGAAATGTCAAGTCAGTATCTTGACTTTTTACTTAGAATCTTGAAATTTCAACTTAGTATCTTGAAATTTCGAGAAGAAAATTAAAAAACAAATGGCTCTAAAATGCTTCTCTAAACTTGAATGCCACTGGTCCAAAAATAAGAGCCAACTGATATCAGTAAATGGAAACGAGCGATTCGTCCGATCTTTCGTAGTATCTGATAGTTTCATGCCATGCCCCAGCGTTTAGAGCAGTGAAATGTAGTACTGACTATTGTCCATTACAAAGCAGCTGACCAGAGACCACATGACAATTGAAACAAACTGAGTGATCACTTGCAACAAAATTGAATTTGAACTGCCCGTTTGTACACATGGATATAACAGAATAGTATTCTAGGTCACTTTCGAGTATACGGGGTTGATGTAAATAAGCAGTTATCTCCCTCCACACTGCGTTTACAGAGCCTCAGAGGCGGGCATTTCACACTAAAAGTTCCTACCTTTTGATGACCAGCCCCACCAGTTGCTGCTCGACCCTGGAATGATAAAGGTGAGTGGGTGAGTGAGTGAGTGAGTGAGTGGATGGGTTTTGGTGAGTGGGTGAGTGGGTGAGTGAGTGAGTGAGTGAGTGAGTGAGTGGATGGGTTTTGGTGAGTGAGTGAGTGAGTGAGTGAGTGAGTGAGTGAGTGTGATGCCCCAGCGTTTAGAACAGTGAAATGTAGTACTGACTATTGTCCATTACAAAGCAGCTCACCAGAGACCACATGACAAATGAAATAAACTGAGTGACGTAAATAAGCAGTTATCTCCCTCCACACTGCGCTCACAGAGCCTCAGACGCGGGCATTTCACACTAAAAGTTCCTACCTTTTGATGACCAGCCCCACCAGTTGCTGCCCGACTCTGGAATGATAAAGGTGGGTGGGTGAGTGAGTGAGTGGATGGGTTTTGGTGAGTGAGTGAGTGAGTGAGTGAGTGAGTGAGTGGGTGGATGGGTCGGTGGGTGAGTGGGTTGTGAGTGGGTGAGTGAGTGTGTGGGTTTGGGTGAGTGAGTGAGTGAGTTTGGGTGGGTGGGTGAGTGAGTGAGTGAGTGAGTGAGTGGGTGGGTGGGTGGTCACGATTTGAAAAGTATCTCTGTTATGTCGTATCTCGCCTTTGACGACTTGGGGAAACATGTAGCAAATATTATATTTATTAATGATTGTTCAAATGATAAAAATCTTGACAGTGAAGGTAGTGCACTTATCGCACGAGTACTGCATAATATAAGGTTGAACATAGTTCATTATCCTTGTCAATCTTCATGAAGAAATAAGAATGTAGAAATGTCTCACGATAGTATGCGTTCGTTGTGTATCCATAGCCATAGGTCAAGGTCGCATCTAAAATAACAGTTGGATTTTATGAGTGTACAAATGGTTATATGCTTTCATTATGGTATGCTTCATTGTAAAAACTATTAGTTATGGTGTCTTTAGTTGCCGTATACGGTGTCATATTAGGTTAGCAGAAAAATATTGGACAAGGCGTCAAAAACAGTGTAGAATAAGGAATTTCTGTACTAGAATTTTCATGTGAAATATGAGGTGGGTGTTGGAAAATCCAAAATGGCTGTTACTGACGGTATACCGTCTCATATTAGGTCAGTAACAACCATCTTGGATTTTTACTGACGGTATACGGGCTCATATGGGGTTGGTAGTTCTGCTCTCTGATTGGTCAAACTCACTTTGAAGCATAATAAAATGAAATATCGTTAGCTGGAACTACTTCTTTTAATGTAGCATTTCCCTTTGTGGCCCTATCAGAATCCCTACTGGTGCTATGGAAAAGTTTAAGTACTCCGTTTATCTTGGAATACGGATAGTTTGGCATGTGTATTATCCCAAAATTCTGGGAAACGACGGTTCACACTTAGTCATTATGAGGCTAAGAGGTATTATACTATGATACCATAGGACAGTCTCCAGGACAGTTTGAATCCTCGGTTAGTATTGCTTCCATCAGTGGTGAAGGTGATATCAAAGTATCTGCCGATGATGGTATCACGACTTGTGCCAGTGAATGTCCTCAACTGGCGGTTCCGATATGGGTCCTCGTAAATAATCTGAAAAGCAGGCAAAATAATTATTCACCTTGGCGTTTAACGTTCTCCATCATCTCTGAGTGATTACCATTTGATGTATGATCCCGAGGGAGCTGAGAATGTATTGTGATAATACTGTCTGTGAGCAGTTTGTTTGCTTTTCAACAACTATATGACGGGGACTGTAAATTGCATGTGTACCAGGCAATCCAGTGAGCACGAGTATCGATCTACTCAACTGGGTTCGATGACATGCATCAACCAAGTCAGCGAGCCTGACCACCCGATCCCGTTAGTCGCCTCTTAAGCCCAGCATGGGTTACTGAAGATTAATTCTGACCCGAATTTTTGCGAAAGGTCTGTAAGTGGTATTGATCTATTATTATTCCTTTTATTATTATGCACATCACATTGTGTATACTATCATAAAGTAAAGACAAAACTCGGTAAAACAAATACGACAGTATAACAGTGTTTCTATGTACCTTCAGGTGATCATAACCTTGCTCTAAATTCATATCGTCAATTCTAAGTTCACTGTAGGTTGATGTGAGGATGTGGTAGACGCAGTTGAGGTTGTTTGAGTAGCTGGAGGGGTAGTTGGGGGATGTGAAAACGCCACTCGTGCTGTAGCTCGTCTGACCACAGGCTTAACAAAAAACATATATGTATTAAGAAAGCGAATAATGAGTCAAGCGAATTCAGTTGACACAAAGACACTATCACTGTAGCGGATGAACACATAAGTAGTGTAGTAGTGTACGTATTGGTCGTAATACTAAATGAAAAGACACATGTTACATTTATCTCGACATGTTTGTTCTTGTGGGCATAAAAACGCTTACCTCCGTTTGTAGTCCTATCGTACCACGGGGCTGTGGAAGTAAATATAAAATGTTTCAGAATATTTAAAATTTGTGTAAACGGACTTTTTTGTTTAAAAAAAGAAGTTAGACCACGTTCTTCATATTTCGCAATACTCACGGGAGCTTGTCATTCCATACCAAGGGTAAGAGCTAGATGGCTGGCTGTTGTAGCTGGAGTCTGGTGGAAAGTCAGAAAATATGTTTGAAAATCAGACACCGGAATTGTTATAAAGTGCCCATATTCGTATAACGACCAAGCACTCCGATAAACAACGATAACTATTCAAGCCTTTGTGCTTGGTCGCCTCTCAAAGGACATATCAAATAGTTTTGTGTGCACTCGATATATATTTCTGCCAGTGTGCACATTCGACAAAGAAAACAAACTTTCTATCTTTTTGGACATATCTTAGTTTTTTCCGATTGTTTAATCTAACTAAGACTCTAGAAATGTAACTGCCTGTACAGAAAAGGCACTTGCATGATGTCAATTTCGTTTCCGTTTACCAATGCAACATTTTAATGTTCGGGCGACGATATCCGCCATTATGGATTGGTATGCTGTCGGCTTGTTTAAATCAGAGACTCGCAGATCGCGTACTTTAGTCGCTGTTTATCATTATATATAATAAAATAATATTTATGAAAACGTTGCGAGATTTTTTAATTTTGATTAGAAAAATTGGTCCGGCTAGTCAAATTGGTCCTCTACAAGCTTCTGCCCGGAGAACGGGACGTCAGGTGTTCGATCTCCGGCCGCGTCATACCAAAAGACGTTACGAGATGGTTCTTGTTGGTTGTTTCCCAGTCTTGCGGGGATAAAACTAGGACAGGTCATTTCGGAGTCAGCATACTGTATTTGAGTGGGGTATCCATGTTAAACTGCGGCATGGTATATCAGTGGACTATAGCACGGTGACTATAAATCAGCAGACACACTCACGCGCGCGCACAGACACACATGTGCATGCACGTCGCACGCACGTTAAACTCCATTTCATCGCACCACCTTGCCTTTCTATGTTTATAAACAGGGACAAATATCCGAGGGAAATCATGAACAGAGTTTCAAGCTATAAATTGTGCAAATCTGTACGCTTACCGGTTGTGAGATACGCGGGGAGTGATGACAAATCTGTAAAAAGTCAAACATGCATTTACCAAACGCAAACCAGTGGGTTTACGTCAAATAATAAACCATGACATCATTACGCTACAACGTTTGTACAGCATAGTACACGGCCATTGTGTCATGACATTGTATGCATATGTATGTGTACTGTATGCATGTGTACATGTATGTGTCGTGACATTTTATGCATGTACATGTGTCGTGGCATTGTATGCATGTACATGTGTCTTGGCATTGTATACACATGCACTTGTGTCGTGACATTGTATGCATGTACAAGTGTAGTGGCAGGTTATGCATGTATATGTGTCGTGGCAGGTTATGCATGTATATGTGTCGTGGCAGGTTATGCATGTACATGTGTCGTGGCAGGTTATGCATATACATGTGTCTTGGCAGGTTATGCATTTACATGTATCGTGGCAGGTTATGCATGTACACGTGTCCTGGCAGGTTATGCATGTACATTTGACTTGGCAGGTTATGCATGTACACGTGTCGTGGCAGGTTATGCATGTACATGTGTCCTGGCAGGTTATGCATGTACATTTGACTTGGCAGGTTATGCATGTACATGTGTCGTGGCAGGTTATGCATGTACATGTGTCGTGGCAGGTTATGCATGTACATGTGTCGTGGCAGGTTATGCATGTACATGTGTCGTGACATTGTATGCATGTACATGTGTCGTGGCAGGTTATGCATGTACATGTGTCGTGGCAGGTTAGGCATGTACACGTGTCGTGCTGGTTATGTATGTATATGTGTTGTGACATTGTATGCATGTACATGTGTCCTGGCAGGTTATGCATGTACATGTGTCGTGGCAGGTTAGGCATGTACACGTGTCGTGCTGGTTATGTATGTACATGTGTCGTGGCAGGTTATGCATGTACATGTGTCTTGGCAGGTTATGCATGTATATGTGTCGTGACAGGTTATGCATGTACATGTGTCGCGCAGGTTATACATGTAAATGTGTCGTGGCAGGTCATACATGTAAATGTGTCTTGGCAGGTTATGCATGTATATGTGTCTTGGCAGGTCATACATGTAAATGTGTCGTGGCAGGTTATGCATGTATATGTGTCTTGGCAGGTTATGCATGTACATGTGTCTTGGCAGGTTATGCATGTACATGTGTCTTGGCAGGTTATGCATGTACATGTGTCGTGGCAGGTTATGCATGTATATGTGTCGTGGCATTGTATGGATGTATATGTGTCGTAGCATTGTATGCATATATATGGGTCGTGACAGGTTATGTATGTACATGTGTCTTGGCAGGTTATGCATGTACATGTGTCGTGAAGGTTATGCATGTATATGTGTCGTGGCAGGTTATGCATGTATATGTGTTGTGGCAGGTTGTACATGTAAATGTGTCGTGGCAGGTTATGCATGTAAATGTGTCGTTGCAGGTTATGCATGTAAATGTGTCGTGGCAGGTTATACATGTAAATGTGTCGTGGCAGGTTATACATGTAAATGTGTCGTGGCAGGTTATGCATGTAAATGTGTCGTGACAGGTTATGCATGTACATGTGTCTTGGCAGGTTATGCATGTACATGTGTCTTGGCAGGTTATGCATGTACATGTGTCTTGGCAGGTTATGCATGTACATGTGTCTTGGCAGGTTATGCATGTACATGTGTCTTGACAGGTTATGCATGTATATGCGTCTTGGCAGGTTATGCATGTACATGTGTCTTGGCAGGTTATGCATGTACATGTGTCTTGGCAGGTTATGCATGTATATGTGTCATGTCAGGTTATGCATGTATATGTGTCCTGGCATTGTATGCATGTATATGTGTCGAATCATTGTATGCATGTATGTGTGTCGTGGCATTGTATGCATGTTCACGTGTCCTGGCATTGTATGCATGTATATGTGTTGTGGCATTTTATGCATGTATATGTGTCGTGGCATTGTATGCATGTTCACGTGTCCTGGCATTGTATGCGTGTCTATGTGTCCAAGCATTGTATGCATGCATATGTGTCGTAGCATTGTATGCATGTATATATTTCGTAGCATTGTATGCATGTATATATTTCGTAGCATTGTATGCATGTACATGTGTCCTGGCAATGTATGCATGTATATGTGTCGTAGCATTGTATGCATGTATATGTGTCGTAGCATTTTATTTTTATGCATTTATATGTGTGCTGCCATTGTATGCATGTATATGTGTCGTGGCATGGTATATTTGTAAACGTGTTCTCATTGCTTGATTCGCTATATACTTGTGTTTGGAGGATAAAAGAATAACATTGTCAGTGTTTGTAACCCTAACGTAAACTGCTATCGTGAGCATTGTAGTGCTGTTAAGGTGATGACAATGGCCACATACCTGGACCGTAGTACAGTTGGAATCCTCTGCGGACAACGCTACCATCAGAGGTGAACACCACTCGGAAGTATTTTCCATAGAGGTCGTAACTGCCAGTCACGTTGTTTCCTTGGTCATCATATATCTGCAAAAGCACATCTTAAGATATAAAATATAACAGATTTTACGATCGATATTTTAGAAGCCTGTTATTGCACATTGCTTTTTATCTAATCTAGTATCTGTTATGTTATTTCTTCTGATATTAACAGGGGGCACAGGTGGCCCAGTCGTCTAAGGCGCCGGGATTCGCTGTGCAGAGTTGCGTCCCTTGGGCATGCCAGAAACCTATGATTTTGGGTTCGAATCCCGGTTCGCCCCGAAAATGTTTCAGCACCATACCCGTGCTCGTGGGTTTCACCGAGGTGGTGAACGTCTGAAACCTGCATCACTTCGGGCTTTCCTCCCACATTAAGCTGACACGCCGCGATATAACTGGAATACTGTTAAAAGCGGCGTTAAACCCAACTCACCCACTCACTCACTCTGATGTTAACAGTATCTGGATATCCAATTTCATGCCCATCTTATTATCATATGTTTTTATGCGCACATTTATTTCGTTTTGTGTAAGGTACATGTAAGTGTATTTTGCTATGTTTTTTGTCACCATGCGTGTACATGTACACATCAGATACAGGATCTTGTGTGTTTTTGCCAACACCTGGTATTATCACTTTTTCGTAATGATATTGTTTCATAACCACATGCACATGATCTGATGGGTAGATGGTTCTGTAGGCGGTCTGATCATGAAGTCCCCAAGTTTTGTCCTAAGGTCAGTACCATTTATCAATAATACTAAGTCGACTACAGATGAACTATTTGATCCGAGACAGTAAGACTAACCTCAACTCATTTCTTACATTTCTTTCTTTACTGATTACCAGCAGAATCTCTGCATTTGTCACACGTCATTCAAACTTAACGTATCTTTTGTTTCAATAAAATCAGTAAATGCGCTACCGTGTGATATTTACGATATAAATACCGTTATATTCATGATGATGGGCGTTTCCGCTTTAAATTATATGCATATACGTGTATGCGCTGTGTGATCTTTTTACGAATTTGTTTGGTGGCTGTCAAGTTGGACTTGTTTACCACCCTGATCGATCAATATAGCGAATAGACTAGACACGTGCTATCGTGATTGATTGTGGCTGACCAATCAGAACCCGGTCTTCCGGAAGGGCATGGTACAATCTTATACTTAGTGGTGATCGAACAAGATGTATTCACATGACATACTAACATGGGTCACTCAAGCATGGATGAGAGATATCATACCACAAGATGGTCACAGCACTTCTCCAGGTCTTTGTCAATCACTCGGAGGTAGACGTAGGTGCCAGGGGAGATGACGTATTCGCATTGAGCGTTGTTGTAGTAGTTGCTTGGGTAGTTGGGGGACGTGATGTAACCAGACAAGCTGCTGCTGTACGTTGTTCCGCAGTCTGAAATTGTTCATTCACATCTGATGCTGGTTAACAGAACAGAAGTTCAATTGGGGCATTTACCTCCACGGCTGACCCGTGAACATCCGGGGTGGAATAGGTCTTCAGCAACCCATGATTGCCGTAAAAGGCGACTATGCTTGTCGCAAGAGGCGACTAACGGGATCGGGTGGTCAGACCTGATGCATGTCATCGTATCCCAGTTGCCTAGATCGATGCTCAGAAGTGAGTGAGTGAGTTGGGTTTAACGCCGCTTTAACAGTATTCCAGTCATATCGCGGTGTGTCAGCTTAATGTGGGAGGAAAGCCCGAAGTGATGCAGGTCTCAGACGTTTACCACTTCGGTGAAACCCACGCGCACGGGTATGCTGACAAACCTAGAAACATAATCGGGGCGAACCGGGATTCGAACCCATAATCATAGGTTTCTGGTATGCCAAGGGAAGCAACTCTGCACAGCGGATCGCGGCGCCTTAGGCGACCCGTGCCGCCAATTCCCTGAAGAACTTGTGAAGATCCTGGTTAGAATTGGTCTCCAGCAACCCACGCTTGTCGTAGGATTCGACTAATGGGATCGAGTGGTCATCGTTTCCCAAATGCGTTAATCGATGCTCATGATGTCAATCACTGGATTGTCTTGTCAAGACTCCATTATTTACAGACCGCCGTCATATAGCTGGAATATTGCTGAGTATGGCGTTAAACAACAAACACAACTTCCATAGCTATAAGCAGTTGCACCTCATAAATAAGGATGGTCAGATCCTGAATGGATTAACCGGTTTCTGAACTGTACACTTTAGCCACTCTTTACATTATCATCATTTACGCACTTATACGCAGGATGTATGGTCGACCATAACAGTTAACATGCATTCTGTATAGTACCTTCTATGCTTACATGATGCATTTGGACCAAATACACGACCAGTCAGCATATTTCTACAGGCATCAGAGTACGTAGAAGGTCTCCGTTGAGGAATAATGGACAAAATCGGCGACCACGCTGTCATGAAGTATATCCAGCTGACATGCAAGACTAACTTCATCAGCCACCCACGTGGTCATGGTGTCACCTTCAGAGGATGATACTCTTTCTGTCCCCACTTTTTAGAGCTGGGCAGCGGCGTTCAATGGGGGACGCAAATTATAATGGCGTCATTTCTGTGGTGGAGGACTTTATACACAAGGAGGATGCCCTCTACACCAGTAGGGTTTGTTTGGGCCTCGTGGCTCAATGCAGTCCGAACGCCTTCGTGGTCTAGTGGTAGAGCGCCCGCCCGGAGAGAGAAGGGTTCGGGGTTCGATCCCCGGCCAAAAGACGTTAACAGATTGTACTTGTTGTTACTTTGGCACTCGGCATTAAGAGGCTACAATAAGGACTGGTCGGCTCGGAGTCAGTTTACTGTGTCTGATTGGGTATTCATGTTAAACTGCAGCATGGTATCTGGCACTATAAATCGGCATCAGCCCGGACTAGTACACACACACACACACACACACACACACACACACACACACACACACACACACACACACACACACACACACACACACACACGTGCATACACGTCGCTATTTAACGTTAATCTCACCTCACCTCACCTCACCTCACCTCACCTCACCTCACCTCACCTCACCTCACCTCAACTCGGTCAACCACGACGGTTACATATAAGGGAGCTTTATTCATGAAAGCTTTCATCAATCGGAATCCGCAATCATAATCGATCTTATAATATACTCCCAATAGATGCACTGTCCTGCAATCACACAGTATGGCGTGAAAACTTATCATGCTTGTCACTATGACGTCTTCTTATCTAGCACATGCTTGCCGTAAAAGGCGACGTTGCTTGTCGTAAGAAGCGACTAACGGGATCGGGTGGTCAGGCTCGCTGACTTGGTTGATGCATGTCATCGTATCCCTATTGCCTAGATCGATGCTCATGATGCCATTGTCTGGTCCAGACATGATTATCTACAGACCGCCGCATATAGCTGTGATATTGTTAAACAACAAACAAATAACAAAACTTATATAGCACATATTCATTGATATATCTAACTTACTGTTATAGCCCGGCGAAGTGAAGGCCCCGCTCGAATCTGTGATGATAGGCATGATCCATTTGACAAATATCATTGAAAATAAAACATTTTAAATGCGTCATCAGTAACCATTTGAATAGAAATATAGAAGTCAGACCATATATATTGAAATATGTATATGACATGTATAAGTACGGCTGTTCCTGCAGATGGGGTATGTATATGACATGTATAAGTACGGCTGTTCCTGCAGATGGGGTATGTATATGACATGTATAGGTACGGCTGTTCCTGCAGATGGGGTATGTATATGACATGTATAGGTACGGCTGTTCCTGCAGATGGGGTATGTATATGACATGTATAAGTACGGCTGTTCCTGCAGATGGGGTATGTATATGACATGTATAGGTACGGCTGTTCCTGCAGATGGGGTATGTATATGACATGTATAGGTACGGCTGTTCCTGCAGATGGGGCATGAATATGACATGTATAAGTACGGCTGTTCCTGCAGATGGGGTATGTATATGACATGTATAGGTACGGCTGTTCCTGCAGATGGGGTATGTATATGACATGTATAGGTACGGCTGTTCCTGCAGATGGGGCATGAATATGACATGTATAAGTACGGCTGTTCCTGCAGATGGGGTATGTATATGACATGTATAGGTACGGCTGTTCCTGCAGATGGGGTATGTATATGACATGTATAGGTACGGCTGTTCCTGCAGATGGGGCATGAATATGACATGTATAAGTACGGCTGTTCCTGCAGATGGGGTATGTATATGACATGTATAGGTACGGCTGTTCCTGCAGATGGGGTATGTATATGACATGTATAGGTACGGCTGTTCCTGCAGATGGGGCATGAATATGACATGTATAAGTACGGCTGTTCCTGCAGATGGGGTATGTATATGACATGTATAGGTACGGCTGTTCCTGCAGATGGGGCATGAATATGACATGTATAAGTACGGCTGTTCCTGCAGATGGGGTATGTATATGACATGTATAGGTACGGCTGTTCCTGCAGATGGGGTATGTATATGACATATATAGGTACGGCTGTTCCTGCAGATGGGGTATGTATATGACATGTCTAAGTACGGCTGTTCCTGCAGGTGGGGTATGTATATGACATGTCTAAGTACGGCTGTTCCTGCAGATGGGGTATGTATATGACATGTCTAAGTACGGCTGTTCCTGCTGATGGGGTATGTATATGACATGTCTAAGTACGGCTGTTCCCGCAGATGGGGTATGTATATGACATGTATAAGTACGGCTGTTCCTGCAGGTGGGGTATGTATATGACATGTCTAAGTACGGCTGTTCCTGCTGATGGGGTATGTATATGACATGTATAAGTACGGCTGTACCTGCAGGTGGGGTATGTATATGACATGTCTAAGTACGGCTGTTCCTGCTGATGGGGTATGTACATGACATTATAAGTACAGCTGTTCCTGTAGATTATCAATGATGAATAAAGGAACCACTTAACGTAATTGCACACACCGTGGTAAACAGAGTTTATCCATTCAAACGAAACCAGTTGTCTAACATCCTTGTCAATCATAATCTGCGCATTTTTTACATGATGTTATATCGTCATACAAGTAAAACTGAAGCAAAGTAATTCTTTCTTCTGTTCTCTACTTATTATACTTACCACCTGTAGTTGCATATCTCCCATCATAGGTAGCAGGCCGTTCTAAAAACAGATATGTCATGTGTTGGTTATCCAGGACGACTATTAGCCAAATTTATGTCTATTTTTGTTAGGCCTAAAATGACGCAGTAACAACGCGATTTTAAAACAATATTTTTACCTACAGGCTTTCATGATTCCATTGTAAATTGATACTGTTTTCAAAACGTATTACAAAAGGCTTTACGCGTGTGTATCCCAAAACGTATTACAAAAGGCTTTACGCGTGTTTATCCCAAATAGTATAAAGTCATCTTTATTCATATGATATGGACTTAACTTTCTCTCTAGGATTGGCTAATGAGAGTTTCCTGACTTTCGTTTAAAATCCAGAAATAAGGTCAAATGCCGGGAGTTAATACGCCTCCGCTACGTTCGTTTCTTTGTCCTCTCATGGGCCAAACAGTCAACTAAGCTATGCCGTTCCGTTCCGTTTAGTCCCTTGTGAATATCGTTAAACAGCCATTCCTATCTCAATTCAAAACTCGATGAACCGAAATATATGATCAGTCAATCCTTATGTAAAAAAACTCAGTTTTACCCGTGGTGCTGCCGTACGGCCATCTGGAAGCCCAACCTACAGGGAGATAATCACATTTGTCAGTATCAGTCAGTTTGGGGAAAGAACATCATTGATTATTACGCCACCATAATGTCAACATGATGCTGAAACACCAAGGGCTATAATCGGTGTTGAATCTGGGATGTACACACATTCAATGGATCCTGGCACATCTAGGGGGCGCAACCCTGCAAGCGAAGCTCAAGCCCCTCCGATAATTGTGCGACACATGTCCCAAGTTGTGTTGAGATCTTACGATCATTTACTACTTGTGGGACATACTTTTTGTCTGCCTTATGCAGTATCAACACCCTCCCCCATTCTCGTCTGTAGACTTAAACCCGTTATCCTCTATCACAAGTCTCTAGCCAATTAATCTCTTGATGAGGGCACACTGAGGAATTGTATTTTCTTCTGTCTGTATATGGTGTTAGTGGTTGCGGTAGTGATGGTTCTGACGTTGATGGTGGAAGTGTGTGTCTTCTCACTTACCTCTTGTTGTTGTATCGTAGTACCAGTCACGGGTACGACCTGCAAAATGTCAACATCCAGTCATTCTGGTTTCCATTTCTTTTCTGGAAATATGTATTCCTAAATTGACGAATATTATACAGCTATATTTTGCCGAGCATTATCTTGTTTCGTTCTACTTATTTCTGAAAAGCAGTCCACGGGTAGAATGTTTATATGTGCCTTAAAATCTTTGTGTCCATAACTCCTTCAATCGATGTACGCCACGTCCACGTCGAACTACATACTACTCAAACTTTACTAAGGATTACCAGATTGAAATCAATGTGTCAAATTGTGTGCATCTATTGAAATAGCTAAAGACAAGATTGCGTGAAGACAAGTCCGTTGTCGTGTGCCTCACATTGCCAGAAAACAAAATGTGACCAATAATCAGTCAGATCGCCCGTCAAAATCAGAGTATCTGACAAAACTAAAACGTCAAAATATCCCGAAAACGAATCCATTGTCCACAAACACAATCCACCTACGCCATATCTATATTCCTTCAAAATAATATTTACACCAAAATGTCAATAAGTTTAACATTCCTTTATCTACAACTAACACAAAGCTCATTATCAATATCGCTAAATATCTGTATGACAGTAAAGAAGAAAGAATGCGTATTTGATCATTGTGACTGTTGCCATAAATATGTCATACATTTTGTACAAAGGGCCTGTGGCCTGTATAGTACTGAATAAGAAGAGTGACTGAGTGAGTGAGTTGGGTTTAACGCCTCTTTTAACAGTATTCCAGTTATATCACGGCGTGTCAGTTTAATGTGGGAGGAAAGCCCGAAGTGATGCAGGTCTCAGACGTTTACCACTTCGGTGAAACCCTCGAGCACGGGCATGGTGCTGACAAACCTAGAAACATAATCAGGGCGAACCGGGATTCGAACCCACAATCATAGGTTTCTGGCATGCCCAAGGGACGCCACTCTGCACAGCGAATCGCGGCGCCTTAGACGAGTGGGCCACCCGTGCCCCCGAATAAAGAAGAAGAAACTATCAGTAGCGCGTATGTGATCCACGTGATGCGATCACAGCCTGGCACCGCCGTCTCATGCTCCCAATAAGTGTCTGGATGGTTGACAAGGGAACATTGTTCTACTCTTCAGCAAATGCATTGCAAAGTTCCTGTGGAGTTGTCGGAAGGACAGGGCGTCGTGAGGGGGCGATCTACGCTCGTTCCACGTGTGTTCCATAGGGTTGATGTCTGGTCAAAGGGCTGGCCACTCTATGCGGACAATGGTCTCCTCCTGTAAGTCTGCATCAACGACCATGACACGATGAGGTCGTGCGTTGTCGTCCATGAGGATGAAGTCCGGTCCGATCTCACGTACACATCTAGAATGTCCTCCATGGTAGTGCACACCTGTCATGGTGCCCCGATGGAGAACATGATTCATCAAAACGTCATCGTAAGCAAAACTTTGAGTAGTATATATTAACTGCCGAGCTATCTCACCCAGTCTCTCTTCCGCGCAAGACGGATATGTTTAGGGTTAGTTGCCAAGAGTTATCTCTGTTTCATTTTACGGACGCTTCATCTCTCTCTCCTGGTTGTGTTACCAGCAGAATCCCGTGCTGATACCTGGGGTGTGACGTAGACACTTTCAAATGCCACTTTATGTCACGCCATTGCCAAGGGAAGACATTTTTTCTTCCTCGACACATCAATTCATGTTGATGTCATTTATATATTTTTACAGGTATGTACCCTTGTCTATCTACTTTCTTTATGGAAATCTACTCAATAAAATAGGTAACGCGACTGTAGAAACTAAATCATAATTGTAGTAAATTGTGAATATCATATTCGGTCAAAAGGCATCGCGTTGCACGAGATTACTAAATCAAACATTAAGTTAAAGCACCATCCTGTAAGTAAGATTGTGAGTGAAAGATCTGGTTAAGTTCCATTTGTTTATCATTTATATATATTTTATTATTACATAAACGATCATAAAAATGTTACTTTGTATATAATGTGGTGTCGTCACACCTAACGTGTGCCGCCCCGAAAACATTTATTGCTACATTTATAGTATATAAAGTAACAGCGTTTGAATATTATATTGTGCCATGCTATTCAACTAAGTATATGAGACTTTATGTCACGCCATTGCCGAGGGAAGACATTCTTTCTTCCTAGACTCATCAATTCATGTTGATGTCATTTATATATTTGTACAGGTAATAAATCCTTTTATACCTCATCCTCACCACCTCAGTTCCCTCAATTACATCGTTGGAAGAACCCGCGACATTTCAACAGTCAATCCTAAAGTAAATCAAAATAGAAACCCAGTTTTACCCGTGGTGCTGGAAATCCAACCTACAGGAAGATAATCATATACGTCAGTGACATACAGATTGGCGAAAGAACATTATTGATTAATACTCCACCGTAATGGCAACAGATATAAATCTATTCCAAGAAATTATCTGTTTCATAATTATGTACAGAAGGTCAAGTACAGACATGATGCTGAAAAAAAACAAGGGTCGTAATCGGTGGCGAATCTTGTATATAAACCCACAATTCAACGGGTCATGGCACCTCAATGGAGCGCATCCCTGCATTCCGGCGCATCCGACCATTGAGACCGTTGTCCCGAGACATGTTGAGATCATACGAACATATACCACTGGGACAAATTTGTGTCTGCCTTTTCCAGTATCAACACCCTCCCATTCTCGCCTGTAGACTTACACCTGCTATCCCTATCACAAGTCCAAGGTACGCAGAGGTTCTCGACGTTTTTATTCCGTTGTGACAATAAATACTGTTGACCTAAGATAACAAATGATACGCCAACTTGTGCTTTGCTGATACCCGGCCAACCATGCACCTTTCCCTAACCTTTAACTTACACCTTGCTGATTCATAACACAATGTGTTCGTTTTACTTGAAGCGACAAAACCATTTCCATAATCCTAATAAAGTGTCCATTGTACGTTTCCCACTATATCAAAAGCATGCGTTTGTGAATCACTATGAACTAGTAATGACATCAGGCATTCGTTCAAAGTTGAGAGTACTCTGATCTGCCGGTGGCACCCGACACAAACACATGCAAAGGCACAACAAACAACACAAGTTAATTACAAAGGTGACCAGTAATTCATGTTACATGCACGCTGTAAGAACACACTGTAAGGTTTTAATCGAGATTCGTATAAACGAATACTCATTTAAAATTTGTGACAAAATTATCCCCGTCCTTATGATATGAACATAGCGTTTGCTTTTGCCCATTGTCTTTAATCAGGAAATATAGCCAAATAAGACAGTCCAGGAACATGAGACATCAGCACTATTCCCGTTATCATGGGCATCGCCAAAGACGCTTTGTCCCCCCCACACACCACCCCCCCCCCCCCCCCCCTCGACCTCCATCCTCCATCCCTCCAAGCCCACTCTACACACACACACAGAGACACACACAGACACACACACACACACAGACACACACACACACACACACACACACACACACACACACACACAAACACACAGACAGACACACACACACAGAGAGACACACACACACAGAGACACACACACACACACACACACACACACACACACATTAAGCTTACAAGCTTGGTGTAAGGTTATATCTATATCCTAATAGGGTATCCAAGGTTAAAAACACCTTATATAAATCTCGTTTCGGCTATGTTTGGAAAAACCAATCAGTTTCTTATACAGAACTGTTTGTATTTGAATTTGTATCACGATCAAAATAAACTGAACCGCAAAAGAAACGTCATCATGGATAAATATATGAGACATCTTATTTGTCCAAACACTGTAAACATACTTTGAGACATATTAAAAAGATGAAACTTGGCAAAACTGATCATCAAGGTTGAAATTAAAGTGTCAAATGTTCTTAAAGTGAAACACAACACTAGTCTCTGAGAAAATGGTATTACTAGTCAGTATCTCGTGTGTCCGCCATGTGCATTGATGACTGCCGTCCAACGTCGATACATGGAATGGGTGAGGCGGTTGATGAAGGCCACAGGCACTTGAGCCCGTACTCTGACGTCATTCAGCTGTCTTTGAATCTCGTCCCACGGGTGCTCAGATGAGGTATGGCGTGTGGTCTCAAGACTTGATCAGTGTACCGAGCTGCTGTGACACCGTTACCTCTGCCTGGACCGATGTTCTGGAAGACCACATGGCCGACCCTCTGTGCAAGACCAATTCCACCCCACGCCATGATGCTCGGACCACCCCACGAGTCTCTCTCAACAACACAAGCATCCGAATAACGTTCCCCACGGCGTCGCCAGACTCTCTCTCTCTCTCTCTCTCTCTCTCTCGCTCTCTCTGTCATCTGCTGTTGAGATACAGTAACGGCTCTCGCCTGAGAAGAGGACTCTTTTCCACTGCTGGTGGCGCCAATGCTGGTGCTGTGTTGCCTACCGAAGACGGTCCCGGCGTTGACGTAGTGTCAGAATGGGACCTCGGTGTGGCCTGTGACAGTGGAGGTGTCTGCTCGTCAATCATCGACGCACGGTGTCCGCACTAATGTGTCGCTGGTGTGTCCCCATGGTCTGTCGAGTAGTCTCCACAATAGTAACAAAGCGAACTTGAAGATGCTGTCGCACAATCTGACGATCCTGACGTCGGCTTGTGACCCTTGGTCTAGCGGTCTTCCACTACGTGGTCGGTCATCTCTAGTGTTGGTGGTCTGGTACCGTTGCTGGAGCCTGTATATGGTCCTTTCGCGGACTTGAAATGCATAGGCTACTTGCCGGGCAGCTTGTCCAGCTTGCAATCGTCCAAGGGCTTGGTGTCGCTGATTTCTTGTCAATCTTGGCATGTGGTAGCAATTTAACAACGAATGAATGAATGCGTTTGGGCGATTGGTTTTATTGTCATCTGATCTGTTTTTTTATCATCAAAATTCATTTTTCCGGACAAAGTAATGTGAAATTTTAGAAACTTTGACAAAAATACCCAGATATTTAAATGACAACTTTTCATGCAATGTTACTTGGGGTGACGTTTCTTTTGCGGTTCAGTATATATTCATGAACAAGAATGGCATTCAGATATTGTTCGTTCTAAAATGCGTACCTATTCTTTATTTAAATGAATTTTTTGTTTTGAACCTTACTTCTACATATCAATATTGATAAATGTCTTACTGCACTCACTCGCTATCGTTGTAGTTTTCGCACACTCCATATTGAAGTGGGTAGATATCACAATCCCGAGAGACCAAAGATTTTGTAACCCCTGTAACATTGGTCTTATCGAAAACGAATACCATGTTCTGTTAATTTGTAAAACATATTTACAATCTTAGACATAAATATTTTCCGAAAAAAATATTATGTGCACCTACATTCCATAAATTTAACATATTGTTGTCATCATGTCATGCTGAAACTATGAAAAACCTTTCACTATATATATTCCATGCCATGAATATTAGAAGCTCTTTAATGTCCATTGTGGACCTGACTAACTAAATGTACAGTGGGCCGATGGCCTATCGTGCGAAATGAATACAGAGTAAAGACAAGCTTTGATATCACTGGAAACTGGTCAAAGTGGCGTTAAACAAACTCACCCACTCCATTACGTTTACTATGAAACACCTACCCGGCGACGTGTATCCCCAGTACTGGGTTGGTGCTAAAAGAAAAGAATTGCCTCTTTTAGAACTTCACGTGTCAAACATGTAAATTTGTTACGTATTCAATCATGCAATTGATTTACTCTCCATCCGACTTTCGGCGGGTTCACTCACTATACTGAAAGGATTCCTTCTGAAGGAGTTTCAACAAGTAATGTAAAAGTAAGCAGCAGGATCGGCATGGTAAAGTATCTGAATCCGACAAATTAGTAATGTGTAAAGAATATAAATTGCTGACACTAACATGTCGAGAATATAGACGTTTATTTGTTTGTTAAGAATTTGTCAATAATGGTAAATAGAGGAAGACGATATGGTACTGGAAGATGTAAGAGACACTGTCCGTTGTGTTATCTGCACGTAATAGAAATTTTGGTACCTCCCAATATTCTGACTGACATTTGGAGAGTACCTGGGTTTGCTACCAGGAATACAGCCCTTCTGACAGTCTGGGTAATGCAGAAGGCTCCAGTATTGGGGAGTCTTCACATTCTCAAAAAAATTCTGGGTGGGTTCGACTAGGCAGCGCTTCTTGGGAGAAGTCCCATTTGCTGTCTGGGCTACGTGTAGAGGGGGCAAGGGCCCTGAGCTGATGATGTGCCTAACCAGCCTGACTGTGCCAGGATCACCCAAACCCATTTTGTTACATTTATTTTAGTCTGTATAATAATAATAATAATAATAATAATAATAATAATAATAATAATAATAATAGTACATTGCAATATTCATACACAACTGTTACCTAACTTCGTTAATAACCTAAATATGTGGGTCCGCGTTTTAGCACGTTATCTAGCCAATTATTCTCTTGATGAGGGCACACTGAGGAATTGTATTTCCTTCTGTCTGTATATGGTGTTAGTGGTTGCGGTAGTGATGGTTCTGACGTTGATGGTGGAAGTGTGTGTCTTCTCACTCACCTCTTGTTGTTGTATCGTAGTACCAGTCACGGGTACGACCTGCAAAATGTCAACATCCTGTCATTCTGGTTTCCATTTCTTTTCTTAGAAATATTTATTCCTAAATTCACGAATATTATACTGATATATTTTACCGAGCATTATCTTGTTTCTGTCAACGATTCTAACGGAGGTTTAAATGTGACTTAAAATCTTTGTGTTCATAGCTCGTTGAATCGACTCCACAGTCGAACTATACACTACTCAACGTTTGCTAAGGTTCACCACAATTAAAGGCAATACCTCAAATTGTGTGCATATATTGAAACAGCCAAAGACAATATTGCGCGAAGACATGTGCTGCACAATGCCCACAAACAACATGTGACCAATAACCAGTCAGATCATCCGTCAAAATGAGAGTTTTCGACTACCCTTTTCTCGTACAATTACACGTTGCTTTATCGATTCATAACTCATTAAACTGAAATATATTAGCAGTCAATCTTTAAGTAAAAAACTCAGTGTTGCCCGTAGTGCTGCCGTACGGCCATCTGGAAGCCAAACCTACAGGAAGATAATCACATATGTCAGTATCAGTCAGTTTGGGGAAAGAACATTACTGATTAATACGCCACCGACATGTCAACAGAGATAGTTTTGAAAAAACATCTTGTTTGTTCCAAGGAGTGATCTACACCACATATAATAGTATAGATGCGAAGCCCCGGGTCATTGTGCTACACATGTCCCGAAATGAGTTAGGATCCTGAGAAAATTTACTATACTTTTATATGACAAATATTTTTCTTATCCAGTATCATCACCTTCCTAATTCTCGTCTTTTGACTTACACTTGATCACAAAATCCCTATCTATAAGTCCAAGGTACGCCAGGGTTCTCGACGTTTTCATTCTGTTGACTTAAGATAACAAACAATAAATCAACTTGTGCGTTACTGATACCCGGCCAACCATGCACCTTTTCCTAACCTTTAACTTACACCTTCCTGATTCGTAACAGCATGTGTTTTTTTATTGAAGCGACAAAAGCATTTCCATAATGATAACAAAACTCCATTGTACGCTTCCGACAATGTCACGTGAACCCGGAACTCCGGTGTGACGACTACACAACCGCTCAGGAAAACAAGAAATCGAAAACGGCCATTTCTATATTTCGAATTGTACACCAGATATATGATATGTCCCAATGCATTCGTAGTGTCACCATACATGTAGACATATATCTACATACAGTTTACTTTTGAGGATTTCCATCTGTATCCTGTTTTTCATGCACTATACAGTGGTATACTGATGTACTTAAGTACTGGTGTACTGATGTACTGATGTACTGATGTACTGATGTAAGGGTTTATTGATGTACTGATGTACTGATGTACTTTCGTACTGGTGTACTGATGTACTGGTGTACTGATGTACTGGTGTATTGATGTACTGGTGTATTGATGTATTGATGTACTGATGTATTGGTTTACTTATGTACTGATGTATTGATGTACTTATGTACTAGTGTACTGATGTACTGGTGTACTTGTGTACTTGTGTACTGGTGTATTGATGTACTTATGTATTGGTGTACTTATGTACTGGTGTATTGATGTACTTATGTACTAGTGTACTGATGTACTGATGTGCTGGTGTATTGATGTACTTGTGTACTTGTGTACAGATGTACTGATGTACTGGTGTATTGATGTACTGATGTATTGATGTATTGATGTATTGATATAATGACGTACTGGTGTTTTGATGTACTGATGCACTGATGTACAGATGTATTGATGTATTGATGTCCTGGTGTACTGGTGTACTGATGTATCGATGTACCGGTGTATTGATGTACTAATTTACTGATGTACTGATGTACTGATGTACTGGTGTACAGGTGTACTGATGTATGGATGTACTGGTGTACTGATGTACTGATGTATGGACGTACTGTTGTACGGATGTTCTAATGTATTGATGTACTGAGGTATGGATGTACTTGTGTACTGGTTTACTGGTGTAATGATGTACTGATGTATTGATGTACTGATGTACTGATGCACTGCTGTACAGATGTAGTGGTGTACATATGTCCTGGTGTACTGATACATTGGTGTACTGGTGTATTGATGTACTGTGTATTGATATATTGATATACTGATGTATGGATGTACTTATGTATTGTGTACTGATGTACAGATATACTATATACTTTTATACTGGTATACTGATGCACATGTATAGGTTTTTTTTCTAGAAAACGTAACTTACCAATTAGACCATTGATAATCACATTTTCTACCCTGAAAGACTTTCGTGCTAATTGTCATGACGGACTGTATTGAAACGTGACATGATACTAAATGGTATGTCAAGTATCTCAACATACAAGATGAGGTGAAATGGAGCTTAATGTCTCGTCCAAGATTATTGCACTTACACAGAGATGTGCATGCACGTGTGTATGGCTGCTTATACTAGTCTGGAATGGTGCCGATTTATAGTGCTTGCTCACTGACATTCTATGCCGCAGTTTTACACGAATGCCCCACTCAGACACAGTATACTGACTCCGAGCCGAGCAGTCCTTGTTTAAGCCCCTAAATGCCGAGCGCCAGACAGGGTTACAACAAGTACCACCTTTTATCGTCTTTTGGTATGACGCGGCCGGGGATCAAACTGTCCGGGCGGACACTCTACCACCAGACCACGGAGGCGGTCCCCAACATACAAAGACAAGCACCCATGACAGTTTCTGATTTGATCGCTCTACTTTATAGGCCTGCACATGTACATTTCTAACTGTTATATATTCATATCACGTGAATCAAATAGAAATCCCTGCTCCACACCCAAATGTACATTCAGCTATCGTGATTTTGCAGCTCAGGTCACGAATGGTGTGGTCATAGGGCAGTGTTCAGGGGCATATCTATAAGGAAGTAAAACCATGAGTCATACATGTTGCTCAGCAGGAAAACGTAACGAATTCATTGAATTTTATTCAGCACAGCCTTAAGTACTTGTGCATGCACCACCAACGCCATGAAAGAACGTTTTTGTTAAGGAGAATATTTTCACATGATGTTTTGCTGCTAGGCAACTGCAATCTCGTCAGCGACTTGTCCATTGGACTGAACGCCTAATACTCCCAATCAGAATGAACCATCACTACCTGTCCTGTACCCAGTACACTTTGTTAAGAGTGTTTCATGTTTCATGGGAGAAGCTTGCTTGGCGGTTGAGATGCGTGTGTTCAAAGAAACACTGAGTGTAACATGCACACCATGAAACAAGTCGAGATTTCATGGGTGAAACTCTTGCATTTACTCTCATTCAATTGAAACTTGTAATCAGCATATATGGGCATTTTATTTTCGATTTTCAAAATTCAGGTGTTCACGAAATGTGAGCGTATCCTGCCTTACCGGTGGTAGCCGTCATAAACACATGCAAAGGCAAGTCATCTTTTCACACTGGAACATGTTGTACAGGTCAAAATAGGGAACTGCATTGGACATCATTTTGGTCACTGATACATTAAATTTGGAAATAGCCTCCACATGTCCACCATACATCGTTCTCAAAGCTTTGCTGAGGCCTTGAATGGTGTAATCTGAATCAAACAACTTTTGGGCAACAGTCATAGGAGGCTGGGATATCGATAGATGTTATGGGAAAGTTGACTACTGGAAATGTGGAATCATTTCTCTTGTCATGTATTTATGCATATATATAAACATGAAACAGATAAGGTTGTTTCACTTCTCACTTTTATTTCTGGTTCAGGTAAGTATTTCAGTGGAAGGGACCTGGCTATTTGATGGTTATTGAGCTGTTAAACTTCTTGGCAAGATTCCCTTGCTTTGATTTGTCAGTTCGAGCAGAATTTCCGTAAACATAAAAAAACAGTGAGTGAGTGAGTATGGTTTTACGTCGCATTTAGCAACATTCCAGCAATATCATGGCGGGGGACACAAGAAATGGGCTTCACACATTGTATTCCCATGTCGGGAATCGAACCCGGATCTTCGGCGTGACGAGCGAACGCTTTAATCACTGGGCTACCCGACCGCCCCCATAAAGAAACAGACCAGCAAGAAGGAGAACACAGTTGATCCCCCATTCGGATGCCTACTTCTTTCCTCAATGTCTGATCCCGATATTTTACATTGCTGCTATCAATGAGGAAGTGTAGCATTATTGTTTTCTAACTACATCTCTGGTCACCACGTTTAGTAACACATGCCCCATGGATCAAGGAATGAAGTTTGTCCTTAAGTTTGTTTTGTGGAACAGTGGTGAACAAAGTTGAAAAATCACATATTTTGACAGATTGAACTTGGTTCTTTTCTATTGTTGTATACATTTGGGCAAATCCTTTGAACGCACATGATATTAATTCCACTATAAAGAAAGTCCTTCCTTGATTTAATAAAGGATTATTGTTAATCGTTGAACAGGGATTTGGTGGTACTTTTTGTTGGACGCAGCAAAATATCTCTCTTTTTGTGGAGCTTTCGAATCCAGTACAAAAGAGGAATGGACATGAATTCAGGTCTTAGAGCCAAGTCCAAAGTTGGTAGATATAGTGCTTGATTTTAACAGAAATACGAATTCATTTAATCATTCCGGATTTTACATAGAATTCATAATAGAAATGTCTTTCTTGGTGTAACCGAAAGTCCTGCTGGTATTCATTTCTTACATCAAAATATCAGGTTGTACAAATGACATGGAAATAACGTTATCATATAGACAAAACATGCAGGGGTCAGCTGTGTCTATAAGATGGGGAATTTAATACAACTTTGGTTGAAATGAAATTATGTTATCCCAACAGTGTTCGATGACATTTATGGATATATTTTGCAGGATTACATAAAGGGTGTCAACAATTGATTCTCTTGAGATATAATTCTTTCATGTGGAAACCATTACACGCAATAGGAGACAAAACATGTTCTACCTATTTCCTAATCTTGTTCATGGTCTTACCTGTCGTGGTGTATGCCAAGGACACCTGTAACATAAAGATATTTATCATGGCAATAACCTATAGTTCATTCATTTTCATTATAAAACACGGCGTACAACCCTACAAGACTAATTATAACATACGTGTACAGCTATATATAAATAGGGAAGTATTTAACCCCAAACAACGATTGCTGATATTAACACTTTAACCACACTTTAAAAAGTTCAGTGAAAATATTGTTATATCATATATGCATAGCATATTTGAAAATGCACTTTGAATAAGATGCGATTGCTTATGTAGGCAGTAATAATCAGTGGACAGATTCATAGAAATGGGTGAGTTTTGGAAGGATAATACATATGGGTGTTGAACTTACCCGCCCTACGACAGCTACAAGAAGAAGAAGAGACAGCCCTGTCACCCCCGCCATCGTCATCCGTCAACTGACTGGCTCGCCAACCCGGAACACCAGTAGTGAGTCACCGGAGATTACTGCCTTGATTTGCCTGTTCTGACACCGGAACAGTGTACTAGTGTTTGCTTGGTTGTTTGTTAACGCCGCACTCAAAAACAGTCCAGCTTATATGAAGGCTGTCTGTAAATAATCGAGTCCAGACCCGACAATCCAATGATCACCAGCATCGATCTATGCAGTCGAACAGTGTATTAAACCTTTCAGATATTCTAGTAATAACCTGTTGCATTTTTCATGTTTTGTTTCATACAATGATGGTGGAATTGATATGCCAAGTCACGTCGTGATATATCTGAATAACCGTCAGCGTTAATGAATACTAAGTCATTCATTCCTTAACAGAAGGATCACTTTTAAAACAATCTTAGATGGTAGAATAGATAGGTGATGTATTTCTATTGCACAATTCAGAAAACGACTACTCATAACAAGGAGACACCATTGTACCAACAAGACACCATTGTACTAGAAGACACCAGTGTGCAAAGAGACACTATTCTACTAGAAGACACCAGTGTAAAAGAAGACACCATTGTTCTAGAAGACACCAGTGTACAAGAAGACACCATTGTTCTAGAAGACACCAGTGTACAAGGAGACACATTTTTTCTAGAAGACACCAGTGTACAAGGAGACACCATTGTGCCAGAAGACACCAGTGTGCAAGGAGACACCATTGTTCTAGAAGACACCAGTGTACAAGGAGACACCATTGTTCTAGAAGACACCAGTGTACAAGGAGACACCTTTTTCTAGAAGACACCATTGTGCCAGAAGACACGAGTGTGCAAGGAGACACCATTGTTCTAGAAGACACCAGTGTACAAGGAGACACCATTGTTCTAGAAGACACCAGTGTACAAGGAGACACCATTTTTCTAGAAGACACCAGTGTACAACAAGACACCATTGTTCTAGAAGACACCATTGTTCTAGAAGACACCAGTGTACAAGGAGACACCATTGTTCTAGAAGACACCAGTGTACAAGGAGACACCATTGTGCCAGAAGACACCAGTGTGCAAGGAGACACCATTGTTCTAGAAGACACCAGTGTACAAGGAGACACTATTGTTCTAGATCACACGAGTGTACAAGGAGACACCATTGTTCTAGAAGACACCAGTGTACAAAAAAAGACACCATTGTTCTAGAAGACACCAGTGTACAAGGAGACACCATTGTTCTAGAAGACACCAGTGTACAAGGAGACACCATTGTTCTAGAAGACACCAGTGTTCAAAAAAGACACCATTGTTCTAGAAGACACCAGTGTACAAGGAGACACCATTGTTCTAGAAGACACCAGTGTGCAAGGAGACACCATTGTTCTAGAAGACACCAGTGTACAAGGAGACACTATTGTTCTAGATCACACGAGTGTACAAGGAGACACCATTGTTCTAGAAGACACCAGTGTACAAAGAACACCATTGTTCTAGAAGACACCAGTGTACAAGGAGACACCATTGTTCTAGAAGACACCAGTGTACAAGGAGACACCATTGTTCTAGAAGACACCAGTGTACAAGGAGACACCATTGTTCTAGAAGACACCAGTGTACAAGGAGACACCATTGTTCTAGAAGACACCAGTGTACAAGGAGACACCATTGTTCTAGAAGACACCAGTGTGCAAGGAGACACCATTGTTCTAGAAGACACCAGTGTACAAGGATACACCATTGTTCTAGAAGACACCAGTGTACAAAAAAGACACCATTGTTCTAGAAGACACCAGTGTACAAGGAGACACCTTTTTTCTAGAAGACACCAGTGTACAAGGAGACACCTTTTTTCTAGAAGACACCAGTGTACAAGGAGACACCATTGTTCTAGAAGACACCAGTGTACAAGGAGACACCATTGTTCTAGAAGACACCAGTGTACAAGGAGACACCATTGTTCTAGAAGACACCAGTGTACAAGGATACACCATTGTTCTAAAAGACACCAGTGTACAAGGAGACACCATTGTTCTAGAAGGCACCAGTGTACAAGGAGACACCATTGTTCTAGCAGACACCAGTGTACAAGGAGACACCATTGTTCTAGAAAACACCAGTGTACAAAAAAGACACCATTGTTCTAGAAGACACCAGTGTACAAGGAGACACCATTGTTCTAGAAGACACCAGTGTGCAAGGAGACACCATTGTTCTAGAAGACACCAGTGTACAAGGAGACACCATTGTTCTAGAAGACACCAGTGTACAAGGAGACACCATTGTTCTAGAAGACACCAGTGTACAAAAAAGACACCATTGTTCTAGAAGACACCAGTGTACAAGGAGACACCATTGTTCTAGAAGACACCAGTGTACAAGGAGACACCATTGTTCTAGAAGACACCAGTGTACAAGGAGACACCATTGTTCTAGAAGACACTAGTGTACAACAAGACACCATTGTACCGGAAGACACCAGTGTGCAAGGAGACACCATTGTTCTAGAAGACACCAGTGTATTGGAACAAGCACTTTACAACGACGCGGATGCAAGTAATTCTTAGAACAAATTTGTGATCCTGCACAATATTCTGGTCTTGAGATTTCATAAGAAATCATGCATTATCATAACATATAGAAACCGACTCCAAACTTTCTTTCAGTCCAAATATTAGACACAAAAAAAATCCATCAAATAATTGTATATTCGTGTTTTGTTTTTTTCCTTCGCAAACTTTTTTCTAGTAATTTCAAGAAATAATCTTTTGTCACTACACAAACAGCTTTATTCTTACACTTTCTTTCAACGATAATAGAAAATAATAATCTAGATTCCTTGAGCATTCGAAGACCCTTTTTTCTTATTTCATTCATTTATTGCGTGTCATGTTTTGACAAAGACATCAACAAATAGATTGTAATGAAAAAAAACTTATCAGCAGGTCGACCCATTTATAACATGCGGAATGGTAAGATAAGACTTTAAAGAGAACAACGGTGACCCACATTCATGACTTGGGAGTAGTGTGAAACTATGCCTGCCATATTCCATATTGTTGTTTTCGTTATTCTAGTCATTAACGGATTGTTCGACAGAGGTAAGTTGGTATACTTGTGTTGACTTAGGCGGTAAAGATTTATGATTCTTATGATAAACGTTTATTTATGTATATTTCATATGTATGAGAGAATAGAAATTGTATTCACAGTCTTATTAGAGTCGTCAACTCGCACACATGCAAGTATATGTTCTTCGATATACAGGTTTGGTAAACATACCAGCGAATATTCTCCCTCTAGTCATCAATTCCAATGCAGTATTTGCATGCATGCTTTGTTTGTTTGTTGTTTTGTAGACGCACTAATCAATATTACAGCTATACGATAGCGGTCTTTAGTGAGTGAGTGAGAGAGTAGGGTTTCACGCGACTTTTAGCAACATCCCAGCAATATCAGGGCGTGGGACTTCAGAAATGGACTTCACACATGGGGAAAACCAGACAGTCCAGTGATCGATGGTATGCGAAACGATCTACTCCGTCGGGGTACGAGGGCACGCTATCAACAAGGTCACCGAGCCTGCATGTTTACAGCTTATGAGTCGTTTTACATACACACACACACGCACGCACACACGCACGCACGCATGTATGCATGCATACATTGGTGGTATATACATACTGCATTTTATTTTGTGCATTACTTTCAGTTGGTTGCAATAGCCCACCATTGTTCAGAACAGGAAGTAACGTTCTAATCAAGCCGGAAAATACCCCAGTGGGTAGGTTATATAAAGCTCACACAAATAACCTGCCACGATCCATTTATTGGCATTTAGTGTCAATTTATTATCAATCTTAAGAGGACTTGGGTATCCTTATATACACTTTTATCTAACGTTCTATTGCTTACGAACATATCCATGTATCGACTGCCTGGTACGAAGCCTATATTAAATCTATAGCTGGGCATGAGCATCAAATACAACCTAATACTCTGATCACAAAACAATCGTTGCCCAAAGCCTGTCTTAAGGCAGTATCTGTGTTGTCTATACTATTGAGTTGTAAGAGGGAGCCTGAAGGTGGTCTCTATTCCAATGTTCCTACTTACCAGGGTCGGTGCTGTTAACCCTGACGGCCGCTGACAGTGACGGTCCCTCAGACTTGGTGTTCACAGTTGGGGATACGGCGACGGGGGACCTGGTCAAGCTGGACCACGAAGCCAAGAAGAGTAATAACGAATGGACTGTTGATGTCGTCCTCAAAACACATCTGGACAGGGATTTTGTAAATAATACTGCAAATATATTTCAAAATAACGACACAACTTATTTTTAGATACAGTGTCGTTGCGAGTAGTTATGACCTTGATTCATTTTATATATAATGAATATTATATAAGAATATATACACATTAAAAGTTAAAAGAGCAGGCAGTTGTGTTTACCACGGCCTATGAAGTATAGTGTTGGTTTAGACCTGATTATAAGGCGATGATATGTATTCCTAAACATTACTGAATGCATGTGACGTATGAATATTTACCGTGATGACCTCCATAAACAAAAACGGAATGATTACACGCGCATTTTTCTTCAGCATTCCAGAACACGACACTTGATGTTTGAGGTGACGGACGGTGTCTACAAGGTACTGCTCATAATATTATAATGAAACAATTATTCAAGAAGATTGTTAACAGTTTTAATAATAATTCTAAAAGAGGTAAATTCGGGGGCTGAATCTAGTCAGGCACCACGAAAGTAAGTCATGAGTGCATGTGACTTAAGAATCATTTGATATCCGCCAGGTCAAAGAATGAGTTTTCTGAATTGGTCGCATCTGGGTGTATTTTTGTTCAGGTAATGTATCCTTGTGTTTGTTTTGGTGGGATATGACTGCACGAATTTAACGTAGCTTGGTCAAGTTATTGTTATTCAGTTTTGCCATAGTAATGTTATTGTTCTTATAATTTCAGATTCCAGTGCAGTTTAATTTAATTATTACGGATACCAACGACGAAACTCCACACTTCATCAATCTACCACATAAAATCACACTTTCAGAGGTTAGTGTATATAATATGATAACTAAAGATCACAATCTCCTCTGCATCTTATCGACGCTATGATGTATCTGTACCAGTGCCGCTCATATCTGTACCAGTGTCTCTCATATCTGTACCAGTGTATCATATCTGTACCAGTGTCTCTCATATCTGTACCAGTGTCTCATATCTGTACCAGTGTCTCTCATATCTGTACCAGTGCCGCTCATATCTGTACCAGTGTCTCATATCTGTACCAGTGTCTCTCATATCTGGACCGGTGTCTCTCATATCTGTACCGGTGACTCTCATATCTGTACCAGGGACTCTCATATCTGTACCAGTGACTCTCATATCTCTACCGGTGTCTCTCATATTTGTACAAGTGTCTCTCATATCTGTACCAATGTCCCTCATATCTGTACCAGTGTCTCTCATATCTGTACCAGTGTCTCTCATATCTGTACCAGTGTCTCCCATAGCTGTACCAGTGTATCATAGCTGTACCAATGTCTCATATCTGTACCAGTGTCTCTCATATCTGTACCAGTGTCTCTCATAGCTGTACCAGTGTTTCTCATATCTATACTAGGGTCCCTCATATCTGTACCAGTGTCTCTCATATCTGTACCAGTGTCTCTCATATCTGTACCAGTGTCTCCCATAGCTGTACCAGTGTATCATAGCTGTACCAATGTCTCATATCTGTACCAGTGTCTCTCATAGCTGTACCAGTGTTTCTCATATCTATACTAGGGTCCCTCATATCTGTACCAGTGTCTCTCATATCTGTACCGGTGTCTCTCATATTTGTACCAGTGACTCTCATAGCTGTACCAGTGTCTCTCATATCTGTACCAGTGACTCCCATATCTGTACCAGTGTCTCATAGCTGTATCAGTGTCTCATATCTGTACCAGTGTCTCTCATAGCTGTACCAGTGTCTCTCATAGCTGGACCAGTGACTCCCATATCTATACCAGTGTCTCATAGCTGTACCAGTGTCTCATATCTGTACCAGTGTCACTCATATCTGTACCAGTGTCTCTCATAGCTGTACCAGTGACTCCCATATCTATACCAGTGTCTCATAGCTGTACCAGTGTCTCATATCTGTACCAGTGTCTCTCATATCTGTACCAGTGTCTCTCATAGCTGTACCAGTGACTCACATATCTGTACCAGTGTCTCATAGCTGTACCAGTGTCTCATATCTGCACCAGTGTCTCTCATAGCTGTACCAGTGTCTCTCATAGCTGTACCAGTGTTTCTCATATCTATACTAGGGTCCCTCATATCTGTACCAGTGTCTCTCATATCTGTACCGGTGTCTCTCGTATTTGTACCAGTGACTCTCATAGCTGTACCAGTGTCTCTCATATCTGTACCAGTGACTCCCATATCTGTACCAGTGTCTCATAGCTGTACCAGTGTCTCATATCTGTACCAGTGTCTCTCATAGCTGTACCAGTGTCTCTCATAGCTGTACCAGTGACTCCCATATCTATACCAGTGTCTCATATCTGTACCAGTGTCTCATATCTGTACCAGTGTCTCTCATAGCTGTACCAGTGTCTCTCATAGCTGTACCAGTGACTCCCATATCTATACCAGTGTCTCATAGCTGTACCAGTGTCTCATATCTATACCAGTGTCACTCATATATGTACCAGTGTCTCTCATAGCTGTACCAGTGACTCCCATATCTGTACCAGTGTCTCATAGCTGTACCAGTGTCTCATATCTGTACCAGTGTCTCTCATATCTGTACCAGTGTCTCTCATAGCTGTACCAGTGTTTCTCATATCTATACTACGGTCCCTCATATCTGTACCAGTGTCTCTCATATCTGTACCAGTGTCTCTCATATTTGTACCAGTGACTCTCATAGCTGTACCAGTGTCTCTCATATCTGTACCAGTGACTCCCATATCTGTACCAGTGTCTCATAGCTGTACCAGTGTCTCATATCTGTACCAGTGTCTCTCATAGCTGTACCAGTGTCTCTCATAGCTGTACCAGTGACTCCCATATCTATACCAGTGTCTCATAGCTGTACCAGTGTCTCATATCTGTACCAGTGTCACTCATATCTGTACCAGTGTCTCTCATAGCTGTACCAGTGACTCCCATAGCTGTACCAGTGACTCCCATATCTGTACCAGTGTCTCTCATAGCTGTACCAGTGTCTCATATCTGTACCAGTGTCTCTCATAGCTGTACCAGTGTCTCTCATAGCTGGACCAGTGACTCCCATATCTGTACCAGTGTCTCTCATAGCTGTACCAGTGTCTCATATCTTTACCAGTGTCACTCATATCTGTACCAGTGTCTCTCATAGCTGTACCAGTGTCTCATATCTGTACCAGTGTCTCTCATATCTGTACCAGTGTCTCTCATAGCTATACCAGTGTCTCTCATAGCTGTACCAGTGACTCCCATATCTATACCAGTGTCTCATAGCTGTACCAGTGTCTCATATCTGTACCAGTGTCACTCATAGCTGTACCAGTGTCTTTCATATCTGTACCAGTGACTCCCATATCTGTACCAGTGTCTCATAGCTGTACCAGTGTCTCATATCTGTACCAGTGTCTCTCATATCTGTACCAGTGTCTCTCATAGCTGTACCAGTGTCTCTCATATCTGTACCAGTGTCACTCATAGCTGTACCAGTGTCTCTCATAGCTGTACCAGTGTCTCTCATAGCTGTACCGGTGTCTCTCATAGCTGTACCAGTGTCTCTCATAGCTGTACCAGTGTCTCTCATAGCTGTACCAGTGTCTCTCATAGCTGTACCAGTGTCTCTCATAGATGTACCAGTGTCTCTCATAGCTGTACCAGTGTCTCTCATAGCTCTACCAGTGTCTCTCATATCTGTACCAGTGTCTCTCATATCTGTACCAGTGTCTCTCATATCTGTACCAGTGTCGCTCATAGCTGTACCAGTGTCGCTCATATCTATGTCAATCACACCGGGATTGGGATCGTGTGGCAAGAGTAGCATTACCATAGATGATAGGATGGTGAAAGGAAATTGGGTTTAACGTTGCGTTCAAGATAAATTCACTTTCATTTTTACGTACGGTCAAGCACGTGTGTGTATGGCTGCTTGTACTATTCCGGCATAGTTCTAGTCCACTGATGTACCTGGCTGCAGTTCAACACGGATAACCCACTCAGATATAGTAAACTTACCCCAGTACTTGTTTTATCCCCTTTATGCCGTGTGCCAGGCAGGGTAACTACAAGTACCATCTTTCAACGTATTCTGATATAACGCAACAATGAGATCGAACCACCGACCATCCGCTCTCCAGGCAGACGGTCTGCACACATCTTTTTAAGGCGGCCTTGGTATTTGAAAGGGTAACCATACGTAAGCTGTTGTTTGTGTGCTCACGCTATCAACCACTTGTTTCTATGGGTCAGGTCCGAATTAGTCTTAGGTCGTGCACTATTACTGAATTCCTAAGGTACTATTCACTCATTCCTCTATACGTGGTAGCATATATTTGTAAATAATTGAGGATGGATCAGAAACTCCATGCTGTGGTTGATATTGTGAGCAACGATCCTCGCCGTCGGGGAACGATGACACGCTGTCAACCAAGTCATGGAACATGTTGATTCATATAGTTTAGACTATTTAACCCAGACTGTCACATGTATAATGTTTCATTCTCATGGTGTTAGTGGCTTCACATTTAACCCTCTGTAATACCATTCAAATGATTTGAATAAACATATTTCCAAACTATGAATTCGCGTTTTTGGCATTGTTAAATGCTCAAGAACTGTTTTATCCGTTCGATGCTATTTACTCATTTATGTACGATAATCACATCAGTAAACTACGGTTATAACGAACTCAAAGGGGCCATTAATTTTAGTTTGTAATAACCGTAGTTCGTTATAAGCAAGTGGCCAGGACTAAAAAATAAGTTTGTTATATCGGTAAGTTCGTTTTAAGCGTGTTCGTTATAAACGTAGTTTACTGAACTTGTTTAACATGTCATGCCAGGTGTGGGACTGGGCATGTATCTGTCCCGGGTCTGAATAATGTCTCTCTCTCTAAACACTACTGCATGAATACGTAATTTGTTTCACCATCATATGATTCTTGGGGTAAGGATCAGCTCTGAATAACTTCTCCCATATTTCAGACAACTGCTGTGGGTACGGCCATCTACCAAGTGAATGCCACAGACGCTGACACCGGTCCTGGGGGAGTGATAACGTACTCACTTCAAGTATATGCACTACTAGTCATTTCATAGGGTATACTCTGGGGAGTGATGACGTACTCACTACAAGTATATGCACTACTCGTCATTTCATAGGGTATACTCTGGGGAGTGATGACGTACTCACTACAAGTATATGCACAACTCGTCATTTCATAGGGTATACTCTGTGGGGTGTTGACGTACTCAGGACAAGTATATGCACTACTCGTCATTTCGTAGGGTATACTGTGGGGGAATGATAACGTACTCACTACAAGTATATGCACTACTCGTCATTTCGTAGGGTATACTCTGTGGGGTGATGTCGTACTCACTACAAGTATATGCACTACTCATTTCATAGGGTACACTCTGTGGAGTGATGACGTACTCAGGACAAGTATATGCACTACTCGTCATTTCATAGGGTACACTCTGTGGGGTGATGACGTACTCAGGACAAGAATATGCACTACTCATTTCATAGGGTACACTCTGTGGGGTGATGACGTACTCAGGACAAGTATATGCACTACTCATCATTTCATAGGGTACACTCTGTGGGGTGATGACGTACTCAGGACAAGTATATGCACTACTCGTCATTTCATAGGGTATACTCTGTGGGGTGCTGACGTACTCAGGACAAGTATATGCACTACTCGTCATTTCGTAGGGTATACTGTGGGGGAATGATAACGTACTCACTACAAGTATATGCACTACTCGTCATTTCGTAGGGTATACTCTGTGGGGTGATGTCGTACTCACTACAAGTATATGCACTACTCATTTCATAGGGTACACTCTGTGGGGTGATGACGTACTCAGGACAAGTATATGCACTACTCGTCATTTCATAGGGTACACTCTGTGGGGTGATGACGTACTCAGGACAAGAATATGCACTACTCATTTCATAGGGTACACTCTGTGGGGTGATGACGTACTCAGGACAAGTATATGCACTACTCGTCATTTCATAGGGTACACTCTGTGGGGTGATGACGTACTCAGGACAAGAATATGCACTACTCTTCATTTCGTAGGGTACACTCTGTGGGGTGATGACGTACTCAGGACAAGAATATGCACTACTCCTCATTTCACAGGGTATACTGTGGGGTGTGATAACGTACTCAGTACAAGTATATGCACTACTCGTCATTTCGTAGGGTATACTGTGGGGGGATGATAACGTACTCACTACAAGTATATGCACTACTCGTCATTTAGTAGGGTACACTCTGTGGGGTGATGACGTACTCACTACAAGTATATGCACTACTCCTCATTTCACAGGGTATACTGTGGGGTGTGATAACGTACTCAGTACAAGTATATGCACTACTCGTCATTTCATAGGGTATACTCTGGGAGAGTGATGACGTACTCACTACAAGTATATGCACTACTCGTCATTTCATAGGGTACACTCTGTGGGGTGATGACGTACTCACTACAAGTATACGCACAACTCGTCATTTCATAGGGTACACTCTGTGGGGTGATGACGTACTCAGGACAAGTATATGCACTACTCGTCATTTCATAGGGTACACTCTGTGGGGTGATGACGTACTCAGGACAAGAATATGCACTACTCTTCATTTCGTAGGGTACACTCTGTGGGGTGATGACGTACTCAGGACAAGAATATGCACTACTCGTCATTTCGTAGGGTATACTGTGGGGGGATGATAACGTACTCACTACAAGTATATGCACTACTCGTCATTTAGTAGGGTACACTCTGTGGGGTGATGACGTACTCACTACAAGTATATGCACTACTCCTCATTTCATAGGGTATACTCTGGGAGAGTGATGACGTACTCACTACAAGTATATGCACTACTCGTCATTTCATAGGGTATACTCTGGGAGTGTGATGACGTACTCACTACAAGTATATGCACTACTCGTCATTTCACAGGGTATACTGTGGGGTGTGATAACGTACTCACTACAAGTATATGCACTACTCGTCATTTCATAGGGTACACTCTGTGGGGTGATGACGTACTCACTACAAGTATACGCACAACTCGTCATTTCATAGGGTACACTCTGTGGGGTGATGACGTACTCACTACAAGTATTTGCACTACTCGTCATTTCATAGAGTATACTCTTGGGGAGTATATGTATTTCCTTCAATGTCATTCTTTCATTTACTTATATATTTATATAGTATATGTATTTGGGAGTGTATGTATTTGGGAGTGTATGTATTTCCTTCAATGGCATACATTCATTTATTCATTCTTACATTCATTCATTTATTTATTCATTCATTCATCACCTTAAACTGTTGGTAGACCAGGTGCAAATGTTTATTTCAAACCCCTCTTTGTCAGATAACAATATGTTTTATGTAAACCAATCCAGCTGAACATTATGTTTCTCCAGATTCGAGAGAAACAATCTTTCAGTTTCACACGTGGTGTTACTGTCTAGACAGTCTCTTGAAATGGGCTCAAGACAATGAGCAAATAGTGCCTTTAAATCAACTAGATATAGTGATCCGGTGATAGGAAAACTACCAGGAATGGCCAGACATGCACATGAAGCATGGTACTCCCCGTAGATCAGTGTCGTATTTGTCAACATGGACACATGTCATACATGCACAAGTTTGCCTGCTATTCTGTGGGAAGAGATACCCTGTGCTGGGTACGTGTGTACACAACACAAGATTTAACCCTAATATCTCAGAAGAAGGATCCGCTTAGTGTTGCTGTGAGACCTTATCGCATTGTCATAGTTTGAACCAGTTTCTTGCCAGATCGGTTCTAGTATCTCCTGTTCTTATCATACTGCTGGGCTTTTCTGATAAGCTCTAGAAGATCCAGACCTCAGGGAGCACAAATATATCACTGCATGTGTCATTGTCCTTGCTGAACGCCTGTGTACCGTGCAACAATGTATGCTTCTGTCATCATAAGGCAATCAGAACTAGTTACATTGATCGTGTTTCAGGATGTAATAACTGTTCAGGTTTCTTCAAGACATACGTGGCTCTCTTCATGTTTTAACCTATCTTCTTTAAGAAGCACGTTACTCAAACATTTTCTTTTTTTCATCGAATATATAAATAATTCTGGAGTATGAATTAAGATAAGATGGACACCATACGCTTTTTTTAAAAATTCAAGCTGTTTCAAAATCTCCAATATAAATTTTGTCTAGCAAGTTGTGACATGGAGAAAGGTTAATAGATATGAAAAAGAAAGAACATTTGAGGTTTGGTTCGCCAAATATGCGTTAAAATATGTTTTGGCAAGTAGTTTGTTCTAGACTGGTCGGTCTTTTCGCTATACAGCCCATTGCACACTAAATATATACATTTGTCAATATATTGATATATACAACTTTCATTTTCATTTTGAAATAAAACGAAAACAATTACAAAATGAAACGAAAATTCGGTCAGTTTTAAGTAGAATATAGGCTCGGGACACACTACTAATTCGCATGAGACAACTATCTGTAATTTCTTGTACCTGGCTGTACCTCGCTACTATATATAACTGCTATACTGGTGAAATATTGCCGATGCAATGTTAATTCTCATTACTTTTATATGAAAAAAATACTTCACTATTAGTTTGATTAATGTTCCTGTAAATTACAGTTGAGACAATAGGTTTGCTGTATTATACTTCTGTTACCAGCTGTCCGACGGAACGACCACGCCCTTCAGTATAGCAGCCGCTACGGGGGAGATTAAGCTTGGTGACAAACTGGACTTTGAACAGAGGACTTCCTACAGCTGTAACATTACTGCAACGGTAGCCGACTCATTACGTTTCTACCCGTGAGGTTTCTTGGTCACAATAGTCCCGCTAGTAGCCCATGCATACCGTAGGAGCTGATTCCAAGAAGAACAGGTTGCATTGTGTGCCTCCGTACCCCGACAGGCGACTATGCTTGCCGTAAAAGGCGACTATGCTTGTCGTAAGAGGCGATTAACGGGATCGGGTGGTCAGGCTCGCTGACTTGGTTGATGCATGTCATCGTATCCCAATTGCGTAAATCAATGCTCACTGGGTTGTCTGGTTCAGACGCGATTATTTACAGACCGCAGTCCCATAGCTGGGATATTGCTGAGTGCGGCGTTAAAATACAAACAAACAAACAAACAAAAAACCGACAGCGTTCCTCATGCTGTCAATCACTGGTTTGCCTGCCACCGATTCGATTACATACAATCTGTCGTGATATTGCTGGCATACTGCTAACTGCGACGGAATACAAAATCATTCACCCACTACTTTACTCAAGACGTAGCAGAATACCTGTATGAGGTAGCTAACAAAAACAACTCTCCATGTTTTTAAACTGTAATACACCCGTGAAGATCCGGGGTAGAATAGGTCTTCAGCAACCCATGATTGCCGTAAATGGTGACTATGCTTGTCGTAAGAGGCGACTAACGGGATCGGGTGGTCAGGCTCGCTGACTTGGTTGATGCATGTCACCGTATCCAAATTGCGTGGATCGATGCTCAATCACTGGATTGTCTGGTCCAGACTCGATTATTTACAAACCGTCGTCACATAGCTGGAATATTGTTGAGTGCGGCGTTCAACAACAAACAAACAAACAAATTGCAATAGTGGATGTTATGAGCCATAAATGCATATAGCATTAAAAAGCAGACACCATCTTCTAAGCAAATTAGATCAGGAGTGTTTTGAAGTGTAGCCATCAGCTAAAAAACACCAATGCTTTTATTGTGTTCCGATCCGTTTCACAAGATAAGAAAACAAAATGAAGAGAAACAATATGTTCTTATGAATCGCCCTGACGTTATGATGTCATCATATGTTCGCAAACATAACTTTACCCGATTTCTTTAAGAAATGAGCTTTATAAAAACATATGCAACTAACTTCGTAATTTCTTATGTTGAGACGCCATTGTTCAAAAACACTTACTGACAACCACACTTTTCCCAGCCCGTTGTGTAATAAATCTACAAATAAAATCGCTCACAGCATGTCGCCTTTCAACATATAGGTAAATAACGGTTGTTACACAACACACACACACATCAAATGACATGTTTAGGGTAGGGACGTATTTATCTCTTTCTGATATTTCTCTGACCTGTATGCAATCTTCCCACCCTGCTGGCCAGTCGTCATCCCCTATCATTGTAGGGCTGAATGCTGCATGATTCACAGCACACTATCAATGGATAAAAACAGTAGAAATATGCATGTCTAGGTTTGTTGAAAATCTGATATGTCGATGACATTAACAATGTTTTTATTTAACTTATTTCATTTATATAACAACATAGCCATGGTATTCAAAGACACCCATTGCTGTTCTAGTTTCTCAGGGTACACGTGGGTCCCTATAATTGATTACGAAAGATAAAACTGTGCAGAGCTGTGTCCCTTGTGGTTGCAGTGTCAGTGTACGTTTAACTCTCCAATTCACCTTATAACGTAAGTGAACTGTCCATCACATCAACTCATCTACACATTGCCAATGACTACCGTACAGCTCAAAACGACCTTTCACGTCAGTTGGACTATTTCTTGTTTTTATACTTCTGACGTTTACAGGATGGTGGCGGTCTAACGTCGACGTCAACGTTTGACGTTTCTGTGACAGATGCTCAGGACACTCCCCCTGTGTTTGAGCGACCCTCATACACCGTCCATATATCAGAGAACGCTCTTGCGGTAAATATCTTACAAGCAAATGTTTGTGTACAGTCGTCGTATATCAGGGAGGAAGTCAAGAAAGAGTTGTGCGAAATACGCATCAGTCGGAAAGCGCACGTTAAATCTCCAAAGTAAGTAAGTAAGTAAGTAAGTAAGAAAGAGTTGTTTCTTTATTTGTAGCGTGTCGGGACGAAGTCAGGAGTATTTAAAGAAATATAGTCTTTAGTTTCTTCCCAATAAAATCTTGCTGGGTGTATTTTACTCCATCATCGGATCAATACTTTCTTAATGTTTGTTTACTGAGGTTAATTCTCGTTGTGGAATTCCGGAGCTCATATTAGAGGATGGTTGAAAATGTGAAAATATACCAAAAAAAGCACCAGCAAATTGCATCACACCATTATGTTAATGTATGATTAGCGTTATTTCTATTTTTGAACACAAATAGCGTGGCTCTACTATGGTATAACGGGACACTTAGCGCAGGTGGTCGATTAGTTTAATTACATCCAATTTCGTCTCAATAGAATCTGCTGATCATGGGTATGAATCCTAAATTCGACCCGATCATGAGCATCAGTCTGTCAGCACATATTCTCATGTTTAGTGGAGTCGCGGAATGGTAAATATCTTACAAACGCATCCCTTTGGGTTTTCGTAACTCAACCGTGCAACGGTAAACCTTACAAAGATTTAATGGTATGACATTAAAAAAGTGAATACTATCTCGGGAATCAAGGTGGAGGAATTTCGAATTGGTCTCATTGTACCCATGTAAGGATTGAACCCTTGTCCTCGGTGCGACTGACTTACGCATTACCCACCCCACCAGCCCTCCCTTGACACAGGCTCACAGTTCGGTTACAGTAAAAAAAAAATATCTATTCTCAAATAATCTCCTCCTAAGAGACGAGACTCGCTGAACCTTAGACTATAGGCCTAGCCATCACCTATTTTCTTAGTACATATGGTTTTAACTTTAACAACGTCGTTGTTCTAATTGCATATATCAGGGCAGCGCTGTTGTGACAGTGAGGACAGAAGATGGCGACACAACACTGCAAAACAAGGTGGTCCTGGGCTTAGACACAGGCGAGTTTCAGTCAACACCATTACTCACAAAATGTACAGCCAATGTGCCTTTATGATCACTGCCATTTTTATACTGCCATATTTTATCACGCATGTTAATCTAGTAGCACGATTTGCCCTTTGCGGGGTTAAACCCATATCATTACACAACCAATATCAAATACTTGAAGATAAACTACGGGTTATATCCCAGTAAATAACACGTTATTGGGACCCCGCTGTGATAGTTGTGTGATAAAGTTATTCTTAGTTACCGTTACCTGAAAAACAACACGTTCAAGCGTCAGATAAAAGTTTAGTTCATCAATTGGCCTTGTATGTACCGAGGTTCCGGGATCCCATTGGCTTAATAAATTGTCACGAATGTGTTTTAACGTCAATTACAATACTGACACATACTCTTACACACGTCTTACTATATTCCTAGATACGGCAAATTCTAATGTTACGTGATAACCCATGATTGTCTTTTCCAGGCCCTTGTACCAGTATCTTTAAAATTGACTCCAGTACAGGGGAGATAACTCTTACATCAAGTCCTGATAGAGAGGACGTCTTATTTAAAGACAACAATGGCGTCTGCATGCTGAACGTCACGGTTAGAGAAAAGTTCAATCGCTTTTTTCATTAGGATGAGGGGGTGGCCTTGGATTTTGTCTAGAGATTAGACATTTTCCAGAGATTAGACATTTTTCCAGCTACAGCTTCAAACCAGATATTTTGTTAATTAAAACTATGGGCCTGAATATCTTTTTAAGATAGACACCTATCACCTTGTTACTTTTGTGGCAGACAATTTCTATTTTTTCAACAGTCTGAAGCATAAATATTTTTAGCAAGAAATATCTAGGACTTTTGTTCCGATAAAATCATAGCCGTCACTGAATCAGCGTTTTATCTATGATTGAAATGTTACAAACGTCATTTCTGCACCAAAAAATGTAATATGATACTTTTCAAAGATAGATTGTCAGTAAAAGCACCGATACATAATTTCGTCTCCAACATAATAGTGCGTGTTTCGGCCACCTGATACAGGCTACAGAGGACAGTGGTGACCGGCTACAGTATGGATTGTCGTTTTCATGGGTGATGGTGATGGTGTTTGTCACTGACGTCAACGACAACCACCCTACGTTCAGTGCAGGGAAGGTAAAGGCGTACACGGCGAGGGATGTCCCCGAAGGTGCGCCGGTTGTCTTTGCACAACCCCAGTTTCTCACAGTTGTGGACGACGATAGGGTAAGGTAGCAACTATTTCCTTTAAATAGAGGGGTTTACCAGTCGGTGTTCCCGTTGAAAGATAGAATATTTGGGAGCCGCTGTTTGCTCTTTCAAAAAAAGTCTGTATAGTCTGGTCACTGTTAGATAAAGCGATCGTAGCAATATCACTATCGTAAGTCACGTAGATTAACATACTTTTGTGAAAACATGCCCTGTCATAGTATGTTATTTAAGAGACCTTCTTATCTTAACTTTTAGTATTGTCCCAAAGGGTACTAACTGTGCCGGACCGCTTCCAATACATTAAAATACACAGATATTATTAAAATATATAGCTTGTAGAGACACTACTGGTCAAGTGGAGACATGCAATTTGCGATCGACGTGAGGTGTCTGGAAACATTACCCGAGCATTATACAAAATTACTACTGATTTTTAAAGTTGAATTAGTGCGTGATGTTGTCATTGGTAGAATGCACAAACTGGATAGAGAAAACAGAATTGGAATTCGCGCATTCTGTCCAAGCCAGTTGCCATTCAAAATATGGCTGCTCTACAGGAAAAGTTGACAATGACAATGCTCAGATAACATAACCACATATGTTAGTAACAGGACCACTGCCTTGTTCGATCAAAACCTGGTATTTATGACAAATGAGGGCCACATAAGAGGCATGTATGATAACTGTGGGAGAAATCCCTCAACACGCGCATGAGTACCACGCAGTTGAGGCTTGACTCTAAATCCTGATGACATTCTTCATTTGGACACTGGATTCCAAAGTCCCGGTCTAATCGTAATTAGATCGACCGCCTCTGTGGTCTAATGATAGAGCGTCCGCCCGGAGAGCGGAAGGTCCGGGGTTCGATCCCCGGCCGTGTCATCCGAAAAGACGTTAAAAGATGGTACTTGTTGGTACCCTGTCTGGCGCTGGGCATTAAGGACTGGTCGGCTCGGAGTCAGTATACTGTGTCTGAGTGGGGTATTAATGTTAAACTGCGGCATGGTATCTAAGTGGGCTAGCACAAAAATCGGCATCAATCCGGACTAGTACACACAAAAGCAGACACACACACACACACACACACACACACACACACACACACACACACACGAACACGAACACACACACGAATACACACATACATACACATGCACGTCTCTAAAAAAGTGCAATAATCTTGGACGCGACGTTAACCCCCATTTCAACTCACCCATAATCAGATCATTGTCATTTTAGGTTTTCCTCCATATTGTCATTCTGAAACCTGTTTCCCCCAAGCTCCCCACTCTCCCTTTCCTGTGTGCGTGCCTTTGGTATAAGGCATAGGAAGAACCCAGTTATCTGAGACGTCGCAATTCGTTGTGCATAGTTGCTGTCTTCGTCATGCCAGGGTGCGCTGGTCGTGGGTTCGAGTCCCTGTTTCGCCTCCTCAGTTTCTATATATTTGCGTCAGTTAGTGGTTTCCTCACATAACAAACTGACAGGTCGTGATCAAACTGGAAATGTCAAATGTACCTCCTCACTTTCCTCCTCTCTACCAACAGGGCCCAAATGGCATCATGGAGATCTTCCTGCAGTCAATTGGCAACAAACACGACACCGTGTTTCAAGTATCGCCCCAGAGGGCGTATTCCCAAGCACAGATTTTCCTCAATGTGTTCAATGCTTCCGCACTGCGGACATATCCTTACGACGTAATTACAGTTGAGGTGGGTTACAAAAGGGCGATATTTACTCCTATAACATACATCATTTCATTATTTTCGTATCCTTGTTTTCATGATAATGACCTGTCCGTAGCCTTTTCCGTATTGACATGGCATTATCCTCTACCCTTTATTTTTATCATCTCTGCATTTCTTATATCCCAAGATCTCTATACCATTATCTTCAAAAACTGATTCCGTAACACTCATATCTCCATCCACGAAGGGGGCACGGGTGGCCCAGTCGTCTAAGGCGCCGCGATTCGCTGTGCAGAGTTGCGTCCCTTGGGCATGCCAGAAACCTATGATTGTGGGTTCGAATCCCGGTTCGCCCCAATTATGTTTCTAGGTTTGTCAGCACCATACGCGTGCTCGTGGGTTTCACCGAAGTGGTAAACGTCTGAGACCTGCATCACTTCGGGCTTTCCTCCCACCTTAAGCTGACACGCCGCGATATAACTGGAATACTGTTAAAAGCGGCGTTAAACCCAACTCACTCACTCACTCACTCTATCCACGAATCATTATATCCTTATATTGATAGCATAACATCTTATCCCCAAAAGCTTTTTCTTTTCAACATTGTCTTCAACCAATAGGTTTTACAACCAATTTCCTTTTTCGTTAACTACGAGCGATACAATATGCGGATAGTGTAGATGCAGCATTCTTCACTCAATCACTGCATGTCCTTCATGTCAAATGATGTTTGCCATTTCCTCCATTGACAAATACTATCTGCTTGTTACAGTAGATCTAGTTGGTGTAACTACATGTATAGTTCAGTGTTACAGTAGAGCTAGTTAGAGTCACTACAGTTCAGTGTTACAGTAGATCTAGTTGGTGTAACTCCAGTTCAGTGTTACAGTAGATCTAGTTGTGTTACTACAGTTCAGTGTTACAGTAGATCTAGTTAGTGTCACTACAGTTCAGTGTTACAGTAGAGCTAGTTAGAGTCACTACAGTTCAGTGTTACAGTAGAGCTAGTTGGTGTAACTACAGTTCAGTGTTACAGTAGAGCTAGCTGGTGTTACTACAGTTTAGTGTTACAGTAGAACTAGTTAGTGTCACTACAGTTCAGTGTTACAGTAGAGCTAGTTGGTGTAACTAAAGTTCAGTATTACAGTAGAGCTAGCTGGTGTAATTACAGTTCAGTGTTACGGTAGAACTAGTTGGTGTTACCTCAGTTCAGTGTTACAGTAGAACTAGTTGGTGTTACTACAGTTCAGTGTTACAGTTGATCTAGTTGATGTAACTATAGTTCAGTATTACAGTACAGATAGATGGTGTTACTACAGTTCAGTGTTACAATAAATCTAGTTGGTGTCACTACAGTTCAGTGTTACAGTAGAGCTAGTTAGAGTCACTACAGTTCAGTGTTACAGTAGAGATAGATGGTGCTGCTACAGTCCAGTGTTACACTAGTGTTACTTGTTGTCACTTCTACAGTTCAATGTGTTACAGTAGATCTAGTTGGTGTTACTCCAGTTCAGTGTTACACTAGTGTTACTTGTTGTTACTTCTACAGTTCAATGTGTTACAGTAGATCTAGTTGGTGTTACTCCAGTTCAGTGTTACACTAGTGTTACTTGTTGTTACTTCTACAGTTCAATGTGTTACAGCTGTACGCCAGAGAGACGTCATCATCCAGTCACGTCGCCATGGTGACGGTGTCAATCGACGTGCAGAACACCCAGTCCCAATGTAACCACGTTCCTGTGGTCGGCTGACGTGTTGGGGCGTAAGGTAGAAATCATGTCTTGTCAGTTGAGGAGGGATGGAGGGGGTGTGCAGATGTATTCCTTCTTTCCTTCGTAAACTAGTCTAAATGTCACGAGAAGTTAACGGTGCTCCTTTGAATTAAAAGTGTTCCTGTAAACCTAAAGTGTTCTTATGAATTAAAGTGTTCCTGTGATAGAACAGGGTTTTCCTGTGAATCAAAAGTATTCCTAACTTCATGCGAGGAAGCATTGAGATACTGCTATGACTATCAGACAGGATCAGTCAGTCAGTTCACTTGGGGGAGGAGTTATTGACTATCTCGTGGAAGGTCGGGCCTATACGTACTTATGGATGCAGGTTAGGGACAACCTCTAGAATGTAGACTTAAGAAAGTCTGGACTTCAGTGAGTGAGTGAGTTTAATGCCGCTTTTTACAGTATTCAAGGCATATCACGGCATGTCAGCTTAATATGGGAGGAAAGCCCGAAGTGATGCAGGTCTCAGACGTTTACCACTTCGTTGAAACCCATGAGCACGGGTATGGTGCTGACAAACCTAGAAACGTAATCGGGGCGAACCCACAATCATAGATTCCTAGCGTGCCCAAAGGACGCAACTCTGCACAGCGAATCGCGGCGCCTTAGACGTCTGGGCCACACTTGCAATAAAGTCAAAGCCTCAAATATTTATACTGTACCCGTCCTTTAGTATTCCTTTGGTGTTGGTGATTGGACGAAACAATAAGTTCAGGGTATTGACACCCTCACACGAAGAATCATGTCAGGCAGTATATCCCACCAACCTCGATCTTCCCTCAATAGCTTAAATTTACAAATTATAATGGGAGGGCGTGATTAATGTGGAGGCTCTTCGTGATTATTTGTCTGATGATCCTCTTGTGAAGCATGTCAAGACTCTTGATGAAAAAAAGACATTCCATAGTTTCCTTAAACGAGCCAAGGATGTTGGACATGAACCAGTGTTGAATTTGTTGATAGTTCTGTGCTGGACGGTACAGAAATGAGTGTCAACCAAGCGAAGTGACTTATCAAATCGACCCAGACCACTGCATCGAGTTTATGTGCAGCGTGTTGAGAACAGTAACCCCACAGATTCCTTCGCTTCGATGAGTGAACGAGAGTTTGGTTTAACGCCGCTTTTACCAATATTCCAGCAATGTCACGGCGGGGGGACACCGGAAATGGGCTTCACACATTGTTCATGTGGCGAATCGAACCCGGGTCTTCAGCGTGAAGAGCGAACGCTTTAACCACTAGTCTACCCCTCGCTTGGATGAAGTCGACTGTCCTGAAAAATGAAACAGAAGGCTTTCTGTTCCCACTCGAAACCGTCAATGTGGGATTTTACATGAAACTGTAAATATAAAATGTAGATTATGCAATGGATTTTATGAGGTTGGCCAACACATTGTCAGTGGATGCCAAGCCTTGGCACAAACACAATATCTTCAGCGACATGATGGATAATCCCGTCTAGATTTCTTGCGTGACTGTTTGGTTAAACAATACTGTCCCCACTCCTTATATGGAAAAGTTGAATCTTTGGCAGCATTTGTTTTGAATTGATGACCAAAATCTCAGTTTTGTCATCTTATGTATTGTTTGTCATTGATGTGAAATGTTTCCTCTTTTCCTCTTCGTGTTTACAATGTTTCTCTGTATGGCAAGCATCTGGCGATGGACAGGAAGTGAAGATTTGCGCATCTGTCTTTCTAATCTTCGATGCTCCTGCTTGGCTGCTATTTTATGTACATGGGCCTAAGGCCGTTTTTACTGAATAAAATGATTGATTGATTGCAATTGTGTTGGTGTGTTGAAAAGTTAAGGATGACTTCTCATCACTTTCTAAAGTAAAAAAAAAAGGTTTCAGTTCCTGTGTAATTACATCACTTGTTTTGTCACCATGTTGAAATGTTGAAATCGCCGCAGATAAGTAACTTTCCACTCTTAGGTCTATCGCTTAATTTACTGAACTCCATGAGGAATGTATCTAGTAGATTTGACTTTGGTGGTCAATAAACAACATAATAATCAATCATTTGATTGCAAACACAGAGTTTTGCAGAACATGTCATTCAAATTTCAAGCACGATTTTATCGAAGCCAAACTTAAAAAAAACAAAGTAATAATTGCTGCAGGCTCGGTTAAGTGTACAAACACGTTATGATAATGGTACGATCAGGACAGGGCCACAATGCCATCACAATACGATCACTACAGGACCACAATATCACCATGGTGTGATCATTACAGGACCACAATACAATCACGGGACGATCATTACAGGGCCACAATACCATCATGGTGTGATCATTACAGGACCACAATACCATCATGGTGTGATCATTACAGGGCCACAATACCATCATGGTGTGATCATTACAGGGCCACAATACAATCATGGTGTGATCATTACAGGACCACAATATCACCATGGTGTGATCATTACAGGGCCACAATGCCATCACAATACGATCACTACAGGACCACAATATCACCATGGTGTGATCATTACAGGGCCATAATTCCATCACGATAGGTACGATCAGCACACGACCACAATACCATCATGGTACGACGACTACACGGTTCTAGTATCGCGACAGGCAGATTCAACACAGGTTCACAATACGACCGCGGTACGATCAAGACTGGGCCTTGATATTATCGCAAAACTGTATCGCATCAGTGGCATGTACTTATGAGAAGTACTGTATGTGTTATATACATGTCTGCAAATAGAAATATATGTTTAATGTTAACACAAGTGTCCTGTAAAGGTTTGTAGCGCACTGATGGCATTGAATCCACGTGTATGCATTTCTATGTTTTGTTCCAAGAAGCAATGCCATGCAATCAATGCTCACCCTTCATTGATTCATTGAACACTGGTTTTGTCCAAAGTAAGGCATTAGGTGCATAGAGAGAGAGTCCTCCAGCCTTTATTGAATTTGTATATCACCATGAAACGTATAGCTAGTTCATTCCATCGACTTGTACCAGAGTATGTGTAATATACACACTAGATGCATAGACGGCAGGAGGGTACACGGTGATACAGCAACTGGAGAAGACTTTGTGAATAGTTGTTCCAAACGTAACGTATTCGCGAAAGAGTCGGGAGTTTCAAAGGATTGTGTGAATACCACGACGACGCCACTTGTGGCATATTTTCAATATTGTTCTGTGATTGTTGATGAACTTAAACTGGAATTGCTTGGCAACTCAACCACAAGAAAACCGTGGAGGTTAAAAGACATACTTGTGCAAGAAGTAAACGTATTTGACCGATTGGAAAAAAGTGGCATCATACCATACATCTGTATGTGAGTTGAAGTGACGTCTTTTATTATTGGGTTGATCAAAGATTAAGACCAGGTACTGTTCTTTGTAAGGATCCCTCGAACTGACCCCCAAGATGCAATACATCTGTCTCCTGGTCATCAGCCTCATCCATTTCATACTTCTTGGGAACACGTCAGGACAGACTGTGATTGACATCAGCAAGGACAAGTCATTTTCTGCTAAAGTTCACGCCTCACCGCTCGCCATAAGTCCCTTGCACTGTGCCAAGTTGTGTCTGGTCGACCCGCTATGCCAGGCTTTCACAACCAAGTGTGACTGGAAGTTCGTTCTTGATGTTAGGTGTCGCCTGTTTACTACCACAGATGGACAGACTGCAGCTCCTGGGTCCTGTCTGGCAATGTTCCGCAACAGACCGAGTACAGCCACATGTGCTTCTACGAGCACAGCTACAACCACAACTCCTGCAACTATAACTACCGAACAAACTACAACTACAACACCAGCAACTACAACCACAACACTTGCAACAACAACACCTGCAACTAAAAATACAGCTACACTTACTACACACACCACAACCACAACCCCTACAACTACAATAACAACACCTACATCTACAACCACAACATCTGCAACTACAACCACAACATCTGCAACTACAACCAACACACAAACTACAACCACAACATCTACAACTATAACTACCACACTAATTTCAACCACAACACCAGCAACTACAACCACTGCACCTGCAACCACAACAACACCTACAACTACAGCAACACTTACTACACACACCACAACCACTATACCTGCAACTACAATCACAACACCTTCAGCTACACCCACATCACCTGCAACTACACCCACATCACCTACAGCTACAACCACTATACATGCAACTACAATAACAACCCCTGCAACTACAATCACAACACCAGCATCTACAACCACTCCACCTGTAACTACAATCACAACACCAGCATTTACAACCACTCCACCTGCAACTACAACTACCACGCAAACTACAACCACAACACCTACAGCTACAACCACAATTCCTGCAACTACACCGACATCACCTACAGCTACAACCCCTACACCTGCAACTACAACCACAACATCAACAACTACAACCACATCACCTGCAACTACACCTACAACACAAACTACAAGCACTACACCTGCAACTACAACCACAACACCTACAAATACAACTACAACCACAACACCTGCAACTACAACCACTACACCTGCAACTACAACTACCGCACAAACTACAATCACTAAACCTGCAACTACTACAACACCACCTGCAACTACAACCAAAATACCTACAGCTACAACCACAATTCCTGCAACTACAACAACAACTACAACTACAGCAACACTTACTACACACACCACAACCACTATACCTACAAATACAACTACAACCACAACATCTGCAACTACAACCACTACATCTGCAACTACAACTACCGCACAAACTACAACCACTATACTCGCAACTACTACAACACCACCTGCAACTACAACCACAACACCTACAGCTACAACCACATATCCTGCAACTACACCCACATCACCTACAGCTACAAAAGCTGCACCTGCAACTACAACCACAACATCTACAACTACAACCACATCGCCTGCAACTACACCTACCACACAAACTACAAGCACTACACCTGCAACTTCAACCACAAAACCTACAACAACAACAACACCTGCAACTACAACTACGGCTACACTTACTACACAACCTACAACCACAATAATTAGAACTACAACCACAACACCTACAACTACAACTTCAACTACCACACTAAAAACAACCACAACACCAGCAAATACAACCACTCCACCTACAACTATAACTACCGAACAAACTACAACCACTATAACTGCAACTACAACGACCCCTGCAACTACAACCACAAAACCTACAACTACAGCTACTACACTAACTACAACCACTTCACCAGCAACTATAACCACAACACTTGCAACTACAGCAATACCTGCAACTACAACTACAGCAACACTTACTACACACACCACAACCACAACACCTACAACTACAACAACAACACCTACATCTACAACCACATCTCCTGCAACTATAACCACAACACTTGCAACTACAGCAATACCTGCAACTACAACTACAGCAACACTTACTACACACACCACAACCACAACACCTACAACTACAACAACAACACCTACATCTACAACCACATCTCCTGCAACTATAACCACAACACTTGCAACTACAGCAATACCTGCAACTACAACTACAGCAACACTTACTACACACACCACAACCACAACACCTACAACTACAACAACAACACCTACATCTACAACCACATCTCCTGCAACTATAACCACAACTCCTGCAACTACAACCACATCACCTGCAACTACAACTACCACACTAATTACAACCACAACACCAGCAACTACAACCACTCCACCTACAACTACAACTACCGCACAAACTGCAACCACTATACCTGCAACTACAACAACACCTACACAACAATAACCACAACTCCTGCTACTACAGCCACAATACCTACAGCTACAACAACAACACCTGCAACTACAACCACAACACCAGCAACTACAACCACTCCACCTGCAACTACAACTAACGCACAGACTACAACCACAACACCTGCAACTACAACTGCCACACTAACTTCAACCACAACTCCTCCAACTACAACCACGACATCTACAACCACAATACCTGCAACTACAACTAGCACACTAACTACAACCACAACACCTACAACTACAACTACCACACTAACTTCAACCACAACACCAGCATCTACAACCACAACATCTACAACCACAACACCTACAATTGAAACTACTTCACTTACATCTACAACAACAAGACCTATATCTACAACACATAGTACAACCACAATGATAACACCTACGTAAACTACATCCACAACGCCTACTGCCACATCACGTGTGAAAACTACAACACCTACTTAAACCAAAACAACGCCTGCCACAAACACAACAAAGCTCACTTTAACAACACCTACCACTACCACTACCACTACATCACTACACCTACTGCAAAAGCAATGCAATACCAACTACAACTAAATCTACTACAACACCAACTACAACCACAACAACCAGAGAATTATCGTATAGGAGTAAAAGATGTGATTGTAATGAGATGGTTTCTGATGAACAACCTTGACCAAGTTGATCACATCTACACTACAACCACAACCACAACAACCAGAGAAGTATCGTAGAGGAGTAAAAGATGTGATTGTAATGAGATGGTTTCTGGTGAACAACCTTGATCGAGTTGATCACATCTCCACCATAACCACAACCACAACCTCGACCACCATCTAGTTACTTAATGCTGGAACATAAGGTGAAAAATGCAAGCCAATACCAAATAAAGGATGCCACAACACCTTGTGTTTAGCCTACAAGACAGAGTGTACTCGCCGTATGTGCAACTGCACTGGAAAACTGTGGGTGGAAAACTCTATCAACGGAATTCTCATTCCACGCGAGAGACGGATGTTCTGGAAACTGTTCTTCATAGAGTACTCGTGCGTGGAACAGCAGCCCTCTTCATTGCCTTGAGGAATATTGCACATCTCCCTATTCCATTACTCGGATCTCACCTCTGTGACTGCTACGGGCTCACGCTGAAAATTCGCAACTGTTTTAATGTAATGTTTGTGATTTGTCACATTAATCTATGTAAGTTTTTGTCTCAGTAATCGCCTTTTTCCTTACTTTGATTTAGATGTTCATGCATAGTTACGCCTAAGCTACATCTATCTTACCAAAATCCATTTGTCAAGACTCTCAAGCCTGAAAGCTATGTACATGTATATATGTTGGTAAAACACTATTTGTGTAAGTAATTCTGTATATACAGATCGTTTTCTCTGCATCCTGTCCTCTGTCTCGTCTTTATCCACTATTTATAATCACAAGTAGTGGCGGGGGCATGGGTGGCCCAGTCGCCTTTGGCGCCGCGATTTGCTGTGCACGCCTTGAGCACGCCAGAAACCTATGATTGTGGGTTCGAATCTAGGGTCGCCCCGATTATGTTTCTAGGTTTGTCAGCACCATGGCCATACCCGTGCTCGTGGGTTTCACCGAAGTGATAGACGTCTGAGACTTGCATCACTTCGGGCTTTCCTCCCACATTAAGCTGACACACCGCGATATAACTGGAATGCTGTTAAAAACGGCGTTAAACCCAACTCACTCACTCACTCACAAGCAGTGACATGTATATTCCCCTCATGTTTTCAATGACATGAATACAATTATTTCATCACTTTCATTTAATCAACATCGATGATAATAATAACAGTTGCAAGTAACAATTCATTTCACAGAATAATACATTTCAATTGAAAGTGTCAACCATATTTTCATAAATAAATAAAACAAGTCCACATAGCCTCACTTTACACACACCAAAAGCAATTCAACAAGAGTATATATGTCGTATCTGACAATCTGATTATGTCACACTTAAATTAACTTCAGTTTAATCCTCATCATGAATCTAAATTTAAAATGCATTGTACCATTCACTTGTTCAAACTGCATCAATACATATGGTAGCTGTACTTGAGTACTTGGGATTTTAAAACAACTTAACTTATGGAATGATGATGACAAAATAAACGTGTATATATCTTACATGAAACGGACAGCTGTGAATCACCATTGACATATTTCGTGTTCTGTCTACGATTTCTTTAATATTGATGAAACCTTTGTCTGGTACTCATGTTTTATGTACAAGAGTGGCAGATGTCCCAGCCAAGCATCTTATGATCATACGTGATAGTTAATTATGCATTTTCCCCTGTTTGTGTTTCCTTGACAGACAGAAGTCTAACACACTTCCCAACCCCCGTTTTTTGTAACGCGCAACGCTGCTTCTAAGGGAGATTATTAAACATTCGAGTTCATACCATGTTATGTGACAGTAGAGACCGTTGTGGATAGATTTGTAGTGATTGTCAGTGGCAACAGAATGATTGAAGAGCAAGTAATATGTCGAGTGATGTCGGCGGCAGGAAGTGATTACAGTTGTCTGCCCCTGGTTGTTGTTAACCAACATAACAGGTTTGATCGTTCGAGAAGTTTCGTGATGGCTGGCTGTATATAGAAATGAGAGGATGGCGATTCGAGGCCAGAAAGTGAGTGTTTGAATATAATTTGTTGATCATTCATTAATCTTGTGGACACTTACCGACTTTACAAGTTAGCTCTGTGCAAACTGATTTCTGGGTTAACCTTTGCGATTCATTTTGAAAATCACCCCGTAATTACCTACTGTCAGAAATAATGCTATCGTCTAATGCTTTCGTTTCTAACATAGATATTACTTTCTACCACGGGCTGAATAACATCCACAAATATTGATACGAGGTTCCATACGCATAACTGGTATGAAACTATAAGATTGGCTGTCATACAAACATGTTTGACTTACATAAAATAGAATATCTTGAAAAACCGTGTCCACATAGGAGTGGACCTACAACACAACCAAATTGTTTTAATAGGCATTTTGGTTCCGTTTTATTGTGCCTCAGACATTACTATACATGTACACATAATACTCGTGAATACATCACTATTAACTGGATAGTACACGTCTGATTGACTAAATGAAACAGAAACATATACACATTTAACTCAACAAATCGATCGGTAGGCAGGATTCAAGAAAAGGGATGTAGGCTATTTGACTAACACTCTTTACAAAGTAGAGATAATATATGGATAACAACTTCTTTATTTACTGTAAAGGCGACGTCCCGGTATAGATCCTTTGCTTGACAACGGTATACGGATCTACACCGAAACGTTGCCTTTACAGTAAATAAAGTTGTTATCCATAAATTAACTCTACTTAGTCATCCGTCAATTTCTAGGTAATGCCTATCAAACAATTAGTGCTAAAAGCTCAAGTGTTTCAGGGTTTCAACGTTACGTGCCATGGATGCTAGTGTTCCTTTCTTCTCTTGTCCTGATCAAATCTGACTGATCACAGAATTATGTTCAATAGTGAGATGTTGTCCAAGTGAATTCAGTTTTTAGATACATATACCTGAGCAACGATGACGATACCAGTTCTCCCATAGTACATAAACGTATTCATTCGTTGTAACGTCAGTCAATATCAACGTTTTGTATAAAATCATATACATGTGTCCTATCGTGTAACATAATGAATCTAAATTTGCATTTAGAACACAAACAATCTTTTTAATGTTATCTCACTTAGATGAGATACGAACCGCCATCAATATTTCATTACCATTTTATACGTGTCCGACAAATCAAGTAGATGCTCTTGCTATGACGACACGTGATGTCCGGCATATTGGATGATTACATAAGAACATTTACAGGGAAATGGATTTCTTGGTTTAAAATATTAAACATCGGAATCAAGCTTAGGGAAGGTACTTTATGATGAGGAGTAGTATATGCTCCGAAACCTTGTGTTCCTCATAATAAAGAAGTTGACATCCATAAATTCTCTTCCTTATGTGAGTCAATTCTTAATACCTTTGAAAGACTTGAAATCAAGTTGTCTAAACACTGTAAAGCAATCTTCAATAACTACAGATGAAGGGGAAATCGCAATTCCACCGGGGCGACATTCGGGGGAATGGTTCATTATTAAGTTCAACGTGTTTTCATGAGATTTCATAACTATTCCCGCCCCATGTAATACAAGCGAGGCCGAAATCGATACAAAGTCAGTTGCATACAGTAACAAAATGCATTTTCTAATGTCGTAACAAAAATTAAACAAAATACTAATATAAAAACACTCAGTTGTATAAAAGGGACAGGAGAAAATCTGAATAGATACAAGCAAATTAAAAACAGAATAACAGTACATGTGTGGCACTGCGTGCCATGATCTGCATCCTCCCAAGATGAAGAAAGCTGCTTGCAGTCAATCCGTCGTTCAGCTTGGCCTGTCAAGCGGTCTCCGATAAGTTACTCGTGTATGTGTTATTACGCAATAAGCATTCGGTAAGCCGTATTCTTTAAGAATATGTTTTCCACATATCCTTTTGTCACATCTGTCGTTTTGTCAGATAACTGCGTGTTACGTGATGATTTACATCTCAAGTTGCACATGTTTTATCCTTTTCCCTGTCGATTGTATCGTGTAAACTATAGCAACAGGCCGTTTAATTCATTTCCATGAGGCAGGTATGCATCGCTTGTGTCATAACACAATAAGAAGGATCTAGAAAACATCACCTGACTTAATATGATAGATAAATTGTATTAAGCAGTTTTCGCAAACTTTGGTCAAGGGCTGAGACGAGTAATTATAAAACGCAAGATCAATATCAGATCATACATTTGTATGTGTCTTCGTCCGTGAATTTCCATCGCCAATACTTTACATGTTTGTATGCACTACGTTGCTCCGGGAATACACATGGCCCTCAGCGGTGAAGTGTTTACGTGTGTCTAATTATGTGAAGGATAAAGCACGACGAGATTATGGTCGAGGAAGTAAGACCGAGGCAAGAGGGTACACTGCCGATACCCGATACCCGATTGTCTTACTTCCTCGGCCATTACTGAGGAGGAGTGCTTAATCTTAAAGATATCTTAGAGTGAAACAGTGTGTCGCGGTATAAAATGAATGCGATCAAAGCGTGCGAGAGAAAGAACACGTTCAGCATAGACAAAACCAAGTCATGACATCTAAAATTGAACAATCTCTCATCGCCTGCCCCAGTGGCTCAGTGGGAAAACAGTGGGTTGCAGGTTCGATTCCCGTCATCCATAATGGAAAAGTTTCACTTCTTGTGATAGACTTTATAACTTTGGATGTTTGAAATACTGAGTCCAAATTCCATCTGCTGCTCAAATCATCAGGTCTTACTAGCGAAAAGTAAAAAAAAAACCAGGAGGTTTTTACGAGTTATCTACATTACAATATCCAAAAGTGGCAGTGGGTTTATTATAACAGCTAATGAAATGGTGCCGGGTGTACATTAGGGTCGTCGCCTGAACCCTCCTAGCTGTGTGTGAACGTTGTGCAAACCCTGTCATTGTATTATATTACGGTAACGTGTTGAGCGTTGTGCAAACCCTGTCATTGTATGACATTACAGCAACGTGTTGAGCGTTGTGCAAACCCTGTCATTGTATGACATTACGGCAACGTGTTGAGTGTTGTGCAAACCCTGTCATTGTATGACATTACAGCAACGTGTTGAGCGTTGTGCAAACCCTGTCATTGTATGACATTACAGCGACGTGTTGAGGATACAGCCACAAGGTTGTAGCTGTGTAGTACACGTCATCAAGTAAGAAAGATGTGCTCGGTCCGTTGTTTTAACACAACAGCGACACAGCATAGCAGCTATATTTATTCCCGGGTGATGAGTGAGTGAGTGGGTATGGTTTTACGCCGCTTTTAGCAATATTCCAGCAATATCACGGCGGGGCACACTAGAAATAGGCTTCACATATTGTACCCATGTCGGGAATCGAACCCGGGTCTTCGGCGTCCCGGGTGATGAAGGACTGTAGTGTTTATATCACTCGTGGAGTACTGACCATGATGGAATTCCTGTGATTGTCGTTTTGAATGTTGGAATTATAGTCATAATTTTGTTCAGTAGATCTTCAAAATAACATCTAGAGTCTTGACCGTTGTAAACCAATACCATCATGTCCAGAAGGCTGACGTTAATAAGCAAATACTATTTTTGTTAGATGTACGACTGTTATAGGCAAATGACATCGAGACTAGATGTTTGACTGCTAAAGGCAAATATGATCTAGATGTCTGACTGTTGGAGGCCTTGTATGGACGTGTAGGTGCCGCTGTCGGCGTCACTGCCATCATCGTCAATGAGAGACTGCTTGTCCTCCTTCGCCCTCGTCTTCTCCATGTCCGCATGATGTCTCAGCACATCGTCCAAGGCAGGGTTCCGTATCATGGTCCTCATGGCGTCATATTCGTCTATCCTCATCGTCACCTCCTGCTCGTCAACAGTCTCTATATTAGCAGGCCCGTCGTTGTCAACTTCGTTGTTGTCCAGGCTGTCATCGTCACTGAAACGTATGCAACATAAAGATTGAGTGGAAATGCTGTTCATTGAAAAGCTCTGTAGTCAGTCATACATATATGTATATACAAAAGAAACGCGAATACCATACATATTGGTTCATATGTGAAGACTTACTCATATTCAAGAGCTATTAGATTGGTTCAATGCACAAATGTACATACTATTATGTTGTGTGAATCGACGCTCATGAACGCTTCACATGTAACGTCATAGATCCATGACTGACCATTAGCGTTTAAAGTTTGGAAATCACTTGAATGATTGTTAGTTTTGTCATTAATCTTCTTAACTTACATACTTCTCCTTATGTTTCTGTGGTTCGCGTTTCTTTTGGCGGTGACTATATACATAGGAATCAATGCGACTGCCATTCCGCAGGTCACCTAAGCCTGTTGGCACGTGCGTGTACGTTTACACATGACATACGGTGGTCACATGGGTTGTCCCTATGTCTGACACAGGTACTCGGTACAATCGAATACTTTCTACGTACCGTTATGTATATGGCACACTTATCCAGGACTTTGGCTTTATAATTTTCTTATTGCTGACATACCATGCAGGCCTAATGTTATTGGTATACGGTCTTGTTCAGGACCACTATCCTAACCTAACATAGCCACTGCCTGCATCACAGCTCATCACACAAATCCAGTTTGGTACAAGGGGAACTGGTATTACTGGTATCTCAGCCAGTAATTAGTTGTATCATTCAACATTGTCGGTGATTTCTTGAGAAAACAAAACAGCAATTAGCTGAGGACATCTTCCCGAGGCAAGGGAGTTAACTGACTATAAAAGTACAGTTTCCACCCTTGCCGAACTAAGCTGGAATTTCCAGGCTCGATCCTAGCGCCACCATCGGCTATGATGAGTTATGTCCCCTCTATGTCACCCCTATTGACCAACCGGATTCCACCTCTCATATCATTTGCAATTGCTTCAAACAAAATGGCGGCGCCCAGACAAGACCATCTGATCGATAATCAAGATGTATATTCCAATTTAACGGGCCTTATATTACCTCGCGAAGGGCATCAGATCACTTGAGCACCTTGATTAAAACATGAAAAGATTTGCAAACGATCTGTCGACGCCCAGTTGGCGGTACACTTGCTTTGCAAATCCTTCAGTCGACCGAAATCTGCACGTTGAAATCCATGTTGTTTACAAACCGGATGTCCAGTTCGTTAGGCGATTTTGATTGGACTATGCATAGACTCGTCAGTTCAGCCAAACTATAAGTCCGGAATTCCAGCCTATGTCTGCTCGGGTGAAAACTGGACTTATATAGTCAGTTAACGCCCTTGCCTCGGGAAGATGGCTGAGGATAGTTCATGCTCTTTATCATTCCCGATGAACATTCAACACACCTTGTGCTGGCCCTACATTGATATTAAAGAATATCTGTAATGGTATTAATTCATGACAATGATTAAAAAACCTCGTGTTACTACTTTGCCATTTCATTGTAGATACTCTGTTCCTGAAGCCCGGAGATCGGAACGTCGGTGGTTCGATCCCTTAGCCGCGTCATACAAAAATAGGTTTAGAGATGGTACTAGTTGTTACCCTGTCTGGCGCTCGGCATTAAGGGAATAAATCAAGTACGGGTTGGCTCGGTGTCAGTATACTGTGTCTGAGTGTGGTATCCATGTTAAAGTGCGGCATGGTATCTCGGTGGGATAAAACCGGCACAAGTCCGGACAAGTGCATCTTCCCGAGGCAAGGGAGTTAACTGACTACAGAAGTCCAGTTTTTACAGTCAGTTAACTCCCTTGCCTCTGGAAGATGGAACTAGTACAAACAGCCACATGCTTACAAAAATATGAATGTTAAATAGCCTTGAACGGGACGTTAAACCCGATTTCACCCCATCTCATCTAGAGTCTTTAAGCGTATAACATGTTAATATGAACATGTTTATTTGAAATGAATGTATATTGAATACAATGGCCAATATGTACATTTCAGTTCCTATTCACGCGTCTCCGTAAATTGTTTTGACCATTGTTAAATCATATTGATTTTGGAAACTGCACTCAAAACACCCTGGAACACTCTTCGAACGCCATTATTGCTAAACATGGACTTTAACTGGAAATGATAACCAGCAGAATGCATGTTATAGATTGGAAACAAACGTATCGATGCCCCTTCGAGTTCTGTTATGTGTTGAAACTAAGTTTAGTCCTATTGAGCCTTGATCTGCACTATTAATGCAGCATTTAGTTTTGCTCAGTTGTGTGAAGTATTGACTGTTTCGGTTCATTGAGGTATGAATCGATGTGCAAAAAACCGATGTGGAAACTTTGGTAGGAATTCATGCAGTTTGCACATCGGTTTTTCGATTCATACCTAAAAAAAACGGAAAAAACACATTCAATCCTTATAATTAAATTCTACAACGAAAGCGTGTGTTATTTACAACAGTTTAACCAAAAACAGTCGTATGTATCAAAGCAAACAAAAATGACGAGATCGAAAAACATTCCAGGTGCAGGAATACATGCTCTGGCGTGCCATGAGTCAGGTAATTGTTTTAATTTATGCATATAACATGACAAGCCCACAAAGTCAGTAGCCAATCAACGGAGGATAGGATCCAGACAAGGTTCATAGGACCCTGTCAATCAAAAGGCGAGAACAGAAGTCAGACTGTTACGAACCGGAACAAATATGTCCGGGAGAAGACGGCTGTTTAAAATGACATATAAGTTTCACCCAGTAAAGTTTGAGTTGGAAGAAATCCAGACCCAGCTGATACTGAAAATGGATTGATATTAACGTTATGTAAACTTTGGGTTTGGGTTTGAGTCATACTACGGCTGCTGATGACGGGGATTACCGCTTGAGGCGGCGCGATTAGATTTCCCTAAGCAATACACGGCAGTGTGGAGCTCAGTGATTTCTTTTGGTAAGTCGAGTGTTCTCTGTTGTAGCTTCGAATGGACGCTTCATTTCGGTGACCCGACATATACATAATCTGTCTGGCTTCAAAGCCTGTATCATAACGTGTATCGATGTCGCTGTCAGACAGTGGGCTGTGTATTGTTTTGAACACTTTGAATATTTGGAAACATCAGCAGGGTAGACTGGAGTATACTGTTGACCCCATTAGCCATGAAACCTTTTCCCTTATGATTTAGTTTTGCTGGAATGTGCACAATCTAAAAGAAATTGTCATATGATGATGCCTTTCCTATTTTGAATTGTTAGACACTGAGGAATTCCCCTAAAGTAGTTCTGTATGTCTCCGCTCGATTCACAACGTTATCACGTGATATATCCCGTTCATCGGGAAATGAGCGACAGTCAGCTTGGTAGTGTTCACCTAAGCGAGGTCACCCGCTACTGTCAATATTGGCAAATGGATGCCATTATACTAACAGAACGTTGTAGTCGTGATTCGCCTAACTACAATATGGAGCAATACGTGACGTGGCCTACCTTTCTGGTTCATACTGAGGTTTCGTCAGGCCTTCCTTCATGAACACAGGATTTGACCTGAGAGAAATGTAAAACAAAGATACATGCCTCCGGTTAGTGAATATAAAGTAATCATAGCGTAATACAAACACATATTTTAAACTCCGTTGATCAGCCCTCACGGTGGCCACAAGGCGTGCTGTTAGCCATCATGCTAAGATGGAACCTTGTTTGGATTCCAGATCTACAGTGAGGTTCCATGAATTGATTGATGCGTGTTTAAGTTGAACATGGCTGACGCCTCTCAGTATATGATCATGGATATATATGTGTGAAACATTAATACTGGGTTTTAGATGCAATACCAAAACCGGGCGGTCGGGTAGACTAGTGGTTAAAGCGTTCGCTCGTCACGCCGAAGACCCAGGTTCGATTCCCGACATGGGTACAATGTGTGAAGCCTATTTCTGGTGTCCCCCCGCCGTGATATTGCTGGAATATTGCTAAAAGCGGCGTAAAACCAAACTCACTCACTTACTCAATACCAAAACCTGCTTGGTACCGAAATCAAACCATTGAATATATAAAGGGAAGTACAACAGTGTGTCCTTTTGTATCATTAATGTTGTACTCACGCCGTGTATAGGTTCGTCCCTGGGGGCGGAGCTTCCTTTTCTATGTGATTAACACCTGGATAATGAAATATTAGGATAAAACAACATGTTGCTCAGGTAAAGGGATAATTGTTGTGACAAATGTCGCAACATGACCAATTACATGATACTCTACATCGTGACTGAATGATTTGGATATCTTAAGTTTAAGTATATCACATATTGTCTTCACATAATCCAATGTAGTATTCATGAATACAGACAAGACTTCATGTCAACTGTGGTTTCGTTATTTTCACATAATGTAAATATAAATGTTCATTTAAATATAACCAATACAGTAAACCTCGGTTATAACGAACTCAAAGGGACTTCTAATTTTAGTTCGTTATAACCGTAGTTCGTTATAAGCATATATACAGCATAACTACAGCAAATAGTCGGGACCAAAAAGTAAGTTCGTTATATCCGTCAGTTCGTTATAAGCGAGTTCGTTATAACCGTAGTTGACTGTATGTATTTATATCACTATGCCAGCATATTTCTGAAGTACGTGACCTGACACAGAATGTCAGCAGAATGTGGCATGTATTTTTAAGTCTATAATTTACAAACAACAATAAATATAAATTGTCAATGCAAGAGAATAACCATCCTAGATGTTCTGCCGAAACAGTTTCCACTTTGAGCAACAGCGACACAGAGTGGCGACTCCATGGACAACGTGATACTTACTGACTGCTGTGGTTTCAGCGCGTAGCCGCCGGATGTACCTGTCACGTGACATATATCATTATACAAATGGGTGTCGTAATCACGAGCGAGTGTGAGCGAGTTAAAAAGGTGAAGCTATAGTGACATCTACCAACAGAAATGATATTTTTACATACCGGGGGTATCACTCACTTGTTTTGTAATTATACTAGGGATATTTTTTAAAATTAAAAAGTGAAGCTAAAGTGACATCTTCCAACAGAAATGATATTTTTACATATCACTTAAGGCACCTTTTTTAATTATACCAGGGAAAATGTCAATTTGTTTGATAAACCCAAAGCGAGATAAATTAAATGTCTCCACTCCTTCATAACATGATATCAAGGCAGATATCATCCTGGCCAAACCCTGGGTGCCGTTGTACAAAGCGATCTTAGCGCTGAGGTGATCGTAACTCCCATACCTTAACACAGACTTACGACAGTCATGGCGCTAAGGTTGTTTTGTACGACGGCGCACTGATCACTGCTAAAGTCTCACTAAGCCACTACAGATCCATGACTGTCGTAAATCCAAAACGCTTGTCTACTACATAGACTTACTTCAGTCGTCACGAAACTCAGATGGACATGACCCTGGGCTTTCAAAGTGGCCTCTAATCAACACTACGCATGCTCAGTAGTCACGTGTTAATCTTCGTCGCCCCAAATAAAAGTATGTTATATTTACTGTGCAGGATCAAGATGGACAGAACAGTTGAACATCATCAAACTTAATAACTGTTAATGAACTTTCTACTGGCGGAGTACTCACTTCCCTCTGATGCAGTATAGGGAAACAGCAAGAGATATGGCAATCAGCGTAAGGATGACGGCAACGAGAATCAGGGTCATTGTCAACGTCCTTGTCAACGTGTCGTCGGCTTCCAGTTGATCCACAACAGGCTGCATAAAGGAATTGGAAAACAGAACTACTGTGAACAGTAGTCACGCCGAAGGTCCCAGGTTCGAATCCCCAAATTAGTACAAAGTGTCAGTACAATTAGACACCAATCCTGGTTTCTACCGGCGTGATACAGCTGAACTATTGCTGGAAGGGGTTAAAACGTACAGATGCACTCACTCACTCACTCACTCACACACTCATGTGGAAGCATTCCATGAAGATTTATTGTTTGTCTGTAAATAATCAAGTCTGGACCTGACGATCCAGGTATTGACATCATTAGCATCAATCCACACAATGGGGATACGATGACATGCATCAACCAAGTCAGCGAGCCTGACCACCCGACCCCGTTAGACGACTCTTACGACAAGCATAGTCGCTTTTTACGGCAAGCATGTGTTGCTAAAGACTTTTTCTACCCTGGATCTTCACAGATCCATGAAAATTGTAGGTCCGGTGAGTATGTACTACAGTTCGGTGAGTATATACTACAGTTCGGTGAGTATATACTACAGTTCGGTGAGTATATACTACAGTTCGATGAGTGTGTACTACAGTTCGGTGAGTACATACTGTAACAATAGTTCGGTGAGTATGTACTAAAGTTCAGGGAGTATATACTACAGTTCGGGGTGTATGTACTACAGTTCGGTGAGTATGAACTACAGTTCAGTGAGTATATACTACAGTTCGATGAGTATATACTACAGTTCAGTGAGTATATACTACAGTTCGGGGTGTATGTACAACAGTTCGGTGAGTATATACTACAGTTCGGTAAGTATATACTACAGTTCGGTGAGTATATACTACAGTTCGATGAGTATATACTACAGTTCGGTGAGTATATACTACAGTTCGATGAGTATAAACTACAGTTCTGTGAGTATATACTACAGTTCGGTGAGTATATACTACAGTTCAGTGAGTATATACTTTAGTTCGGGGTGTATGTACTACAGTTCGGTGAGTATATACTACAGCTCGATGAGTATATACTACAGTTCAGTGAGTATATACTTTAGTTCGGGGTGTATGTACTACAGTTCGGTGAGTATGTACTACATACAGTACGGTGAATGTACTACAGTTCGGTAAGTATATACTACATTTCGGTGAGTTTATACTACAGTTCGATAAGTATATACTTTAGTTCGGGGTGTATGTACTACAGTTCGGTGAGTATATACTACAGTTCGGTGAGTATATACTACAGCTCGATGAGTATATACTACAGTTCAGTGAGTATATACTTTAGTTCGGGGTGTATGTACTACAGTTCGGTGAGTATGTACTACATACAGTACGGTGAGTGTACTACAGTTCGATGAGTATATACTACAGTTCGATGAGTATATACTACAGTTCGGGGTGTATGTACTACAGTTGAATACCACACTTCATTAGAGAGTGCAGACCCAGTCTTACCTGTGACTCCGTAACCTTGTACCGTTGAAATAACTCTGCCACACCAACAGTGAAGTCAAATGCCCTGAAATTAGCAGCAGATGATTCTACCAAGGTGAAATTATTTAACCAATATACTACAAATTAGTTTTGATGTTCCTGAGATCCGACAGTTACAGAGAGACAGACATATTTATTTGTATATAAAGGCCAATTGGCCCATCGTACAAATACATTTACATCATATTTATCTGAGAGTTACTTAATTGATGCTTTTTTGTGTTGAGAACACGTACATTAGAAACTTTGCAAAAGTTATCATTGTGTCATTGTTGGATAATTGACAGTCTTTCTGAACACAAATAATGATGATTAACTGTCTCTGGGACACACATTTCCCACCGACTTGCATAAAGAGGATAACTGTATATAACACGAAGTTCATCCTCAATTACACGATAGTGTTTACATTAGACGGCATCATCATCAATATTAGCAACACCCCTAAGAACAAGTTGAATACCAAGAGTATTTGTCTACATCTACATTTGGTTATTAGCCTTCTATATTCACAATGCTAAATATTTGATCAATATGTTTCGCAAACGATATAAGATTTATTCAGTTTATAGAATGAGAGGGTCTTGCTGCCTAGAGATGCATGCCTATCTTGAAACGAACAATCTTTAACTCTTTCCGACAGTTCCTCAAACTTGCAATAATTGACCTCAACCCTGATAGTCACCATTTACTTGGGCGATGGAATTGAAAAGCAATCAAATATCAAGATAGCAACAGGAATATATACTATAGTTGTATTGATAGTCAAGAGTGAATTACATATAGCAATGGACTTAAACACAACATTTTGTTTATCCTTTAAAGAAATAAGCATGACATTCCATGGAATTAATTACAATTGACCCACCTCCACAGTTCCGTGGCTGGAACGACCTCCCCCGTGGCATTGTACAGAGCATGGACGAACATGTCGGTCCTGCAAGATGACGGCCAGGTACATGTGAATTAACAACCATCTGAGTGTCACACAGTAGGTAGGCAGGAGAATTTCAAAGTTATATCTATAACTGTAGACCCGTACGTCTGACAATGCATACTTTGATATATATATTTTTTCAGTTAATTGCATATTTGCTTGTACACAAAATAGATAATACGTTCAACCTAAATAACTTTTACCTTGTTTAAGATTACTCTAAACTTCTCACATACGTGTTCAATGGTGTTATATGTAGATCTGGTTTGACTCGAGATACTGCGATGCAACGGAGGCAAGGAAATGACTTACTTCGTATCATCTGTTGTCTTATCAGGATTCTCGTGTGTTGCTATCTTGTCCACAATGACCCTGTACTTCAACAGTTGCTCCAGCTCACTGTAAATGACGATGTGAACTATGGTGAGGTGAGGTGTGCGTGCGTGCGTGTGTGGCTGCTTGTACCAGTCAGGAGTAATGGCAATTTATAGTGCTAGCCCACTGAGACACCATGCTGCAGTTTAACATGAATGCCCCACTCAGACACATTATACTGATTCCGATTTGACCAGTCCTTGTTTCAGCCCCTTAATGCCGAGCGCCAGACATGGTAACAACAAGTACCATCTTTTAACGTCTTTTGGTGGACGCTCTGCCACTAGACCACGGGGGCGGTTTTGGTGTGAATCATGAACTATATGTAACGCAACCAACACAAATAGCATAATACAAATTACAAAAAGTACAGTTTACCAGAAACAAGTTGTATGCATTGTGAAGTATATAAAGTACATGTAGGACAACCAATCTATACAATACCACCTTTATGAAGCAGTATATATACGTTACATTCACAAGGTATTTAGACTATTCATTCTCCGTTGTTCAAACCAATTCATATCCAATAAGAGCAGATTTGTTTACAAAGAATATGTTTAGCAGTACCTTATGAATATAGATTTTATGTTCTGCACCTCATCTGGCAGTGAGTGGAATATTATCTTCACCCTCTGGACGTTGCTAATGATGTACACCTGTAATCGTAATAGTTGCCAATTTTAAAGGTAGAATGGACTCGGGCTCATTGGCAATCCCAGCGAGCTAGATTCTGTCAGACACCACTCATCTTCCCAAGGCAAGCGTGTCCACTTGCCTGTATCAAAGCCTAGTTTCTACATCTTCCCGATGCAAGCGTGTCTAATATCCTATATCAAAGCCTAGTTTCTTCCCTTGCCACACTAAGGCATCTTCCCGAGGCAAGCGTGTCCACTAGGGTATGTCAAAGCCTAGTTTACCCTTGCCACACCCAGGCAACTTTTCTTGGCTCGACCCTGGCGCCACCGCGTAGATCACGAGTTGTGCCCCTTATGATGTAAACGCGATATCCAATCAGATCGCTGTTCTTATCTCGTATAGCTTCACAAAAGATGGTGACTAACAAAGAAGACGTCCAAGTCGATCGGACAATGAAAACATTCGCGATTTCATCCGCGATTTCATACAAAGGTGTACCAGATGTTGAATTTGTGAAAAGTTCTTTGATCGTTATGTGCGATAATCCCATCCTATTCAGCACAGGAATGTGGGCTTGATGTGGCAAGGGTGGAAACAAGACTTTGATAAAACGGCTAGTGGACGCTCTTGTATCGGGAAGATGGACGCCAATTCTTTTCTGCCATGTTGAGGTTTCTGATGAGATCAATCTATTATTACCCTAATAAGACTGAGACAATGTTTCACACCCTGCAAGGGTGAGACATTTCGTAACCAAAATCAAAAGTAATTTCGAAACTCTGTCTAATAAATTTCGTTATAAATATAAGATTAATTTAGATTTATAGCACATTTAAAACGCCTGATATAACTTGACCTAAATCCTGCACCAAATGGAAGAGTCCATCAATGTAAATGCATAGTGGCGATATTATGTTATATAATAGCACAAGGAGTTTAACTGTTGACCGATGCCAATCTTTAACTATGCACTGGGTCAATTAACAATGATTGATCCCAATATCAGTTGATCATACCAATGTTATAGTGAAGGAACCGTTGATTTTATGAATGTGAATGCAATGATTGCGTGATTAAAAGATAAAAATAAAATACAAAATCTCAACAGCGTCTGTTTTATACGGTTATCGTTAACTACTCGATTGACACGTATATAATCATGTCTTATTACCGAATTGCCAGAAAGTTGGGAAACTAAGTTTCTTATTAAATTTAAGTATTACGAATTTACCATGCTTACGAAATTTTTAGGGGTACGAACTCATTTGGGTTGCAAAAATTACATACAACCCGTAGCAAGTATATCTTCTAGACGTAGACTGGAAATAGGCATCAGCGCGTTGAACAGTCTTTAAATAGCAGACAATATATAAAGACATATTTTTAAACATGTTGCAAGTGATAAGCCTAAATTGAACACGATGTAGATAGCATTCATTATCAAACAGTGTGTGAGCGAATATGGTTTTATGTCGTACTTTTCCACCAATATAACGACGAAGGATACCAGAACATGGGCTTCACACATAGCACTTGTAGGAACTCCAACCCGGACGAGAGAACACTATTGCCACTAGGCTACCCCACTGACCATCATTATTCCACAACTATGTTTAACGGCCCAACTAAATCAATCAGCTGTTAAATATTCGCAGTATACACCGCATGATATTACCTTCAGTGTGGCATCAGCAGTGTGTTTATCACCTTCATCGTACGCTTGTACTGCAATCTCCACGTGACCCAGCATGGATGAAGAAAACAGCGTGTCTGTGACGACGGTGCCGTTGATGCCGACTATAAATGGCTTCGTGGTTTCCAGGTCACTAATACCATGAACGTTTTGGCCTTTGTCCCGGAAATGTGTTATGGCGTTAGAGCCTATGTCTTTGTCTGTGACGTCAATCTGTGCCAACGCATGTACATTTGTAAATACATTTGTCATATTGATGTGCACATTTCACTTTTGTTTTGATTTAAACATGTTTAACGTTTAATAATATATAAAACAAATGTTATATTTGGGATAACACTTTCTGAGTGAAGTACAGATTCCCGGAGTCCCGTCCGGGATTCGAACCCATACTGCCAGAGTGAGGCACCTAATCGCCAGCACACAAAGTCAGCGACAAACCCTAATAATATATAGTTATTTTCCATATTTATTGTAAAATCAATGTAAACTGAACACACTACCTCTCTTCTATAGTTGATAAGGAGTCATAGTAGTTTCACTATAACATGGTTTGGGCAGGTTTGACCTTGGAACATCAAAATTACTTTAGTGACAGTGCGGATCCTGACGCCATTGTCCAGCAAGTGGTGTTAGAATTGTCAAGCATGTGGTGTTAGAATCTACACCGAAACGTCGCTACAACTGTAATAGAGATGTTGACTACCCATACTGTATTGTCACATACCCAGCCTATAAATGCCACTTTCTGCTCAAAATTACTTACTGAAGTTGTCCTACAAGATCACGACCCCTTACACAAAAAGATCTTTCCCTACGTGTGTCGTAACTCTCAGATTTAACATTGGCTTGTGACTGTCGTAGCGCAAAAGCAGCTTTGTGAAACATGGCCCAGGATTCTCCATACATCGACATGAGGATGCTGACATATCATGTACAGGAAGTAAAGATCATAGGGTGATGTGAGAAGTTTCTACTGACCTTCAGATCGTACACAAACTCCTCTTTGTTGACGTCATACAAAATGCCCGTAGAAAGTTCTCCTCCATCTTGGAACACTGGTGGGTTGTCATTGATGTCTTCAACATGGACCTCGACGTGGAGGAGAGAGGTGTCACTTTGGTTGAACGGTGGATGGAATGGGTTCTGAGAGGACTCATTCAGAGAACAATCCTTTGATACCTTGATAATCAGGTTTATTAAGTCCTTTTCTTCCCTGTCCAGTTTTTGATTTAGACATAGGGTTCCAGTTGTCTCGTTGAGAGAGAAATACGTTGCCTGTGGTTGATCACCACCTGAACGTGATCATATATGATTAAAGACTAAATGTGTAGTACTGTTTCAACGGGTAAACTACAGTGTAAACTGTATGACTCAAATGTATGAATATGTAAACCGTAGGAACATGTATAGCACGTTCTAATCAATAGATATATTTAAGAACATTCCTGCAACAAACCTAATCATTGAAAACGGCTATGGCTACAATAATTCTCAAACTAAGGATTTAACGTTTAATTTCAAATTGATTACGCACCTTTAGACCTTACATGCTTCAACTGAAAAAAACTATTTATAAAAAACATTCAGCGAAACTTTCCATTTTGTAATATTTTTGTCAGAATTAAAATTACGCGTACATACTATTGCCCGAAACTTTTGTGGTATTTCTAAACAAGTTGAATAAAATCATGATGAATACAGCGAGGCATTGACGCCATTACTTACTGTGTATGTAATAACATCTTCTAGTGTTGATCGCCCCTTCATCTTTGTCATCGGCCAGAGACAGATTACCATAACACCCTGTCTCTTCTTCTGCTATCGTGATATCATGATTTCTGTTGGGGAAATATGGGTCATTGTCATCGATGTCTAGTAACCTCACCATCAACGACAGCGTGGTCTTCAGTACCGGCGTTCCCTGGTCTTGTGCAGACACATCGATCTACACAGCAACAATACAACATCAGGAGGAGAGACACCTCAATCTACATAGCAACAATACATCATCAGAAGGAGGTACACCTCAATCTACACATCAACAATACGGCATCAGACGGAGAGACACATCGATCTACACAGCAACAATACAACATCAGAAGTGAGACAACTCGATCTACACAGCAACAATAAAACATCAGAAGGAGAGACAGCTCAATCTATGCATCAACAATACATCATCAGAAGGAGAGACACCTCAATCTACATAGCAACAATACAACATCAGAAGGAGAGACACATCAATCTACATAGCAACAATACATCATCAGAAGGAGAGACACCTCAATCTACACATCAACAATACGGCATCAGAAGGAGAGACACCTCAATCTACACAGCAACAATACGGCATCAGAAGAAGAGGCACATCAATCAACACATCACAATACTGCATCAGACGGAGAGACATCTCGATCTACACATCAACAATACGGCATCAGAAAGAGAGACAACTCGATCTACACATCAACAATACGGCATCAAAAGGAGAGACACATCAATCTACACATCAACAATACGGCATCAGAAGGAGAGACACCTCGATCTACACATCAACAATACGGCATCAGAAAGAGAGGCAGCTCAATCTATGCATCAACAATACATCATCAGAAGGAGAGACACCTCAATCTACATAGCAACAATACAACATCAGAAGGAGAGACACATCAATCTACATAGCAACAATACATCATCAGAAGGAGAGACACCTCAATCTACACATCAACAATACGGCATCAGAAGGAGAGACACCTCAATCTACACAGCAACAATACGGCATCAGAAGGAGGTACACCTCAATCTACACATCAACAATACGGCATCAGACGGAGAGACACCTCAATCTACACAGCAACAATACGGCATCAGAAGGAGAGACACCTCAATCTACACAGCAACAATACGGCATCAGAAGGAGAGACACCTCAATCTACACATCAACAATACGGCATCAGACGGAGAGACACCTCAATCTACACAGGAACAATACGGCATCAGGAGGAGAGACAACTCGATCTACATAGCAACACTACGGCATCAGAAGAAGAGGCACATCAATCAACACATCACAATACTGCATCAGACGGAGAGACATCTCGATCTACACATCAACAATACGGCATCAGAAAGAGAGACAACTCGATCTACACATCAACAATACGGCATCAAAAGGAGAGACACATCAATCTACACATCAACAATACGGCATCAGAAGGAGAGACACCTCGATCTACACATCAACAATACGGCATCAGAAAGAGAGGCAGCTCAATCTATGCATCAACAATACATCATCAGAAGGAGAGACACCTCAATCTACATAGCAACAATACAACATCAGAAGGAGAGACACCTCAATCTACATAGCAACAATACGGCATCAGAAGGAGGTACACCTCAATCTACACATCAACAATACGGCATCAGACGGAGAGACACCTCAATCTACACAGCAACAATACGGCATCAGAAGGAGAGACACCTCAATCTACACAGCAACAATACGGCATCAGAAGGAGAGACACCTCAATCTACACATCAACAATACGGCATCAGACAGAGAGACACCTCAATCTACACAGGAACAATACGGCATCAGGAGGAGAGACAACTCGATCTACATAGCAACACTACGGCATCAGAAGAAGAGACACGTCAATCTACACATCACAATACTGCATCAGACGGAGAGACACCTCAATCTACACATCACAATACTGCATCAGAAGGAGAGACACCTCGATCTACACGTCAACAATACGGCATCAGAAGGAGAGACACCTCGATCTTCACATCAACAATACGGCATCAGAAAGAGAGACAACTCGATCTACACAGCAACAAATACGGCATCAGAAGGAGAGACAACTTGATCTACACATCAACAATGTGAGACATTTGCTCTAAATTATTTAAAAACAACATGCAGAAGTTGACACTACAGCTTCTAAATACAACTAAAAAATGTGTGTGTGTCAACTTTAACGTTAATTTCATATAGCAATCTAGATTCAGTGAAGAGCAGCATTCACCGAGTTATCTTTAGTTCAAATTTTGGTATCTTTCGACCTTGACTTCATCGCCACGGCCTGTATCAGCCTTTATTGCATTTAATCCCCATATGAACAGTTCACCATTAGAACTAAAACTAATTTGCAAGATAACGACTGAAGTTGTTAGATCACTGGATTAAGCCCGGGAAGGAAACATTATTATGTAAGCTTCGTTGGAATGATACATTTGTCATAGTTATCTGCCCTTGACACTCCATCGCGAGTGACGTCCACTCGAACAAAATGGCCGACTCACGAAGCGTTGCTTATAGTTAAAGTGAGGCTTGTGAATCAATGTCAGTGCAACAATAAATACAGTTACACAGATTGGTGAAATTGAAACTGATGTGGAAATAAGTGCCAGGTAGCTTTGAGGGACACCATCGGGAAACGAACGGCGTCGGCAGTAACGTTCATTTGGAACGTCATCTGCCTCTGTTAATATTAATAAGAGTCCACCCGACGATTACCTGTAATATGTGTACCCTAGAGTACATAACGTCAACAATGACACAAACATATTCTATAGTAACAGAAACTTCAGTGAAACCTACTGTGAAAGTTGGTCTTGTTTCTCGGTCAAGTATTTTAGTGTTGGACAAATTGCCGGAGATGGTATCAAGAAAGAAGAAAGTCCAATCGTCTCCCCGAGAAGGTTCGATCCTGTAGGCGACCTGGCCGTTAACTCCATTGTCTTCGTCATCAGCTTCCAGGATGAACATCTCAGAGCCCAGGGGTTGCTCCTGAATGTCATACAGATATCTGGTTACACTGTGTAGCCCTTGTCACGTCTCTCTCCACAGTGGAGTAGTACACAAGTATATAAGTTCCACCACTCCACTTAAGGGTTGGTGCAGTTTTGCTCATTTTGTCAAAGTACTTGAAGCATACAACTTCCCTCCAAAATCGCATTGGGTGTTCAGTATCTTTGGGGGCTTCATATATGCAATACAACAATCGCCCATCTTTCAGATAAATTCAAAATTATGCTTCAAAACCAATTTCAATAACCTAAACATTTAACAGATATTACCCACAATGATAACGTGAGCAATGTTAAGATTCAATCCACCGACACATGGACACTGTATGGCTTAGAACCAAGTGCAGTTTGAGCATTACCAACAAGTTGACTGTTGACAGTAATCAATTCCATTTGGTCCCCATAGTTGCGTCCCTTTGGTCCTTCTGAAACCTTTGAACGTGGGTTCGAATCCCGATTCGGCCCAATTATTTGTCAGCACCATACCCGTGATTGTAGGTTTCACTATAGTGGTAAACGTCTGAGATTTGTATCACATCAGACATTCCTCCCACATTTAGCTGGGATATAACTGGACTACTGTTCAAAGCGGCGTTAAATCCAACTCATTCGCCCACTCAATCTTTACTTTTGGTCGTTATTTAGCCGATAATCTTTGTCATTCATACCATTTGCACAATAATTGATAATTGAATAATTGATAAACGTATCTAACATGAGGAATGATAGGTCTCATTGTGATCTACCTCGTGACTAAGTCACCCCCAATATGCCAAATACACATGCGTTGTATCAAACCAAAGCATGCTTGTTGTATATTGGTATCGAGTAAGTGTACTACTTACCTCATTGACTTCAAGTATAAATGGGTTGCTTGTGTTGTAGTTCCCGCCCGGATGGGTGAAGTTAGGAGGATGGAGATTGACATCCTTGACGCTGAACACAATCTGCAGCGTCCCATTCAATGGAGGTTCCCCCTTGTCTCTGGCTCCCACAGTCAACACACGAGTCCCCGTGAAGCCGATCAGTGATTCGACTACTGCAACTTCACCAGTACCGTTGTCAACGTTAAACAAGCCTGTAAGGTTACCCCCGTCGGCGATGTAGTATTCGATCTGGGAGTTCATGCCTTCGTCGGCGTCCCTTGCAGACACGGTAGTGACGATGGTACCGTTGTCTATGTTCTCAGCAATCGGAGTTGCCACAGGTTTAGGCTCAAACTCTGGATGGTTATCGTTAACGTCGTTCAGGCGTATTTCTACCCGTGTCTGTCCTGAACGTCGTCCGTTAACATCAGCTTCGTTGTCGTACGCCATCACCAACAACGAGTACGACGACTTTGTTTCCCGATCCAGTTTAGTTGCAACGGTTATAACACCCTGAGACACAAGAACAGTGTAACAATTGTTATTTTCGGTATCACACTTTCTTGAAAAAACAATTCCAGTAATTTTGAGGCGTTAAGTTCCGTCGGGGATTCGAACCCACACTCTAAGAGTGAGGCACCTAATCGCCAGCACACAAGGTCAGCGATCTAACCCACTCAGCCACCGAGGTTTCCACAAAGTAAAAGTCCGACAACCGATAGAATTGATCCCTTAATTTGTGTGCAAACGATTACATACCTAACTCTGAGATCGCGGGTTCGAATGCCAGACGGGACGCAATCCACAAAAAGTACTAGAATTTGTAGTTATTAAGAAAGTGTGATCCCAAATATAGCATTTGTTGCATTTTACCACTTTCTAAAAAGCATTGTACATTCATGAAAACAATGTTGGTAAACCTTAGCACGAACCTAGTCTATTAAGATCAGTAGGATCTCTACATGGGAACAACACTGGAAGCCCAGTCTTCATGTGATACTTTAACATAGACTAATGACAATCGCAGTGCTACGATCGCTTTGTGGAACTAAAACATCATAAGAAAGTCGGTAAATAATAATATATTTTGAAAAGAATAAAACTTATCCGAAATATGTGTATGTATTTTAACAATTACAGAATAAACTCACAGTGTACCTACAGTAAAATCACCCAACAGACTAGATATCATCATAATGTTCTACGTACATTCGCTTTGGAAACGTTGAAATCAGCGTTCTCATCTTCCATCAGATAGAAGACTTTGCCAAAGTCCCCACTGTCGGAGTCGGTTGCAGTCACATTCCCAACTATCTCCCCCGGGAGGGCGTCCTCCGAGATGTTGAAGTTGTAGGTGTCGTTGAACACCGGGGAGTTGTCGTTCGTGTCGATGATGTGCACGAGGACGTTTACGGTGCTCGACCGCTTCTCATCGGTCCTGCTTTCTCTCGCCACAATCTGTATTGTCATCACCTTGCGTTACAGCATGTGTCGTGATTGTGTTACGGTAGACTTGAATCATTACCAACTTGTACGCAGCAGACGTAATTCAAAAGTAACCTTCCGTTATTGGTTCAACAAAATAAGTAAATGCGCTGTCACTGGAGTTTCTCTCCAAGACTCGATGGTTTCAGGCCGCCATCGTATGATAGGGATACTATTAGTTATGCTGTCTTTAGTTGCCGTATACGGTGTCATATTAGGTTAGCAGAAAGTTATTAGGCTGACCCAATATTTTTCTACTAACCTAATATCAAACCGTATACGGCAACTAAAGACACCATAACGAATTTATTATGTGGAAAAGTTTACACGTTGTGGTATCCATATCGCGCTACTCTTCTAAGCTCAGTAAGCTGACGTTAAAAGTCAAAGGGAGACTACTCTTCAAACCTTAGAGGCAAACCTTTTTGACAAGAAATTTATTGTAACTATAATCTTTATCAATAAGGTCACTAACGTGATTTAAAAAAAGATTTGTTTCCTTGCACATCACATTTATTGATATAAAAACACAAAAGAGTTATGAATAACGAAATTCTGTGATAGAATTTTGATGTGAAATATGTGAGTGCGTGATCTGTAACATCATGCTGTGGTTAATTATCTGTAACATCATGCTGTGGTATATTATCTGTAACATAATGCTGTGGTATATAATCTGTAACATCCTTCTGTGGCATAGTATCTGTAACATCATGCTGCAGTATATATCTGTAACATCCTTCCGTGGTATGTTATTTGTAACATCATGCTATGGTATGTTATCTGTAACATCATGCTATGGTTATATTATCTGTAACATCATGCTGTGGTAGATTATATGTAACATTATGCTGTGGTTTATTATCTGTAACATCCTTCCGTGGTATGTTATTTGTAACATCATGCTATGGTATGTTATCTGTAAAATCATGCTATGGTTATATCATCTGTGACATCATGCTGTAGTAGATTATATGTAACATCATGCTGTGCTATATTATCTGTAACATCATGCTGTGGTAGATTATATGTAACATCATGCTGTGCTATATTATCTGTGACATCATGCTGTAGTAGATTATATGTAACATCATGCTGTGCTATATTATCTGTGACATCATGCTGTAGTATATTATCTGTAACATCATGCTGTGGTAGATTATATGTAACATCATGATGTGGTAGATTATATGTAACATCATGCTGTGCTATATTATCTGTAACTTCATGCTATGGTATATTATCTGTGACATCATGCTGTGGTATAATATCTGTAACATCATGCTGTGATATAGTATCTGTAACATCATGCTGTGGTATATTATCTGTAACATTATGCTGTGGTAGATTATATGTAACATCATGCTATGGTATATTATCTGTGACATCATTCTGTGGTATATTATCTGTAACATCATGCTATGGTACATTATCTGTGACATCATTCTGTGGTATATTATCTGTAACATCATGCTGTGGTAGATTATCTGTAACATCATGCTGTGGTATATTCTCTGTGACATCATTCTGTGGTATATTATCTGTAATATCATGCTGTGATATATTATCTGTAACATCATGCTGTGGTATATTATCTGTAACATTAGCTGTGGTAGATTATATGTAACATCATGCTATGGTATATTATCTGTAACATCATGCTGTGGTATATTATCTGTAACATGCTCTGGTATATTATCTGTGACATCAAGTTGTGGTATATTATCTGTAACATCATGCTGTGGTACATTATCTGTAACATCATGCTGTGGTATATTATCTGTAACATCATGCTGTGGTACATTATCTGTAACATCATGCTGTGGTATATTATCTGTAACATCATGCTGTGGTATGCTACCTGGAAGCTGATGCTGTCATGTTGTTCATAGTCCAGGACCTGTGTGTTGTTCACACGTAGCATGACGTTTGTTCTGGACACCTGTTCACCTCTTCCCGGGATTGTGTCGAAGTCCATATATGGTGATCCGTTCTGCTCTACAGACAGCACGAACATATTGTTGTCCACGGTCTGGAAATAGTTCATGTAATCAGATCTAACAATAAATCATGGAATCATTGCACAGCATCCAATCACACCAAGCCATCATTGCATGCCTTGGCGGGAATTCGTAACAAGTCTCTGACATGACGCAAATTCCACTACTCTGTATCTGATAAGCGCGTCTTTGGCATCGCCGCCATCTTCTCTCCCACACCCACTCATTCACTCCGAGCTTGTGGTCCACTCACCATGTCAATGTCCTTCACCTCTATGACGCCTTCTATGCCGAGGGGGACTCCAACAGGGGTGTTTTCTAGAACAGTAGCGTTAATGAGGCTGGAGGAGAACTCTGGGGAGTTGTCGTTGACGTCGAGGATGGTGACGGTGACGTGAGTGACGGTACTGGTATCTTCTCCTTGGGTCTGGTTGTCAGTGACGATCTCTGACGCCTGCAGCATAGCACTACTGTTTCAAACGTACATCTCTCAATGAAAAAAATGTGATAGAAGGATGCAAAATCGTTATTATAAAATAAATTGAACCAACACAAACTTTATTGGTAAGTATTCATCTTTTTTTAAATAGATACGTGTAAAGGTGTATTTAACTTCCTTGAGTTTGTTCAAACTTATTTATTCAGTTAACCTATCTAAGGGTACAAAATTTAATTCTTAACGTATATCATACATCTATCTCAAGCTATAATGCCAACCATCTGTTTATCATGTATATCCAGGTACGTGATGTATATAGCAGTATCAGTGGGAACTTATCAACCTTGGAATAGTGAATAAGCATTAATGCAGTAACGTCGAAGACCACGTCACACACGTTTCAAAGTAGCATATTGTGTTTCACTGGAGAGCTAGATCGCCTGGTTATTAGCAGCGCTGAATTGAATCAATTGGAACTACGCCCGCGTTTAATTTTCTGATGTTACCTGGCACTTAACCCCGCTGAACTGAATTTGGAACTGAACGTGCAACCAAAAGCACCAAATTACAAGCTATGTCTCTGTGTGGTTCCTGAAGCTACACTCTCTTAATCGATATCTGTGTTGTCTCCTGTCCAAAATATATAGCCACACATACGCTGAATATTGTTGTAACCACAGATCTGCACTTTGTAACCTATAATTATACATACCATTATTCAATGCAAACCTCCCGTCAATGATTAAAAAAGAAGTGCCCTTGGCGCTTCCGCGAGTGTGGCGGCCGTCAGCTGTTCTAATCTGTGGAGGTCATTGTGATTTGAAAATTCTGGTTGACCAATCAGAACCGTGTATTTTCCAAATTCATGGTAGAATACCTGCTAAGGTACTAGTTCGTTGTTATATCATTTGTCATATAACATTGTGTGGAATCTTACATTAACTTGGAATGATAAGACTCCACCCTTCTGTTTCATATCGTCAGAGTCAGTGTCAAGTGGTAGTGCCGTTTTGATGAGGCCGCTGTCATTGTTCATGGTGAAGTTGTCGGTGTAGGCGGCGTTGTCTGAAATAAAATATAACACAAATCTGCACTTGTGTGACCGACTCAGTGTGTCAACTAGTTAGATATAAGAAAGGTGGAAGAAACTGACTCATTTAGGCGATCTTAAATGTTATCACGTCTTGCATGTTGCATCCCTGACTGTAGGGACCTTGAAACATCCGACATACATAATCTCACGGCCAGTTTCCTGCCACTGCTTCGGCTTACAAATAAGTCTGATACAGTTAGTCTACACAGTCTGATACAGTTAGTCTACACAATCTGATACAGTTAGTCTACACAGTCTGATACAATTAGTCTATAAAGTCTGATACAGTTAGTCTATAAAGTCTGATACAGTTAGTCTATAAAGTCAGATACAGTTAAACTATAAAGTCTGATACAGATAGTCTACACTGTCTGATACAGTTAGTCTACACAGTCTGATACAGTTAGTCTAAACAGTCTGATACAATTAGTCTACAAAGTCTGATACAGTTAGTCCATAAGTTCTGATACAGTTAGACTATAAAGTTTGATACAGTTAGTCTACACAGTCTGATACAGTTAGTCTAAACAGTCTGATACAGTCAGTCTATAAAGACTGATACAGTTAGTCCATAAAGTCTTATACATTCAGTCTACACAGTCTGATACAATTAGTCTCTACAATCTGATGCAGTCAGTCTATAAAGTCTAATACAGTTAGTCCATAAAGTCTTTTACAGTCAGTCTATAAAATCTGATGCAGTCAGCCTTTAAAGTCTGATACAGTTAGTCCATAAAGTCTGATACAGTTAGTCTATAAAGTCTTATACAGTTAGTCTACACAGTCTGATACAGTTAGTCCATAAAGTCTTATACAGTTAGTCTGCACAGTCTGGTACATTTAGTCAATAACGTTTTATACAGTCAGTATATAAAGTCTGATACAGTTAGTCTATAAAGTCTGATACAGTTAGTCCATGAAGTCTTATACAGTCAGTCTATAAAGTCTGATACAGTTAGTCTACACTGTCTGATACAGTCAGTCTACAAAGTCCGATACAGTTAGTCTATAAAGTCTGATACAGTTAGTCTATAAAGTCTGATACAGTTAGTCAATAAAGTCTTACACAGTCAGTCTATAAGGTCTGATACAGTTAGTCTACACAGTCTGATACAGTCAGTCTATAAAGTCTGATACAGTTAGTCTACACAGTCTGATACAGTTAGTCTATAAAGTCTGATACAGTTAGTCTACAGTCTGATACAGTTAGTCTACACAGTCTGATACAGTCAGTCTATAAAGTCTAATACAGTCAGTCTATACAGTCTGATACAGTTAGTCTACACAGTCTGATACAATTAGTCTACAAAGTCTGATACACTTAGTCTATAAAGTCTGATACAGTTAGACTATAAAGTGTGATACAAGCAGTCTATAAAGTCTGATACAGTTATTCTACACAGTCTAATGCAGTTAGTCACCACAGACTGATACAGTTAGTATTTAAAGTCTGATACAGTTAGTCTACAGTCTGATACAGTTAGTCTACAGTCTGATACAGTTAGTCTAAACAGTCTGATACAGTTAGTCTACAGTCTGGTACAGTTAGTCTATACAGTCTGATACAGTTAGTATATAAAGGCTGATACAGTTAGTCTACAGTCTGATACAGTTAGTCTAAACAGTCTGATACAGTTAGTCTACAGTCTGGTACAGTTAGTCTATACAGTCTGATACAGTTAGTCTACACAATCTGATACAGTTAGTCTACAGTCTGATACAGTTAGTCTACAGTCTGATACAGTTAGTCTATACAGTCTGAAACAGTTAGTATATAAAGGCTGATACAGTTAGTCTACAGTCTGATACAGTTAGTCTATAAAGTCTGATACAGTTAGTCTATAAAGTCTTCTACAGTTAGTCTATACAGTATGATACAGTTAGTCTACACAGCCCAACTAATGGAATATGAATACCTCAAAGCGTACATGTCAGACTTCAATTACCAGGGCACAAAGAGGAGAACAAGTTACTGACCATGTACAATCCAGTAATTGAGATCATTCGGGACGCCTATGTCCCCGTCAAAGGCTTGTACAAGCAGAACAGAAGTGCCCTGTAATACAAGCAAAGAACGTACTGTCACTACATTATTCCACTCTCTACAATTGATGCCCAAAGTTCGCAAATTCATTATTTGTCTTCTCGGCAATACACTGATTAATGTACTGTAGATATTAAATACCTTGATACCTGCATAAACATATGGGCATTCGCTATAAAACTACCAACTATAAACATGTCATGTACCTGTATCTTGATACTTTATGTTCTGTCCCCTACTGATATTCCCCATAAAAACTTACATTTACCATATATTTGATGTTGTACGACAAGCAACGTGTTGAAAGTTTCCATTTCATATGAATAGTGTCATCTGAGGAAAACAATACTTACGAGTGTGGCGTTCTCATAAATTTGTCGTATGTACGGCAGGTTCGTAAAGACGGGAGGAGTGTCCTGGACATCTTGCACGGTGACGAAGAAGTCGACTGGTTCAGCATGGTTCCCGCCAAGAGACTCATCTGGGTTGGCGTCCTGAAGACACGCAGTACATGTGAGAGTAATTTTATTGTTTGTTTCTTGTTTATCGCCTAACTCCGAACGCAATATTCCAGCAATATGACGGCGGTCTGTACATAATCGAGTCTGGACCAGACAATCCAGTGTGTGACATCATGGGCATCGATCCACGCAATTAGGATACGACGACACATGCATCAACCAAGTTAGCGAGCCTGACCACCCATCCGTTTGTCGCCTCTTACGACAAGCATAGTCGCCTTTTACGGCAAGCATAGTCGCCTTTTACGACAAGCATAGTCGCCTTTTACGACAAGCATAGTCGCCTTTTACGACAAGCATAGTCGCCTTTTACGACAAGCATAGTCGCCTTTTACGGCAAGCATGGGTTGCTGAAGACATATTCTACCCGGATCGGCTTCATCGTGGATTGGGTCACAAGTACCTTTTCTAAGTAGAGACTGTGTCTTCAAAAACAAGGGAGAAAAGTACATCTGCTTCGTGAATAATGGCGAAAGGACTCAACCATAACACTAATTTTCAGTTTGCTTTCATTTTGGTTAACCAAAGTTTAAACATGAAAGCAAAATAAATAACGGTGCCCTATCGCAAGCCGCGCGACACAACAGGCGAGAAAAATTATTATTAAATATCATTGACTCTCCAAGGTAGGAACATTTTTATATCATGAATGTTCTTCGATAAAAGAAAAAGCAAATCACTATTTACCCATGCATGGACGTCGTATTGATAGAAAGTCCTTTTCTCGTAGTCCAGACTTTCATTCTGGATAATATGGCCATGCCTTGGATCCACATAGAACGTGTATATATAGTCATCGGCGTTCTGAAATCAGTATCATCTTTATTGTACTCTTATGTGTTGTTTTCTATAAACGCAAAGAGATCAATAAACGACAAAGTTATATGCTGACTTTAAGAAACGTAATTAAATTTCCGAATATTAAGCTAGTATTTCATAAGAAATAAGGTTAATGTTATATCTCATAATCGTTTAGTGAATATCATTAACACAAACACAATCTAGGGTTCATATAACAGGTTTTCTATGCTTTATGCAACCCCCGCTGGAGATATCTGTCAACTTAGAATCAATATTATTCGTAGGACATTGAGACATATTACATCGAATTAAGTGGTATGGAAAAGTAATAGGTCTAATATGCCGCGGGAAACATGTATCATATATTTCCTTAATCCTCTTCGTTTTACCAGAAACATAAAATGTGGATTCTCCCTACTTTACGAAACCGGAATAACAACGAGCAAAACAATCCTGTTTAGAATTTGTTTTCTCATACGTAGAAATGTAGTAGTAGTAGCTGTAGTAGTAGTAGCGGTTGTGGTGGTGGTGATGGTAGTAGTAGTAGTAGAAGTAATAGTAGTAGTAGTGGTAGTAGTAGTTGTGGTGGTGGTGGAAGTAGTAGTGGTAGTGGTAGTTGTAGTGGTAGTGGTTGCGATTGTGATTGTGGTTGTGGTTGTGGTAGTAGTAGTAGTAGTAGTAGTAGTAGTAGTAGTAGTAGTAGTAGTAGTAGTAGTGGTGGTGGTAGTAGTAGTAGTAGTAGTTGTAGTAGTAGTAGTAGTAGCAGCAGCAGCAGCAGCAGCAGCAGCAGTAGTAGTAGTGGTAGTAGTAGTATAGTAGTAGTAGAAGTACGACTAGTAGTAGTAGTGGTGGTGGTGGTGGTAGTAGTAGTAGTAGTAGTGGTTGTTGTCGTAGTAGTAGTTGTAGTGGTGTTGGTAGTAATAGTAGTAGTAGATCTGTTGATTACAATGCTCTCTTCATACTAGGGGCGTATTATTAATTATCACGAGAAATCCACTTGTCCAAATGCCAGCTTCGTTGCAAAGGTCAATTCATGTTACTCTCCATCCACGTCAACGTGTACGTAATAGCAGGTACATTGTGTAACATCATTGTGTCACTGATAGCGTTATGTAGAAGATATTTCTTCTAATAAACACAGACCCTGTCCACTCACCTGGCCCTTGGCCTAGAAAAAAGGGAAATCATTTCATTCAGAGTAAAGCAAATCTTACATCTTATGAACATAATCTCCTCATATAGTCAAAACCAACGAACCACTTTCTAAAACTCCCTGCCTCAACTACATCAAACTGTATCTCGATTGAATGTCCTTGCAGGTGGAGACATCGAAATGAACGTTTTTGCCGATTGTTGTGTTATTCAAGCGTGTCCACTAGCCTCTATCAAAGCCTTGTTTCCTCCCTTGCCACACCAAGGCCACTTGTCTTGGTTCGACCCTGGCGCCACCTCGCGTAGATCACGAGTTGTGCCCCTTGTATTGAAAACGCGATATCCAATCAGATCGCTGTTCTTATCTCGAATAGCTTCACAAAGATGGCGACTACCAAAAGGCGACGACCTAGTCGATCAGATAACGAAAACATTCGCGATTTCATCCCTGACACAAAAAATAAGCAATTGTTGGGAGGTTTAACAGATGTAAAAGAGAGGCATCGGTAAATCACTTTCATACGAAAGTACCAGTACCAGTCGTGGATGTTGATTTTGTGAAACAATCTCTGATTGGACAATCGATATGTGCGATTGTCCAATCATAGTTAGCACAGGAAAGTGGGCTTGATGTGGCAAGGGTGGAAACAAGACTTTGATAAAAAAAAAAAAAAGGCTAGTGGACGCTCTTGCCTCGGGAAGATGAGCCAACTGCTGATGAGGTGACAATAATAAGGTGTAGGGAACACTCAGCTACGAACACAGGATGCCACACAGGACAACGTGTAACTCTGGTTATTTACAGAGATAACGTTCTGCGTCCGTACGTTTACATCTCCACCGAGGCTGCAGATATTCCAGCAGAACAATGCACGCCCTCTCACAACAAGAGCATCAATGGTATTTCTCGCTTAAAATAATGTTCACACATTACCATGGTCATATTTCTCAACCGACAGGGGACACTATTTTTAGTAAAAGCAACATCTAAAATAACAGGATAATGGAATATACTTTTCCTGGTGCAATAATAGTTTTTTGATACAATTTACTCTGATCATTGATCATTGCATATGAGAAAGCTCAAATAAACAGTTTAATTAAATTCTTAATTTAGATGGGGGCACTGGTGGACCAGTCGTCTAAGGCGACGCAATTCTCTGTGTAGAGTCCCTTGGGCACGCCAGAAACCTATGATTGTGGGTTCGAATCCCGGTTCGCCTCGATTATGTTTCTAGGTTTGTCAGCACCATGCTCGTGGGTTTCACTAAAGTGGTAAACGTCAAGGACCTGCATCACTTGGGGCTTTCCTCCCGCATTAAGCTGACACGCCGTGTTATAACTGGAATACTGTTAAAAGCGGCGTTAAACCGAACTCACTCGAACCGATAGAATGAGTTAGGGCGTTGTATTGATGACGGAAGACATCCGCAGATAGTTGCTGAACCGGAGACAAAAATGTTTTTCTGTGAATAGTTTAGGTCGGTTTCTGTGCTTATGATACATCAACGTCACATAAATAAATTGTTACAGAATGTGAACTCGCCCAGAGTCGGGTGTCAGTTCGTTATTTCATTACTATCCAATACAAACTTTTTCGCTTGTGAAACTTGCTTAGGTATATTGACCGATACATCTGCTTGGTACACCTCGAACAGTATCGGTACACTTTTGTTACAAACATATCTACTATCGGGCAGCACCTACCTTCAAACCATAGTACACCTGACCTCCAATTCCCGAATCAGGGTCCACTGCTGTAACTGTTGTAGTTGTTGTACCTATTGCAGCAGACTTGAAACAAACACAGAACAGAGGTCACATGAACCGGTTGAAGTGATGTATAAATACTTTGAGATACCAAGTTACTTTCACAACTTCACGTGAGTGAGTAGAGCCGCATCGGCAATAATTCATCTTATAGCCACGTGTTATAGATATGAACCTTCCTAGAATGAGGGTTAAATAACAGTCTCTCGCCATCACTCCATCAAAATCCTTACGCCAATGAACCCACACAAAGAGTAAATTAATATGTAAAAGTAAAGAACGGTAATGACACCAGGTGTTCTCGGAGGTGGTGTTTAAGCAACCTGCATACATATGGTACCAGTATATCGGAGATGACACCAGGTATATATGAAAAGGATGTTTAACCTGCACTTCCAATCATGCCAGTATTACGAGGACAAGCTGATGACACCAGGTGTTCGTAAAGGAGCTGTTGACTTTCACTTCCAACGGTGTCAATATTACCACGATAAGGTGATGACACCAGGTGTTCGTAAAGGAGCTGTTGACTTTCACTTCCAACGGTGTCAATATTACCACGATAAGGTGATGACACCAGGTGTTCGTGAAGGATCTGTCAACTTTCACTTCCAACGGTGTCAATATTACCACGAAAAGGGGATGACACCAGGTGTTCGTGTAATCATGTTTAACCTGAACTTTCATCATGTGTACCAATATTCTATTCAGTTGGGTTTTGGTCTCGTACCTCCATCACGGTGATCCTGTAGCCGGGCTCGGTGAACACCGGTTTCTCGTCGTTCACGTCCATGATGATGAGGGTGACCCTCGCGGACACCTGCACAGACACATCATAATAGAGAGTCAGTATAGAGAGTTCATATCTACAGTGGAGGTAACAGAGTAACAAACATCATTTTCCATTTATCTGAAACAAGTATATGAATACACACGGAAATCTTTCTGCGTGCTGTGTAGTTTTTGTCAATTTTTCAGATTTAGAAAGAGCTATTTAAACGTTTGGTAACACAGTTTTGAACAGTATTTTATTCATATTAAGCCACTTTGTTAAAACCCACTTTCACGTGTATAAATTGTTAAAGCAGCAGTAAAACCGATAAAGGTATGTGTGTAGTATGTGTGAGTTCGTTGTCGAATGTCTGCATTAATATTTCTTTCGATTAATCCGAGGTTAGAAAAATTATATTACCTCATATATGCCGTCCGAGGCAAAGAATATAAGAGCCTTTGTGGAACCATCCTGCAAAAGATGTTCATGATATAATTCGCCAAACAAGAGAGACGTGGACGTGAGTAATATTATGGTTTTTCGTCGCTTTTAGCAATATTCCAGCAATGTCACTCCGGGGGACACCGGAAATGGGCCTCACACAGAGATACGTGGAAGGGCCAGTGTCCCTCCTACATGAGGTAGGTCTGTGGGCTCTCATATTTTGTGATTTTATCACATAACAAGCACTATCCCGTGTATAATTAATAATATAAGATACTACGACAAGATTAAGATCGTCCACCTTATATACTCGTGAATCGAGCGAGAGCTGTTTGATTCACAATTTCCGCCATGTAACGGCGAACACGCTTAGCTAAGGAAGAAAGAAAGAACTTACACAGTTCGAATAAAAGAAAAATGTTAATACACAAAGAATTATATTTCGACCTTCATATCTACAGAAGCAGAAAAAGTAACAATTATGATTCGGCTATTTCATGCTTCCTGTTGGGCAGGATACGCTCACCTTTCGCGAGCACCTGGTTTCATCACAGATTTAAGGGAGGGTTTAAACGGATCAGTCATTAATGAACGTGTAGCCCCTGGTCGGGTTGCAGACACTTCGTAACCAACTCGTGTTATTCCGGGGCAAGCCGAATTGCAGGTTACGGTAAGGGGCGAGTGGTGACGAATGGGTAGCAGAAGTCCAACTTCAATGACTTGAGGCTGAGGCTGAATATACTCGTGTTGCGTTTTGGTAAATGCTTCCAAAGGGTTTTCTTCAGGGACTGATGTGGTCTGGTGAACCCACCAGACCTTGTTTTATGAATTGATAACACTGTGGATATGTTTCTTTGTGGTCTTTAGATTAGACGTGGACGTGGTTTGTGTTTCAAAAATGTTGTTAGCATTACACAAGTCTGACTAATTGAACCCCCGATGTTTCATTTGTGACACACAACATCGCATTAATTGTTTGACAACGGTATGGGGATCTATACCGAAACGTCGCATTTACATTATTAAAGTTGTTATCCATAAATTGTGTCTACTTGTCAACATCGCATTATTGGCTACTGTTCGTTTTGATTGGCAGGCGACGTAAGATTTGTTGAGACAGAGTACTAGAGTTCGGCTCATGTGATATGTGAACATAATGAGTGGGTGAGTATTGTTTTAAGCCGCATTGGCAATCTTGTATCCAATCACTGTGATAAACATTGTGACAAATGGATCAAAACGCATCTTGTGTCGAGCTGTTCTGTGTGTTCCTGATCTGCCCGGGTAAACAGGGTGAGGGTATAGATGAGTCTACAATTGCACTCTGTCGACTATTTTGAAGGATATCGACTGATATAGACTTACCGTTTCTCTGTCGAGTGGATTGTTTAGTACCACCGACGCGTGTCTAACGTTGCCGTTGACTGTATTGTCCTCCAGTCTGACGATATGACTGACTTCAGCCGATCTGATGTCCAGTACAGGCGGCCTGTCATCGTCCATGGCGCTTATGTTGAACAGGACGGAACCTGTGTGCACCAAACGTCATGACAATATGACAATCAGTTTATTGTGGTGGAAGTTTAATATAACTCTTCACATGTACACTGTGATCAAGAGGGATATTTGCAATATGAAATTTTATGAATATCAATTATTTAAGGTTACTTCCTACACATTATTTTTGAGATGTTGCAACTTGTAGTATCCAACTCCTGTTATAAATCTTAGCGCCAAATTTGAGCACTTGAAATACTCACCATTGGGCGTGTCTTCCGACACCTGTACGGTGCTCTGTACAGTGATGATAGGTGGAATATTTGCTTCCCCTGACAAGACAGTAGAAGACAGCAAAGTATAAGTGATAGGCATTCGGTAATACTTGCCTTGCCAAAAGTTAATACAGTCGTGGACATCAGTGTCTATAGTATATACAGTGGAGGTCATCAGTTTCTACAGTATATAAAATTGAGGACATCGGTGACTACAGTATATACAGTGGATGTCATCAGTGTCTACAGTATATACAGTGGAGGTCATCAGTGTCTACAGTATATACAGCGTTAGACATCAGTGTCTACAGTATATACAGTGGAGGTCATCAGTGTCTATAGTATATACAGTGGAGGTCATCAGTTCTACAGTATATACAGTGGAGGTCATCAGTGTCTACAGTATATACAGTGGAGGTCATCAGTGTCTACAGTATATACAGTGGAGGTCATCAGTGTCTACAGTATATACAGTGGAGGTCATCAGTGTCTACAGTATATACAGTGGGGGTCATCAGTGTCTACAGTATGTATAGTGGAGGTCATCAGTGTCTACAGTATATACAGCGTTAGACATCAGTGTCTATAGTATATACAGTGGAGGTCATCAAAGTATAAGTGATAGGCATTCAGTAATAGTTGTCTTGCCAATAGTGTATACAGTCGTGGACATCAGTGTCTATAGTATATACAGTGGAGGTCATCAGTTTCTACAGTATATAAAATTGAGGACATCAGTGTCTACAGTATATACAGTGGAGGTCATCAGTTTCTACAGTACATACAGTGGAGGTCATCAACGTATATGTGATAGGCATTCGGTAATAGTTGTCTTGCCAATAGTTTATACAGTCGTGGACACCAGTGATTATAGTTTACACAGTGGAGGTCATCAGTTTCTACAGTATATACATTGGAGGTCATCAGTGTCTATAGTATATACAGTGGAGGTCTTCAGTGTCTACAGTATATACAGTGGGGTCATCAGAGTATACAGTATATACAGTGGAGGTCATCAGTGTCTACAGTATATACAGTTTAGATCATCAGTGTCTACAGTATATACAGTGGAGGTCATCAGTGTCTACAGTATATACAGTGGAGGTCTTCAGTGTCTACAGTATATACAGTGGAGGACATCAGTGACTACAGTATATACAGTGGAGGTCATCAGTGTCTACAGTATATACAGTGGAGGTCTTCAGTGTCTACAGTATATACAGTGGGGTCATCAGAGTATACAATATATACAGTGGAGGTGATCAATGTCTATAGTATATACAATGGAGGTCATCAGTGTCTGCAGTATATACAGTGAAGGTGATCAGTGTCTACAGTATATACAGTGGATGCCATCGATGTCTTTAGTATATACAGTGGAGGTCATCAGTGTCTGCAGTATATACAGTGGATGTCATCAGTGTCTATAGTATATACAGTGGAGGTCATCAGTGTCTACAGTATATACAGTGGAGGTCATCAGTGTCTGCAGTATATACAGTGGAGGTGATCAGTGTCTACAGTATATACAGTGGATGCCATCAGTGTCTATAGTATATACAGTGGAGGTGATCAGTGTCTACAGTATATACAGTGGAGGTCATCAGTGTCTATAGTATATACAGTGGAGGTCATCAGTGCCTACAGTATATACAGTGGGGGTCATCAGTGTCTACAGTATATACAGTGGAGGTCATCAGTGTCTACAGTACATACTGTGGAGGTCAACGGTGTCTACAGAAAATACAGTGAAGGTCATCAGTGTCTACATTATATACAGTGGAGGTCATCAGTGTCTACATTATATACAGTGGAGGTCATGAGCGTCTACACTTCATACTGTGGAGGTCAACGGTGTCTACAGTATATACAGTGGAGGTCATCAGTGTCTACGGTATATACAGTGGAGGTCATCAGTGTCTACAGTATATACAGTGGGGGTCATCAGTGTCTACGGTATATACAGTGGAGGTCATCAGTGTCTACAGTATATACAGTGCAGGTCATCAGTGTCTACAGTACATACAGTGGAGGTCATCAGTGTCTACATTATATACAGTGGAGGTCATCAGTGTCTACAGTATATACAGTGGAGGTCATCAGTGTCTACAGTATATACAGTGGAGGTTATCAGTATCTACAGTATATACAGTGGAGGTCATCAGTGTCTACAGTATATACAGTGGAGGTCATCACTGTCTACAGTATATACAGTGGAGGTCATCAGTGTCTACAGTATATACAATGGAGGTCATCAGTTTCTACAGTATATACAGCGTTAGACATCAGTGTCTATAGTATATACAGTGGGGGTAATCAAAGTATAAGTGATAGGCATTCAGTAATAGTTGTCTTGCCAATAGTTTATACAGTCGTGGACATCAGTGTCTATAGTGAATACAGTGGAGGTCATCAGTTTCTACAGTATATAAAATTGAGGACATCAGTGACTTCAGTATATACAGTGGATGTCATCAGTGTCTACAGTATATACAGTGGAGGTCATCTGTTTCTACAGTACATACAGTGGAGGTCATCAGTGTCTACAGTATATACAGTGGAGGTCATCAGCTTCTACAGTATATACAGTTGATGTGATCAGTGTCTACAGTATATACAGTGGAGGTCATAAGTGTCTACAGTATATACAGTGGAGGTCATCAGTTTCTACAGTATATACAGTGGATGTCATCAGTTTCTACAGTACATACAGTGGATGTCATCAGTGTCTACAGTATATATAGTGGAGGTGGTCAGTTTCTACAGTATATACAGTGGATGTCATCAGTGTCTACAGTATATACAGTGGAGGTCATCAGTGTCTACAGTATATACAGTGGAGGTTATCAGTATCTACAGTATAGACAGTGGTGGTCATCAGTGTCTACAGTATATACAGTGGAGGTTATCAGTGTATATAGTATATACAGTGGAGGTCATCAGTGTCTACAGTATATACAGTGGAGGTCATCAGTGTCTACAGTATATACAGTGGATGTTTTCAGTATCTACAGTATATACAGTGGAGGTCATCAGTGTCTACAGTATATACAGTGGAGGTCATCAGTGTCTACAGTATATACAGTGGAGGTCATCAGTTTCTACAGTATATACAATGGAGGACATCAGTGACTACAGTATATACAGTGGATGTCATCAGTGTCTATAGTATATACAGTGGAGGTGATCAGTGTCTGCAGTATATACATTCGAGGTGAACAGTGTCTACAGTATATACAGTGGAGGTGATCAGTGTCTACAGTATATACAGTGGGGGTCATCATTGTCTACAGTATATACAGTGGAGGTCATCAGTGTCTATAGTATATACAGTGGATGTGATCAGTGTCTACAGTATATACAGTGGAGGTCATCAGTGTCTATAGTATATACAGTGGAGGTCATCAGTGTCTACAGTATATACAGTGGGGGTCATCAGTGTCTACAGTATATACAGTGGAGGTCATCAGTGTCTACAGTATATACATTGGAGGTCATCAGTGTCTATAGTATTTACAGTGGAGGTGATCAGTGTCTACAGTATATACAGTGGAGGTCATCAGTGTCTACAGTATATACAGTGGAGGCCATCAGTGTCTACAGTATATACAGTGGAGGTCATCAGTGTCTACAGTTAAACAGTGAAGGTCATCAGTGTCTACAGTATATACAGTTGATGTGATCAGTGTCTACAGTATATACAGTGGAGGTCATAAGTGTCTACAGTATATACAGTGGATGTCATCAGTGTCTACAGTATATACAGTGGAGGTCATCTGTTTCTACAGTACATACAGTGGAGGTCATCAGTGTCTACAGTATATACAGTGGAGGTCATAAGCTTCTACAGTATATACAGTTGATGTGATCAGTGTCTACAGTATATACAGTGGAGGTCATAAGTGTCTACAGTATATACAGTGGAGGTCATCAGTTTCTACAGTATATACAGTGGATGTCATCAGTTTCTACAGTACATACAGTGGATGTCATCAGTGTCTACAGTATATATAGTGGAAGTGGTCAGTTTCTACAGTATATACAGTGGATGTCATCAGTGTCTACAGTATATACAGTGGAGGTCATCAGTGTCTACAGTATATACAGTGGAGGTTATCAGTATCTACAGTATAGACAGTGGTGGTCATCAGTGTCTACAGTATATACAGTGGAGGTTATCAGTGTATATAGTATATACAGTGGAGGTCATCAGTGTCTACAGTATATACAGTGGAGGTCATCAGTGTCTACAGTATATACAGTGGATGTTTTCAGTATCTACAGTATATACAGTGGAGGTCATCAGTGTCTACAGTATATACAGTGGAGGTCATCAGTGTCTACAGTATATACAGTGGAGGTCATCAGTGTCTACAGTATATACAGTGGAGGTCATCAGTTTCTACAGTATATACAATGGAGGACATCAGTGACTACAGTATATACAGTGGATGTCATCAGTGTCTATAGTATATACAGTGGAGGTGATCAGTGTCTGCAGTATATACATTCGAGGTGAACAGTGTCTACAGTATATACAGTGGAGGTGATCAGTGTCTACAGTATATACAGTGGGGGTCATCATTGTCTACAGTATATACAGTGGAGGTCATCAGTGTCTATAGTATATACAGTGGATGTGATCAGTGTCTACAGTATATACAGTGGAGGTCATCAGTGTCTATAGTATATACAGTGGAGGTCATCAGTGTCTACAGTATATACAGTGGGATGTGATCAGTGTCTACAGTATATACAGTGGAGGTCATCAGTGTCTATAGTATATACAGTGGAGGTCATCAGTGTCTACAGTATATACAGTGGGGGTCATCAGTGTCTACAGTATATACAGTGGAGGTCATCAGTGTCTACAGTATATAAATTGGAGGTCATCAGTGTCTATAGTATTTACAGTGGAGGTGATCAGTGTCTACAGTATATACAGTGGAGGTCATCAGTGTCTACAGTATATACAGTGGAGGCCATCAGTGTCTATAGTATATACAGTGGAGGTCATCAGTGTCTACAGTTAAACAGTGAAGGTCATCAGTGTCTAC